CAATATCTATATACTACACAAAATATGTTAATGACTACCCAATTTTTTCATATTACTACAGGTAATCTGTCAAGATTAACAATAGTAATACGAACATCAGGTGGTCCTTAACTTTATTTGAGTAATATGTTTAAAGGAACCATGAATATACATCCATCAACATGATCAACCAACAAGTGTCTGGGATATTAAGTTTGGCAAAAAACATTTTTGGACCTGACCAGCAGGTTATGTTTGTTCAAAGTTTGTAAGTATATTTTTTTTAATTTCACAATTTGACCAATAAGGGGATACAGATAATGGCTGGTTGTCACGGAAACACCGTACCTCACCATAGATAGAGCCACCTCAAGAAATATCCTCATGCTCAGTCCTGAAGGAACACCAGGCTCTGACTGGGAGTGAATGTACATATTCATAGAATATAGACCACATTGGTCTTGCCCCCGCAGAAGTGTGAAGCGATGAGGCCACGGTTGCCATTGTTAATGAAAAGATTGTCTCTTGTCTTTGTCAAAACACAGCACAAAACGATGCAGTATTTTCAATATCTGTAATATTGACAATTTAAGGCAGCACCAGTTATCACCAAAATACACAATAAGAACGAATTCACAAATATGTTACAATACCGAAAAAAGCATAAAACAGTTCTGGAAAATGACAACACGCTCAATGAGTCTTGACCTATGATTCAAGCCATCACCATTAATTAGCAATAATAGCATATACAGACTAAACACTATACTAAAAAAGCTATAGCAATCCCATTACAGGAGATGTTTGATGTCATGTATTAGCTTCTAAATACTGATGACTCATATAAACATAACACTAGATTATGTCAATCCCTAGATAAAGAATGTCTGCTGGTAGGGGTTGTTAGTGTTCAGTCGCAAGCTTGAAATGTATGAATTGGAGTGATCTAACCACATATTTTAAGTCATTCCTTCACCTGTATGAAAGCCGTGTCTAGTTATACTGTCTTTATCATCAACAACTGGCTTGGACGGGAGATATCTGTGGGTAAGACCAAGCAATATCTCCAAGGAAATATCACTACAATGAAATTGCATCACAATGCTTTGCAGACCATTGTGATGTCATCAGTTACCATGTGATACAATCAAATGACATCACTAATCTCTCTGCCACTGAAGCTGGTTAGCTGTACTTTATATACTCAAGACACCGTATACAAACAGAAATAGCTCTAGAAGATGAGATTGGTCTGGAAGATGGTAAGGTGGCGCTTCTTGGAGCAGGTTAAGTGAGTGAGTGAGTTGGGTTTAACGCCACTATTAACATTATTCCAGTTATATCACGGCGTGTCAGCTTAATGTAGGAGGAACGCCCGAACTGATGCAGGTCTCAGACGTTTACCACTTCGGTGAAACCCACAAGCACTGGTATGGTGCTGACTAACCTAGAAACATAATCAGGGTGAGCTGGGATTCGAACCCACAATCATAGGTTTCTGGCGTGCCAAAGGGACACAACTCTGCATGGCGAATTGTGGCGCCTTAGACGGCTGGGCCACTTGTGCCCCCCTTGGAGCAGGTTGCTAAATAGGTTGAATGATAAAGACTTGATAGGATGCAGGAATGGATAAGCTCCTACTTTGAACCTGTTAATGGTCACAGTCTGCGATACATGTTTTGGCAACACTTAATTCCCATCCCTGAACGTATGAAGACTTACCTTGTCATCCCATGACAACTCAATGCTGCTTCGAATATTCTAAACATGACCTGAACAATTGATTGAGTGAGTGGGTTCTACGCCGCTTTTAGCAATATTCCAGCAATATCACAGCAGGGAACACCAGCAATAGATTCACACATTGTACCCATGTGCGGACTTGAACCCAGGCCTTTGGTGTGACAAGCAAAAGCTACTCCACCGACCTGACCAAGGAAATCTCACTTTGTAGACATCACACACTGTTCGTGAACAGTTTGTTTCGTTGACAGGAATCAAAGTTCCGATATTTTGTATTTCATGATATACCCCAACCCTCAAACACTTTGTTTATATCATCTGGTGATCTTAGAGATATGCAATCACAGGAATAATGGTTCTATTTTAAAACTAATATTTCATCTATATGTATGTACATCACAATGAACATTAACAAATACATGAAACAAATAACAGACATCAAATCTTGTTCAATCATAAAATGTCATAAATTATGAAACATAATTTCATAATAATTTCAAAAGCATGAAATCTTCAAAACATTTGTCAACCACCAAAGTCAAGAGAGGACTAGTTGCACACACACATCCACCCCAATGATGGAGAGATTTGGAGAAAAGGCGTCTTCAACATGTTCAAGAGGCAATGAAGTTAACTCACTATTATGAACGTCCAGTTTCCACCCCTGCCGAGCTAGGCTGGAATTATGGAGTATTTTGGCTGGACTAACGAGTCTATGCATAGTCCAATCAAAATCGGGTAACAAAATCAATATCCAGTTCGCAAATTTCCATACAGACTTTGGCTGATCGCAGGATTTGCAATGCATTATCCATCAACAGATATTTTCCAAATTCTTCATGTTTTTAATCAAGGTGCTCACGTGATTTGATGCACTTCATGAAGTAAGAACCTAATATTACAATACACATCTTGATTATCAATCCTATCGTCTTCACTGGGTGCCACCATTTTAGAGGCAAATGCAAGTGATATCAGAGGCGGAATCTGATTGGTCAATGAGAGACATAGAAGGGACATAACTCATAATAGCCACTGGTAGCACTACAATCGAACCCAGAAATTGGGCCTAGTTCAGCAAAGGTGGAAGTGGACTTTTACAGTCAGTTACCTCCCTTGCCTCAGGAAGATGGAGAAAAGGAAATCTGTCCCATCACCGTAGGCTGAACTTCTTCACAACAATACTGTAGGTCCATTGTGAGCTTAATGTTTCAGAAAACACTTCTTTATGGAATACGGGTCTGTGTACTCGTGGGCAGTTGACCACAGAGTACGCTGATCACTGTGCCGGATTTACGAGACTTATTAAAGAATGATTTCAGTAATTCATGGCAAATTAGGTTGGAGTCGGAGTCGGAGTCAGAGTCGGAGTGCGAGACTGTCAGATTAACAGGTCTAAATAGCATTGATTTTATTGGTTCCCATTGTTAGTGTCTGATAAACCCGATTGTCAGATTAACGAGTGTCGGATTAATGAGACTTGACTGTAATCAACTTTTCTTCCTAATTTTACTGCCGACCAGTCAACACTGACACACCACACAAAAGGGTTTTTCTGGCTTCCAGCATCTCGTCATTCATGTCCTATAGACCTAGAAAATTTGTAAACTAAAACCTAAACCTGGTCTAACACAATGACATACAAATCAAAGCGGGATTTGCAGATATCCACTATTGGGTGTCTCCCAATAGTGAAGAGTGAGTCGAGAGCAGTTACGATTCAGTGGAGCATTGGGACACTGGGATACTTTGTGCTGTGATGTGCGTATCATGTGGCCTTGTCGGGATACACAAGAATACATGTAACGGGAGGAAATATAAAATCAGTTGTTAAAATACTATCTTCATAGTGATGATTCCAAATGTTTGGTTTTTGGTTTTTTATTATTATTATAATTATTATTATTATTATTATTGGGTTTGACTAGGCAGCGATTCCTAGGAGACGTCCCATTCGCTGTAGAAAGGAGCAAGGGCCCTGAACTGATGATAAGCCTAAACCTCTTTGCTGCATTTTATATTTTAATCTGTAAATAATAATAATAATAATAATAATAATAATGTGTATTTAATAGTAACAATGTGCATTAGATAGATGACAAGACTGTAGTGTAAACAAAACTTCACTTCCAACACTGCTATCTAGACATGTATGTATGTACAGCCCTATTTTGAGACATGTAGCGAGACTAGATCCTGACAACGCAGCCCTGGCAAGTCTGCCATATCTATTTGTAGACAAAGTGCCTGTCTAGATCAGGACAACAGACAAGCAGCCTCTCTTTAAGGAGTATTTGGGGAACCTTACTAATATCAGCACTCACTATAAATATGGCACAAATCTCGACTGGTTATTTGATGTCTTTGAACATGACCAATTGCACTGAGTATTGACTACAAGTGCTGGAAGTGTTTCCCATCACACGATTCAACTAAAAATGCAAAGGGACTTTGTATGCACTTAACAACACATTCCTGCTAAGAGGAATGAAACTATCTAAAATCTACTTCATAATAACAATATTTTGTGTACAATATGTTGTACCTTATCTGTTGATACTATCTTCATGATGTAAAACACTTAAAAAATTCTCCAAACAATTTTTCAATCAATTGCTTGTCAAATATACAAATACATTGTCGTCTCCTTCAGACTACATCTTGGGACTGTACGTGTGGTACCAAAATAAATATCTGTCAGGGCAAATACTAAACAAATTCAATAAGTAGTCAACTTCAGCACTGACAATATTGCACCAGAATTAAGAGGAGGATGAGAAGAATGGGCAATGTTGCAGCTTTCCAAACCAGATCCTGACAAAGACACAATCATAACTTTCACTCCATGATTTGGTCAGGACAACATGTCCAACATATTTGTGCTTATACCAGACACTTATTTGAACCGCATCATTTCTGTTATTCAATTCAAGAGTCCTATTCCACAAAACAATCATGGTTCTGCAGCCTTAGGAATATTTTGTTTAAGACTAATCCAGAAAACCAATGTGAACCTTATTTCATCGTCCTCAGGTTTTGTAGTTAGTCCTGATTGAGTGAGTGAGTGAGTATGGTTTAACGCCGCAATAATTCCAGCAATATCACTGCAGGGGACATCAGAAATGGGCTTCACACATTGTACCCATGTCGGGAATCGAACCAGGGTCTTCAGCATGACGAGCGAACGCTTTACCCACTAGGCTACCCGCCCCCCCCCCCCTAGTCCTGCTTGAACAAGACGTTTATGTTAACATTTTCCGGCAGAATTGGTTCAGAATTATAGCTCTCAATTGAATTTGAAGTGTCCTCAGCACAATTTAGTTTTCGAGTAACAGGCTAGCCTAACTTTCCATTTCTATTCCAAAACTTTGAGATTAAATTAGGACACCAGTAGCCTTAGCACTGCGGTTGCCTTGGGGAACAGGACTCAGGAATGTACACAGGTCATGTATGACTTGTCCAGAGTATCACTCTGCTAGTGTCACACGTCTAGAGAAGTCGTCTTGGAACTACTACTCCTTGATGGATAGGCACAGAACAGTCCGAACTGCAAACCTCCAAGAACAATCCCCATCACATTAGGATACTGAAAAAACAAAAAGAAAAACTCACTTAATCCTCATACAGTTCCGTGGCTGAAATAAAACATGAAAGTCAATGGGTCCTTATATATAAGGTCAATGGCCTTCCTAAATTAAAATACAGTAGCTGATGTCAAAGAATGAAAGCCAAGTTTGTAAGCACCATAAACATATTTTTGACATTTGCAAACCTTAGGTACGGTTCTTCCACAATCTAGAAGAAGACCTACTCTAATTTTGGAATCTTGTTCATGTGAATATTACAGGAAATATTAGAGTGAGTGAGTGAATGAATATATTTTTATGCCACTGTTAGGAATAATCCAGCAATATCGTGGTGGGGGTCACCAGAAATGGGCTTTACACATTGTACCGATGTAGGGAATCGAACACGGTTCTTTGACATGATTTTAACCACTAGGCTAAGCCACTGCCCAAGGAAGTATTAGAGCACTCACTGAGACATAGACGTCTTTGATGATCTGGCCGTACGAGTACCAGCCTACTGCAGCCACGAAGTTCAGGACACACAGCGGGGCTGATATGGAATCACAACTTTTACTTTTCAGAACTTGTGCCTGCAAAGAAAATATTGTCTGAATTTAACTTGTAGTGTGCTTTATACACAAATCAGGGGGGAAGTAGGTCATGAAGTGATGGACAAACTCCTTCTCATAGCTCCCACAGATGCCCTTCACCAACAACACATATTTCCTGTAGCAGTGAGTGAGTGAGTATGGTTTTACACCCCTTTTAACAATAATCCACCAATATCATGGTGGGGGACACCAGAAATGGGCTTCACACATTGTACCTATGTGGGGAATTGAACCCAGGTCTTCGGCATGCCAAGCGAACACTTTAACCTGGTTACCTGACCGCCCCATCAAACTTACATGTAAACAACAAAGTTAGTTGTACTTATACTACATTCCACATCCAAATGTTTCACAAATGTAGGTTGATTTAAGAGGTGTTCAGGAAGAGTGTTCTAATATTTGAATGTAAGTAAGTTTTGACCCAAGTTTATTTAACTAGAACACAAAATATCACAAACATTCAAATTCGTCAAAATACATCCATGTTCAAAACATGTGACCATTGCACGTGAGCGATCTGCACATGAAGACAAGGCCTATAAATCTGCAGGGTTTTCATGTACTTGTGTGACCCGTGAAGATTCAGGGGTAGAATAGGTCTTCAGCAACCCATACTTGCTGTAAAAAGCGACTATGCTTGTCGTTAAAGGCTACTAACGGGATCGGGTGGTCAGGCTCACTGACTTGGTTGTTACATGTCATTGATCCCAATTGCGCGGATTGATGCTCATCATGTCAATCCCTGGATTGTCTGGTCCAGACTTGATTATTTTACAGACTGCCGTCATATAGCTGGAATATTGCTGAGTGTGGCGTTAAACAACAAACAAACAAGATGTTCTTGTGTTCTATAACTGGGCAGCTGCACAACATCAAACACATGCCTCGACTGAGTGCACTAAAGGGAATGATGGAATCCAGGTCGGCTGTAGCCGTAGCTGTAGGTTTATGTTTCCCAAGCACCTTCACGAGACTCTTAAATCATTACAAACACCAAGGGACCATATGCATTCCCCAGATCCAGTGATCACCCTAACCCTGGACCACTACATCTGGTTGATCATCTACAGTAACAAACCACCACAGCAACCTCTACAGCATCCACCATAAAAAGTCTGTGCAGGATGTTAGCCCAGATGGTGAGGTACTGTCTACTTGAGGTAGGTCTTCTGGACAGATGGCCTCTTCAAGGTGTCATTTGACGGACTACAACATCATCGACTACAGCATCATCAGTATCATGTCCACAGTCATGGAGAACTGCGGGCTTCAGTGACGAGTCACGATTATTTGCTTTATCGTGAAGATGGAAGATGTTTAGGCATGGACATGAAACAGCACCAAACTGCATACAGGAAGTTTTGTTTGTTTGTTTGTTTGTTGTTTAATGCCGCACTCAGCAATATTCCAGCGGTCTGTAAATAATCAAGTCTGGACCAGACAATCCAGTGATTGACATCATGAGCATCGATCCACGCAATTGGGATACAATGACATGCATCAACCAAGTCAGCGAGCCTGACCACCCGATCCCGTTAGTCGCCTCTTACGACAAGCATAGTCGCCTTTTACAGCAAGCATGGGTTGCTGAAGGCCTATTCTACCCTGGATCTTCACGGGTCGCATACAAGAAGTAAACAGATTCGGCAGAGGTAGTGAGATTGTGTGGGCAGGACTAGCCGGTTCACATTGGAGGTCAAACATCACTCCCATTAGGCATAATGCCTGCCCTGGCCCTTTCAATCAGCACATTTGAACCATATCTAACATTGAGGGCATGTGTTGGACTCAGCCGTGAAGATCCGGGTTAGAATAAGACTTCAGCAACCCATACTTGCCATAACAAGCGACTATGCTTGTCGTAAGAGGTGTCTAACAGGATCGGGTGGTCAGACTCGCTGACTTGGTTGATGCATGTCATCGTATTCCAATTGCGTGGATCAATGCCCATGACGTCAAACACTGTATTGTCTTGTCCAGATTCGATTTTTTACACAACAAAGAAACAAACAGACTCTGCCACAGGTCGATTGGGCCACTATTCCCCAGGGTCTGATGACATGAACCCTCATTGCCTCCGTGTCCAGCAGTTTTTTGAAAGCCACAGCTGGCAGACACGATATAGACTGCAACTGGCCCTGACCTTTGACATGTCAAGTCTACATCAAAAGACTAGTTTTGACTTTTGTAGCATGTGTCATCTGTGAACACTCAGCTGCTTTCCATTGATCCATCAAACAAGTCCATCAGATTTAAACAATCATTGATGCATACAAGTAGGTGAAATTTCTGCTTCATTGGTTTAGTGGTTTCTGAGATGATTATGGTGGAAAACGCACACCACACGCTGGACAACTGAAGCCGAACAAGTTCCATGCATGACATCATTCATTCCAACTTCTAAATGCCTATCAAAGACTTCAAAGCCATAATGTAAGCAATCATGCTTCTTCCTCTATATTCATCCTCTTATCTATTAAACATAGGCCACCCTGACAAACCCTAACACAAGTATAACACCATCAATTGGAATTTTTTTTATTTTAATTTAGCTGACATTTGCTGCAGACTTAGGGCCAATATCAGCCTCTGAGGAAGTCTAATGTATTCCTGAAAAGGACAAAACATTGCAAAAAAGTCAGTTTTCCGTAGTTGCCTCAGTTATGTAGATATACTCACCACTGTTGCTAGGGGCGACGCATAACAGATCACTGTAAAGAAACAACCATACAGTCCGAGTTGGCCGGCAGCCATGTTATCATCCGGTTGGTAGTATCGGATGTAGATGAGTGGTCCAAACAGCAGGCACAGGCTCATGCTGATGAGTCTGTGCATATGGCCCTGAGACAACAAACACACAGATTAGTTAGGCCACCAATCTTAGGAAGCAACAGTTTCAGGGATTTACAAAGGCTGGGACGTGTCCAAATTTACTATCCGGGTACCCTACCCCCTATTACCCGACCCTACCCGGATACCCACTGTAGGTCTCAAGAGTTGGGTACAAAATGTCCGATTAGGAATTGTTTCGCCGTACCCCTTGTAAAAAGTATTTAGATACACCTATAAAACGATCTGGTCATGCATACACTAAAGTTGACTGAAGCTGTATCATTCATCAAAACATAAAATAGTCAGAAGGAATTTGCCTATAGTCAGAAAGATATCCGAACATTAGCAATTTGTAGGTAACCACGGAGTTATAGTAGTGATTTTTTCTCATTCAACAATATATCATGTGACTTACCACGGGTCCGGGTAGTCCTGTGGGTACCCAGGTCCTGCTCAGTACCCACCCGCCCGAGTACCCAAGCCACCCGTCCCAGCGCTACTGGGGACCCTTGGTAAAAGTGAGTGAGTGAGTGAGTGAGTGAGTGAGTGAGTGAGTGAGTGAGTGAGTGAGTGAGTGAGTGAGGTGAGGTGAAATTGGGTTTAACGTCGAGTCCAAGATTATTGCACTTATATAGCGACGTGCATGCACGTGTATGTGTGTGTGTGTGGCTGCTTGTACTAGTCCGGACTGATGCCGATTTATAGTGCTAGCTCACTGAGATACCATGCCGCAGTTTAACATGAATACCCCACTCAGACACAGTATACTGACTCCGAGCCGACCAGTCCTTGTTTTAGCCCCTTAATGCCGAGCGCCAGACAGGGTAACAACAAGTACAATCTTTTAACGTCTTTTTGTATGACGCGGCCCGGGATCGAACCCTGGACCTTCCGCTCTCCGGGCGGACGCTCTACCACAAGACCACGGAGGCGGTCGTGAGTGAGTGAGTGAGTGAGTGAGTGAGTGAGTTTAGCACCGATTTGAATAGTATTCCAGTTATATCACAGCATGTCAGCTTGATTTTGGAGGAAAGTTCAAAGTGATGCAGGTCTAATAATGTTCCCCACTTTAGTGAAAACCATGAGCACAAGTATGGTGCCTGCTGTAAGCAATGGAAAAGCAACTAAGTGGATCGTGTCGTCAGACTCAATGACTTGGTTGATAACGTATGAGACGTTACTCAAATCAAATACTGATTTCTGGCCACCCATTATTTACTAAGTTGGAATTATTGCATTCTAGTATTATTGCATTCTAGCCTATCAAAATATCAAAGGGTTATTGTGATGTGCATGTCTATTGGCTTGTATTAGGGAAGGCCAGTATGTACAATGGTGTATGCAGTCTGCTGGTGTGTATGGGTCTGTTGTGAACAAGGTGTCCGGAGGCTGTTGGTGTGTCTGCGGTCTGCTGGTGTGAATGGGTCTGTTGCGGACAAGGTGTATTGAGGCTGCCGGTGTGTCTGTGGCCTGCTGGTGTGTATTGGTCTGTTGGTGTGTCTGCAGTCTGCTGGTGTGTATGAGTCTGTTGTGAACAAGGCGTATGGAGGCTGTTGGTGTGTCTGCGGTCTGCTGGTGTGTCTGCGGTCTGCTGGTGTGTATGGGTCTGTTGGTGTGTCTGCGGTCTGCTGGTGTGTATGGGTCTGTTGGTGTGTCTGCGGTCTGCTGGTGTGTATGGGTCTGTTGGTGTGTCTGCGGTCTGCTGGTGTGTCTGCGGTCTGCTGGTGTGTCTGCAGTCTGCTGGTGTGTATGGGTCTGTTGCGGACAAGGTGTATGGAGGCTGCTGGTGTGTCTGCGGTCTGCTGGTGTGTATGGGTCTGTTGGTGTGTCTGCAGTCTGCTGGTGTGTATGGGTCTGTTGTGAACAAGGCGTATGGAGGCTGTTGGTGTGTCTGCAGCCAGCTGGTGTGTATGGGTCAGTTGTGTACAAGGCGTATGGAGGCTGTTGGTGTGTCTGCGGTCTGCTGGTGTGTCTGCGGTCTGCTGGTGTGTATGGGTCTGTTGGTGTGTCTGCGGTCTGCTGGTGTGTATGGGTCTGTTGGTGTGTCTGCGGTCTGCTGGTGTGTATGGGTCTGTTGGTGTGTCTGCGGTCTGCTGGTGTGTCTGCGGTCTGCTGGTGTGTCTGCGGTCTGCTGGTGTGTATGGGTCTGTTGGTGTGTCTGGGGTCTGCTGGTGTGTATGGGTCAGTTGTGTACAAGGCATATGGAGGCTGTTGGTGTGTCTGCAGTCTGCTGGAGTGTATGGGTTTGTTGTGGACGTGTACGGAGGCTGTTGGTGTGTCTGCAGTCTGCTGGTGTGTATGGGTTTGTTGTGGACGTGTACGGAGGCTGTTGGCGTGTATGCGGTCAGCTGGTGTGTATGGGTCTGTTGTGGACAAGGTGTATGGAGGCTGTTGGTGTGTCTGCGGTCTGTTGGTGTGTATGCGGTCAGCTGGTGTGTATGGGTCTGTGTGGACAAGGCGTATGGAGGCTGTTGGTGTGTATGCGGTCTGCTGGTGTGTCTGCGGTCTGCTGGTGTGTATGGGTCTGTTGTGGACAAGGCGTATGGAGGCTGTTGGTGTGTATGCGGTCTGCTGGTGTGTATGCGGTCTGCTGGTGTGTATGCGGTCTGCTGGTGTGTATGGGTCAGTTGTGGACAAGGTGTACTTACCCTCTTGACTGTGTAGATGTAGAAGATGCAGATGTAGAGGAACTGCAGCATGGCCCCGAGGCAGTTGGACATAATCATGGAGTAGATACTGCGCATGATGCTGTACTTTAGCCAAATACAAGCACTGAAACATCACAGAATACATCTAAACTGGTCAAAAATACTTGGCTCTTAGAATACATTTATACTGGTCAATAATACTTGGCTCTTAGAATACATTTACACTTGCCAAAAGTACTTGAGCCAAATGCAAGCACTGAAACATCACAAAATACATCTACACTGGCCAATAATACTTGAGCCAAATACAAGCACTGAAACATCACAAAATACATCTACACTGGCCAATAATACTTGAGCCAAATACAAGCACTGAAACATCACAAAATACATCTACACTGGCCAATAATACTTGAGCCAAATACAAGCACTGAAACATCACAGAAGACATCTACACTGGCCAATAATACTTGAGCCAAATACAAGCACTGAAACATCACAAAATACATCTACACTGGCCAATAATACTTGAGCCAAATACAAGCACTGAAACATCACAGAAGACATCTACACTGGCCAATAATACTTGAGCCAAATACAAGCACTGAAACATCACAAAATACATCTACACTGGCCAATAATACTTGAGCCAAATACAAGCACTGAAACATCACAAAATACATCTACACTGGCCAATAATACTTGAGCCAAATACAAGCACTGAAACATCACAAAATACATCTACACTGGCCAATAATACTTGAGCCAAATACAAGCACTGAAACATCACAGAAGACATTTGAACTGGCCAATAATACTTGGCTCCAGGGGTCCGGAAACAGTCATGTGCACCGGACATGTCCGACTGGGAATCTTAAATGTCTTAAAATATTGCTTACCGGACATGTGAACTTTTCTGTCCGGACATTTTAAAAAACAAACGGGGTCCAAATAATTGATGAGCATTATCGTATCCCTTCAGCGAATTCGGGTGAATAAACAGGCATAATAAACTTGGTCAATAAAAGTACGAAATTTGATATAAAAGTTATAACATCACAAGACATGATGATTTACCACTTAAAATGTATTTCCTGCTCTCCAAGTGTTACTATGGGATGTCCTCAGATCTTTGTTTAGTGGTAGCAAGAACTAAGATCTCATTTAATGAGATTGGAACCCCTGATTTGAAGCCCTGACGTATTGTTATAAGTTACCATAGTAACACTCACCTGACAAAGAAGGCAAAGAAAGGAACAGGAGAAGTGTCACCTGTTCCGCCCTTCCTCACGATACGCAGACATATTTCGCTGGAAACAGACACATCAATGTGAGCACACAAACAAGACAAATTCAGTTGTTTTGTGCCTGAATAATTATTACCCTTTTCATGTCTCTTTTCCTAAAAGAATTAAATATTTATGATGTAACATAGTCATATGAAAACAGGGTGTTCTTAAATGTTTAACTTCTTTTGAGTAGTATATATTAACTGGTGACTTAATGCCTTTTCAATAACCATTAGCATGGTTAGCTATACAATACAAATACACATTACAATTTACTCCTGAATCCAATAACCACGGTAACCTGGCATTAGTTTCCACATCTGTAAGGAAATCCTTGAAATTATTTTCAGTTTTTACAGATGTGTTTTAAATAATGTCAAGATAATTTTAGTTTCAGCACAAGTATGTATGTGTTTGCCTAATCATGCAATACTTACATCCCAACCAGCTGACAGGCTATAGACGATAATGTAGCTGCCCATGCCAGCACCAGCTCCCAGTCCATACCATGAACTCACCAACCACCTGCTGCAAAACGACAACTCATAAACACATCATCCACCAGTGGGAATTCAAATTAAGAGGCGATGACACAAATTGGGGTTTACAGGGGTCGATTTAACTGTTAAAATTACAAAAGGCTTGCTGAAACGTATAGTAGATGGCCCGTCTGGCGAGTCAAAATTGTACCCCTTCTCTGTGTATGTTTCATTTTTCAAATTGGACACTGCTCGTGAATCATGTAATTTTGATTAGAAAATATTTAGGGGGGATGAGGTCCCGTGAATGGTTCTCTCAAAGATCATCTTGGTACAGGTAGAATGATACAACCGGCAGCCATTTTGTAATGTTGTGAACAACAACAACATCTTTATTTGCTCATAAATCGCCACAAAATGATGCAAATGGAAGCCAACATTTAATCTCAGCGTGCAGGAAAAGATGTTTTACAGATGAGGGGTTCTAAAATTTTCGGGGCCCCCTGGGTAACTCCACAGCCGCCAACATTTAGTTTTAGGCCAGTTAGTTTGGAGAAGGGCCAGTAACTTTTGAAAGGAGCAACTCAGCAAGACCTGCAGGCTACATACAAATTTGTTCTTAAATCTACCCTTGGGTTTAATGTCATGCTCAACAATGTTCAACATCTGTATATCCTACTGTGCATCAGCCAGAAAATAGGCTAATGTAGAAATCATCTACCTCACCGAAACTCAAAACACTCAGGTTAAATGTTGTTTCCATAGAGTCACAGACCTAACAATAGTACCATATACATGATATACATGGACTGGCTTACCATCTCTTGTACACGTGAAGGGTGTGATCCGCTGTACTCAGTGAAGCAATTTACACTAACATTGAATCACTGTGATGGCCCTATTCAAGTGTGACCTCAGCGATGGGGATACAAAAATGTCAAAATGTATCTGTTTCTCAATCTTAAAAATATGGCATATGACCCTTAGTTTTTTTTCTCTAGAGCTATACTTTCAAAGCAGAGATGTCATCATATATCATGTATATCACAATATCAATAAGTTTTAATGTCGATATTGTATTGATTTATGAAAATTTATGAATATACATTAATACATAAATTAATAACTCACTGCCATAGAAACGCAGGATTAGAAATTGGCACTAGTCCTGTATTCCTTGCCAAATTACCCAATAATTAAGGTATCAAAACGACTAATAGAAATTTGCCATTTTTTAAAGGTTCTGCTATATGTTATCATAATAAGGACTAGTGGACTAAAAATGTTAGTTTCTACTGCTGAAACATTTACATTTATCAAGATGACTATGGTTTAGGACAGAAAAAAGTCAGAAAATATAATTTTACACAGCCAAATTCAAAGGTAGCCTTGTGGATTGAATACAGGTTAAGATCAGAGCTCCAGATAAGCTGCGTATCTGCGTAAAATATGCATCAGAAATGCAGAAATATGCAATAAAATAAAATCCATGCGTATCAAATAACTTGTGTGTATCATCAAAAGATTCTGAAGTAACCCTACATATTCGATTAGCGAATGAGCAACTTATTTTGAAATTATAAACGGGCATTCCGTCAACCTTGCCAAACTCCACGATGACAATTACATCAAGATCATTTGCCATCACACTTTCTTGTGGAAGTATCGTGGTATTTGCATGATTTGTGAGTTGTATAAAGCTCTCTAACCCACATGACACCAGTTTGCAGGGACTAGATGAATAGTGTTGTTAAATATTTAACTTAAATACCCGCATGTGTAAAAACTAGTGGGTAACAGAAATTTAAATAACCAGATAGAATTACACTACAGATACCCAATGATTTTAAAATGCATGGGTAAAATACCCACAACACCAAAAACTTATCTGGAGCTCTGTAAGATAGATTTTTTTTATTAATACACATACAGAAAAACTAATTTTGTTATTCATCGAAATATAATATGAATCATGATACCTTAGAGCTTATATTATATTAATACTAAACTTTGCAATGGATTACAACATGTAGCAATAGACACTACGCCACATGCTCACTGTCCACACTGCCCAGTAACGAGCAATAAGACTGTGTCCTTGTCTGTAACCAGCCTACGAACACCTGTTACTACATACAACCTGTTCCAATAAATGACCTAGAGAAATATCGCTACACAATTCATTCAGTCATCACATCAATAAATAAATCAACAAATGTTTTGTTAACTATTCCAACCTTACATACTAGAAATTAACTTTTACAATAGGTTACAAATAAATTGTCATGTTATGTTTGCATGGTTCACTTCATTTACCAGTGATGAGAAAAGCAGTCCATGCTTCTAGCATGCTTGACTTAAGTTAATTAAATGTACAATATGATTCAATATGTGTACTGATGGAGTATTTACACAGCTACAGTTTAATAAACACAATCACGTCAAACTGGCTGCAGATGTTGGCAGAAAGAAATATATCGAACAGAATGAAATGACACCAATCCTGCCAATCTTAGGCTATAAAATTCATTCCAAGGCAAAGGCTTTTGGGAAAATCGTGCAGATGAGTAACCATTTTTAGTGTGTGTCAAAACTAGTACATAACCAAATACAGTTTTGTGCAATCAACCTGGGAAAGGGCCTCCCTACATAATCGTATTCCTTGATGAGTAAAATGCTGATAAATTTGTCTCCTTTCATCCAATTTTAAGAGGCTATTGGTGATTTTATATTTTGTTTGATCGTCACATGTGTCTTCAAATTAAGATGCCTTAAATACAGGGATACACACCATGAGTTAAAATTGTCTATAATTCAATTTGGATGACTGCTTTAAGCATGTTAAGTAACAAACCTGACCATGATAAGATAACTAGAATCGGAGAGAAAACATCTTGTCCCTAACGCAGTGTCCAGACTTCACTAATCTTGGGACTAGTTAAAATATCAGCTGCTGTGTCTAATCCTGGACTACCAAGCCACAACAAATGATATAGCGCCAGACTCACTTCCTTTCATGCCCAATGTATAATTTATTTGCTATTTGTTATCATAAAATGTAAACATCTTTCGCTACTTATGATAACTTCCCTAATAATGACCCGCAAATATATATTTGGGATTCCACCTTGACATACACTTTTCTTGGGGAAAAAGAAGTATTTTATGTCATGAAGTGAGTGTGTTTTACATGTGTTTTATGCTGCTTTTAGCAATATCACACCAAGTTATTAGAGAGGAGGCGGGTATTACCGATGATGTGGCATTCACCGATGGATTTATAAATCTCATCTCAAACACGTTAAACATACACATTTACCATCATAAATGTGTATGTCAATAGTAAGTATACTTTCTCTTCCGGAATGAACCTTCGATTGCCTAAAAGTATCTACTATCAACCCATAAGAATCTATGTGCAACACTGCCTCCTTGAACTCTAAAGACCACCTCCGTGGTCTAGTGGTAGAGCGTCCGCCTGGAGAGCGGAAGGTCCGGGGTTCGATCCCCAGCCGTGTCATACCAAAAGACGTTAAAAGATGGTACTTGTTGTGACCATGTCTGGCGCTCGGCATTAAAGGGTTAAAGCAAGGACTGGTTGGCTCGGAGTCAGTATACTGTGTCTGAGTGGGGTATTCATGTTAAACTGCGACATGGTATCTCAGTGGGCTAGCACTATAAATCGGCATCAGTCCGGACTAGTACAAGCAGCCACACACACACACGTGCATGCACGTCGCTATATAAGTGCAATAATCTTGGACGCGATGTTGAACCAAATTTCACCTCAACTTGAACTCTAACACACTAAGCGACATCAATATTCATGACCTACATTGCCCCAAAGCCAATCACATCTTGCTGAAGTTGGGTTTCCACCAGATATTTATAGACTAGCCAACCGCGGACTCGATGACGTGTTTCTGTCCCACAATGCAGTCTTCCCGCCACATTGGCGGTCGTTATAGTCTGTATCGGTAAAGGCCTCCGCTTGAAACGTGAGTGCTGCATTTACCGATAACTCAACCACCGATAGTCCTAGTTGTATATGCAAATATTCAGTGAATTGAAACGACTGATATTTATGTTTCTTTTATCTAAAATTAACATATATGAGATTTATACATAATATATACAAAATTTGCCCTAAATGAAATAGAATGCAAAATTCACAAGAAAGCTGTGTTCACTCGATTTACAATAGATGAAATTATTCACATACCTAGAGTAAAGCGCTAATGTGAATACATTTAAAAATAAAATATATTATAGATCTAGTATAAATATATTAATATATATTTATATATATAACATATAATATATATTGTAACATGTGAAGTATTTTCACGAACAATACGATGAAAAATCGTAATATCACATTGATAAAAATTAACAAATTATGTTATAATTACAGCATTTAGTAGAGTAAATCTCTTTTTTGAGAGGCAATCCTCAAACGATAATCTTATTTCAGGAAACAAGAAATAGCCAAATCAGGGTCTACCAAACAAAGACAAATATGCCTGAGTGTGTTATTAACACATGAATTTGAGTAAAACGTAGGAAATAAAATGTGTCCAAAGCATATTAAGTGTTTCTGTTGTAATCTTAGGAATTTTGAAACAAGCTATAGTCCATCAGCGTCTTCTTGTCACATTACCACATTGATATTATTTTGGGTTTTACACGGTTAGGATTTCATAAATATATCTTGAGCACTACACACGGGTACTAATTACTTCAATTTAAATTATCGGTAATTGCCGACTGAAGTCATCGGCAGACCCACCCTTCATCGGTAAATGCGAACTTCCGGGTTTGCGTTTTCGTGCCGTGTTACGAACCCACTACACAAAAAACACGGCCACACTGCATATTGTGGTAATAGAGTTGACCGAAGACACATTTGAGAGAACTCGCCACCCAAATGCACTATGTTCTTATTTGCATTGGGTTTCCCCCTTACCATATCGGTAAAACCAACCTCCGCTCTATCCATATTCTTACAATGACCAAAAATCGTAATAACACTTTTGAGTTATGGAAAAAAACATGATATTACATTATGAGTTGATATCATTTGCTTAAAATCAAGATATTCAACTTTTGAATGTACTAACATACTACTAAAGAGCAATGTAAGACATATATATAAAAACGTCTGTGCAATGTTAGCTCTCCCTTCAGTATCATGAATAATGAAAATATAAAACTTTACCTATTAGACCACGTCACCGTCAATCATAATGAATTGGCACTGTTAAGTTGCAATGAATTTGAAGCATCCAATTTTCACTAGTCTAAACAGAGACCATATATTACAAAAAGTATGGTCTTTAGTCTAACATAACAGCTCTGTAGGTTACTAATACTATGAGCAATGAATTAATCTTATGCAGAATAGATCTTTATGGGTTCCAGTCAAGTTTATTTTTCAGTAACAAATTGGCGAATTTCTTTAACCCCTCTGTTATTATCAAATTCTTATCAGTACACTTCCTAAACTTATCCCCCCCCCCCCCCCCCCCCCCCAAAAAAAAAAGACGAATGCATACGCCACGTTTATATCGACTGCTCGAGTAAACATCTGGCCGAAATACCGGACACCTTCAGAAGGCGCATTGTCGTCATTTCTAAAGACAATACGGGGAAGATCAGACAATCGTTCAAGAAACTTCTTAATAAACTTACACAAAATGTGACGACCCGCAGGAAATAAGCACACGAGTTACGGAACACACGTCAGGTCCCACAGCTTGAAGCCAATTGACTTTGTTTACATCCGCAGACGAAAGCGCCGCGTCAAACTTTCACAGAATCTCGCGAGAATGGTAAAATTAAACCTAAGAAATCATACGGATTACGATTTGTATCAAAAAGTCTCTTTGACAGAAAAAGATGGGATTTTGACAGCTTAGTAAGTACCACAATATATATTTATTGTGGGACTAATAATGAGTTCAAAATTCAGTGTTTGGTGTAGTTATGTATTTACGTTCATACGTAATTCGGAAAAAGTTTATCTTTCAATTTACAGTTTTATAGATATTCAAAATGGCTGCTTACATTAACCATGTGATTTTGTTTTAAGGACACTGTAAGTTTTACATTTGCGACTTATGTTGTCTTGTCCAGCGACTGTTACCTTGTTGAAATGTTTCTATGCATTATAGTGGTTCAAATTCGAAGAGTGGCATGCAGATGTAATTGTGAAGGAAGCAAATATATATTCAAGATGATACATGTTCAGATTTCGTTCACCCCAATATCCGAAGGGATGTGTCAAAACTCTTTCTTAGCCGTGATCATGATTTGTCAAACCCACACAAATGTCTGGCTTTTACACCAAAAAAATCAACGGCAACAATGCAGTTTACCGGGCGCAGCCCAAGCTTGCCACTCAATTACCGTGCTATAGTGCTACTGCTGTCACGCTATGCCGTTACCGTGCCTCACGCTCCGGTGATCTCGCTTCACGATCCAACACCCGTTTTCGGTCTTAGGGAAACTTACACGTCTCTACGATCCAACATCCCCCCTTTTCGGTCCTTAGGGTTAGCTTGCTTTGGGCAAGGGTTAGCCATAATTTGTTATCTTTTCAAGCATTAATCTGGTTAATCCAATTGGTCGGTCATGTTGACATAAATCAGATATACTACAGAACTCGTTCTTATCATTATTAAAAAAAATATATATTTTTTTTTTATGTTTTCATGACAAGTTGGAATTTACTGAAATATGAGGGTTGTGCTGGTAAAGTGGTGCATTTTGATGGTTTGGGATTTATTTTTTGTCATTTTTGTTGTTTTCATGACTACAGCAAAGCTGACAACACAAGAACTGCGCAGAGTGAACTGGCTTTAGTGAGGCAAATTGAAGAAAACGTTTGTGTCTATTTCTTACAGGTTAGTTGCAAAATACTAATTGTTAGCTTGATTTTATTCAAAGCCTAGATTACAATATGGACATGCCCTGGTCATATAAAGCCAATCACTCTCGAGTCCTACCCAGAGTTCCTAGTACCTCTGTCACATCATCACATCTTACACAGTCCATTCATGTGTTTTTCAGCTGTTTCATTTTGGGCACATATTTCTACACATATAGATAAACAGAACTTTCATTGGAAAACTATTTCTATTTGCTTATTTATACTCCACATGCTGTCGTCGAAACCCTATGGAGAGCTAGCGATATGGTCACTTTGATGTGTAAAGCTATATTGTCATATATCGGGTATTATTTGCAAACAATGCGTCAGAACAGTCGATGTACAGGCCCTTTAAAAGTCAAGGAAACTGAAAACAATTATTGCATTTTTGTTGCAAATTTCTATTTTCCTAGATACATTTACTCAATTTCTGAGAGAGAAAGATGGTTAATATTCATAGACTATTAAAATAACAATTAACATGACTAATAATCTGTAACAAGCTACTTATTAAAGTCCTGCACCATGACTGTGGAATATGTATTTTTTAGGTATTTCTTTTTTACTAAAAGCTTAGGCAAGTCTAAATCAAACTAACAAAGTCTAGTTTGCTTGATTCCACATATGAAAACAGCAGAAGAGGAATTTTTTTTTTAAAGACATGTTTTCATTGACTTAGTGTCAGTCTATACTTATGACTAACATCCTGTTTGGGTACAATACACAAGATAAGTCACCTGCCGCCATCGGTCCTTGTCCACACTATGAATACCTGTCAGCGATTATTCCAGACATCTTCATTCTTGTTACTTATAAGGCATAAGTTGACAGATGTTCCGGACACGGTCATCAAACATTTGAGCAGACAGAAAACGTCCCGTAATGCGATTAAAAAATCTGAAGTAGGAGCCGGCAGATTGGTCCGATGCTTGAAATCACATTTCAAACTCCAGGAACCTGTTTTAACCCCAGCGAAGGGAATTCCCTCAGGGGCAGATTCTTTCATTAGAGCAACAGTCACAACTGATTGAGTTACATATCAGAAACAACACGTCAGTTATCTTCAATGTTCATACTACAGCATCAATCAATTTTTATTTCGTACTCAAGAAGCCACAGGCCTTTAGTACATAATACAATTCAACATAATTATTCATTACAATAGTTATCAAATTGAAATAAATTGTCTCCCACATATATACATCATGACAACCATAAATATGCTCATTTTATTCTGGCATAGATAGTATTTAATTAACAGTTAACAATTTCATTTCTATCATGTCTATGGGCAAAAGCATGGTCAATAAACATCGATAAATTCTTTACAAACTCTGTTCTCGCACATTTTAAAAAACTTATAGATTTACATATGTTTGGTTCACTGTAATAGTATTTTGGTAAGTATTTAAGTTACACATGTTACATTTTCTTTGTTCTCATGGGGTATTTATATATCTGCCCGTTTCAATATGTAGATCATGCGACATGCAAAGAAACTGTGCCAATGCTTTTCTATATTTACATACTACAGTAGTTAGAGTTATTGATTCAAAGAAGCGGCATGGGTGGCCTAGTCTTCTAAGGCGCCACAATGCGCTGTGCAGAGTGGCGTCTCTTGGGCATGCCAGAAACCTATGATTATGGGTTCCAATCCTGTTTCTAGGTTTGTCAGCACCATACCCATGCTCGTGGGTTTCACTGAAGTGGTAAACGTCTGAGACCTGCATCACTTCGGGCTTTCCTCCCACGTTAAGCAGACACGCCATGATATAACTGGAATACTGTTAAAAGCGGCGTTAAACCCAACGCACTCAATTCCTATTTATTCAAAGAGGCATTCTTTTATTCTTTTAGTCTAGAATGATTTGGCAAGTTTAGATTTGAAATTAAGCTTTGTACAGGTCTCCTTTTGGATTATATTTTATTTTGTAGATGTGTATTTTTAAATAAGATGTCTTTATTTCTGGGACTGAACATTAGTCTAGCATCTAATGATTCACAGTGCATATTATTTGCGTCATCTCTCAAAATTTATGTTTACGGGAAGCAATATTGTGTGTCCAGTAAATCCTATCTGCTGCCATGAAAACCATGCACACTTCTGATATTTGTTCCATTGATATTTAGTCACAGTGTACAAGATGGCCAAGAGTAAGAAGAAGAAACAGGAGGACTTTCAGAAGGTCAAGTTGAAGGTCGGCAAGAGGTTACCCAAAGGTCAAAATGTTACGAATACCAGCTTCAAGACTCACGCCATTCAAGTCGTCCAGCAGATCAAGTCTGATGGGGCACAGCCCAGCACACACAGGAAACTCAATATTGCGGTAAATCATTTCATGTCAAACCGTTCGGGTACTGCTGTTAAACAGTGAATCTTAGCCCAGACCCTAGGGAATAAATTAAAAAAGGAGTCCACCTCAAGTCTAGATTGCCTCAGCACCTGAAATTAATGGTTGCTCTGGGCTCCATTTGGATTATATTATTTTTATTTTGTAGATATATGTTTTTGAATAAGATAAATGTCTTATCTGGGACTGGAAGTGAATGTCAGTCTACACTCAGATAATCTCAATATCAAAAGATATTCTGTTTGTCATCCAAGGTTATTACATACAGCTATAAACTAGCTCATTGGCAGAGAGATTAGTGATGTTGTTTGTTTGTTTTGCTAATGACATCACAATGGTCTGCAAAGCATTGTGATGCAATCTCACCCTTGATCTCTCCACCTCACTAATGCATGTGCAAATCATGTAATTGGCTTGATCTCCACATATCATCAGATTGGTTGTCCCAGAGACCTGTGAAGATTACTGGGTAGAATTGGTCTTCAGCAACCCATGCTTGCTGTAAAAGGCGACTAACAGGATCGGGTGGTCAGGCTCGCTGACTTGGTTGATGCATGTCATCGATCCCAATTGCCTGGATCAATGCTCATGATATTAATCACTGGATTGTCTGGTCCGGACTCCATTATTTACAGACCGCGGTCATATAGCTGGAATATTGCTGAGTGCGGCGTTAAACAACCAACCAACCCAGAGACACTACCAGTGTTATTAATGGAAAAAAAAAAGGAATTATACTTTTGGGCTCAACTGGTATTCATCCGGTTGGTTTGACAATACATCTTCACAGGGAGAACTCGCTCAAATCTGTGAAGGTTGTTTGATTGTTGTCTAATGTCCAAGTGAGCAATATTCCAGGTATGTGACAGCAGTTTGTAAATAATCACTTCCGGAACAGACGATCCTGTGATTGACATCATAAGCATCAATCCACGTAATTGGGATACAATGACATCATCAGCCAAGTTGTGAGCCTGACCACCTGATCCTGTTTGTCACCTCTTTGCTAAAGACCAATTCTAATCCGGATCTTCATGGGTGTTGAAATTATCCCCCCTATTCTGTTTCAGGATCTGCTGCCAAAGTGTCAGCACTACAGCATCAGCGTCCGCCACGACGGCGTGACCGGCCTGCGGGAGTTGATGACGTTACATCCGCACATGATCACATCACAGCTAGCCGTCATCATAGAAAAAGCCTTGCCTCTTATCATGGACAAAGATTCAAATGTTCGTCAAGCATGTTTAAAGTTGTTCAAACTTGTATTTACCAGCACCCCAACCCAGCAGATTGAGCCGTTCTTTCCAGTACTCTCGGCACATTTATGTTGTGCAATGACCCATATTTACGACGACATCCAACATGACTCTCTGGAAGTGTTTGATTTGCTACTGGACACATACCCACTCCTCATTGCCAACAACTCGGGGCAGCTGCTGCAAAATTTTATCGAACAGATTTCCCGCCAGCAAAATGTCACAAAAGGTCAAAAGTCCAATTTATCTCTGGCTGTGAAACCTGACAGTAAATATTCCGTGCAGCGATGGCGGTCGGGAATATTGAGTCGAATATACAAGTTGTTGATGGTGTTGCTGACGTGGAGATTCACGGATACTTCAACGTCGGGTCTCGGGGACAAGGGACATGAATATACAGCTGTGTCCTGTATCCCTTTACAGTTTCCATCAAGTGTAGCAGATTCTTGGGAGCGACCTGGATTTAAATTAAAGTGAGTCTTAGTTTGCGTTTATCTTGTTTATGCTCAATGTATTTTTGGTTTTTTTAATGCAGCACTTAGGAATATTACACCCATATGTTGGCAGTGATTGACATCATGAGCATCAATCTTCACAATTAGAATACGATGATATGCATTAACCAAGTCAGCAAGCTTGACCACCCAATGCCGTTATTTGCCTCTTATGACAAGCGTGGGTTGCTGAAGACCAATTCAATCCTGGATTTGTCACAGGGGTTGCTCCCAATGTTGTAAAGTGGGAAATATTGAATCTAATTGGATTAGATCTTCAATGGTCGATGCTGAAATATTTTCTTATCAAGCTGATTGTTGGATTTATGTCTGCATGTAACCATGGTAACAGATGATTATTGACTTTACATCATATGAACATTTGATGAAATTAGCATGGTTGACATAATTCTCTGAAATTGGCTACTGGCCCAAAGCAAGGGGGAGAGGGACCCAGTGGTCTAAGGTGCCTCAATTTGCATAGCCTAATCAAAATCAAGTAACAAAATCGACATCCGGTCTGTAAACGGCAGTGCAGATTTTTCAGTAGTTTGCAGGATTTGCAAAGCATGTGTACCGCCAACTCGGCATCAATAGATATTTTCCCAATCTTTTAATGTTTTTTAATTAAGGTGCTCATGTGATCGAAGTAAGACCTGTAAGACCTGTATAATTACAAAATGGATCTTGATTATCGGTTTGACCGGGGGCTGCAATTTTGTTTGAAGCAAATGCAAGTGATATGGGAGGTGGAATCTGACTGGTCAATAGCAGGGACATAGAAGGGACATAACCCGTAATCGCCACTACAAAGGAGCCTAGAAATTCCAGCCTAGTTCGGCAAGGGTGGAAACTGGACTTTTGTAGTCAGTTATCTCCCTTGCCTCAGGAAGATGCTCAGTGACATGTTTGACCAACAGTTTTTGCCGCAGTTATGATCCTTGGTCTACCCTCAGTTTGACTATGTGTAACAATCAGTAGGCATATTGTAGGACTCCGACAATCGAGTAAACATGGTAAAGCCAGCTTTGTTTGTTATCAGACCAGTCTTGTATGTGTCAAATTCAGAAAAATGATGACATTTCGATTCAAAAAGAAAAATCAATCGATACGCGATCAAATGGATACCAATTTCAATGCAATTTTGTATCAGTATAAATATACATGTATCTCGTATCGTATCGTGAGAATTATCTACCGGTGCATCGGTACAATCAGTGAATCATGACATCCCTATGTAACATGTTCATCTTGGGGGGATTCCTGCCTAGGTTGGTTTGTTTTTTAACGCCGCACTCAGCAATATTCCAGCTATATGACGGCGGTCTGTAAAAATTGGAATCTGGACCAGACAATCCAGTTATTGATATCATGAGCATCAATCCAGGTAATTGAGATCGATGACATGCTTCAACCAGGTCAGCAAGCCTGACCACCCGATTCCTTTAGTCGCCTCTTCCGACAAGCATAGTGGCCTTTTAGGTAAGATCTCAGCAACCAATGTTGGTCGTAAGAAGCGACTAATTGCATGTCTTTGTACCCAGACAATGTAGATCGTTGCTCACAATATCAATCATTGGATTGTCTGGTCCAGACTCCATTATTTTCAGGCCGCTGTCATTGAGTTGGAATATTGCAGAGTGTGGCGTTAGAAAACAAAACATACACACACTCAACTCGTACCTCACATATTACTTTTGCCTTTCCTCCATCAATAAGTCGACATACCATGATATAAAGCGCTCATTGTACAGGATTCTGGCCCAAGTAACTATTGTATAACTGGAACACTTCAACATGGAAATGGGGCGGTCGGGAAGCCTAGTGGTTAAAGCGTTCACTCCGAAGACCCGGGTTTGATTCCCGACATGTGTGAAGTACAATGTGTGAAGCCCATTTCTGATGTCCCCCGCCGTGATATTGCTGGATTATTGTTAAAAGCGTGTTACTCACTCACTCAACATGGTAATTTGTCACCAGGGTTACAATAATGGCATTGATTTTTATGTTTAATGTTTTGTTATGACATTGATAAACAGCTTTTTATATTTCATAGTTTGTTATGGCATTGTTAAATACTTTTTAGGTTTCATATTTTGTTAATTATTGACATCGTAGCCTAAAGTTTTTTTCTGTGTTTGTTAAAAGGTCAATCACTGCCACAAGTGTGACATCGTCAAAGGGAGATAACTTCACTGACTTTGCCACATCTCTGATTCCTCTGCTTGTTCAGTGCTGGGTGGAATGTCGATCTTCTCAAGGACAACACAAGGTCAAAGGTATTATTTTCTTCTTTAAACAATAATACCCAAATGATATGACTGGCACTACCAGAGGATTCCAGGGAAGAGAGGCGGTGGGGTAGCCCAATGGTCAAAGTGTTCACTCGTAACGCCAAAGGGAGAGCGGAAGGTCCGGGGTTCGATCCCCGGCCGCGTCATACCAAAAGACGTTAAAAGATGGTACTTGTTGTTACCCTGTCTGGCGCTCGACATTAAGGGGCTAAAACAAGGACTGGTCGACTCGGAGTCAGTATACTGTGTCTGAGTGGGGTATTCATGTTAAACTGCGGCATGGTATCTCAGTGAGCTAGCACTATAAATCGGCATCAGTCCGGACTAGTACAAGCAGCCACACACACACATACACGTGCATGCACGTCGCTATATAAGTGCAATAATCTTGGACGCGATGTAAAACCCAATTTCACCTCACCTCACCGTAACTCCAAAGACCGGGTTCGATTCCCCACATGGGTACAATGTGTGACGCCCATTTCTGGAATATTGCTGAAAGCGGCATAAAACTTTACTCATGTACGAACGAATAACTATTGTCTCATGAGGTCTTTAGTACTGGCATGTGCATGTTTTGTTAGATCGGGCGTGGAGGGGGGGAGCACGGGTGTCGCAATTTGCTATGCAGAGTTGCGTTCCTTGGGCAAGCCAGAAACCTATGACCTATGATTGTGGGTTCGAATCCCGGTTCACCCGCTTATGTTTCTAGATTTGTCAGCACCATACCCGTGCTCGTGGGTTTCACTGAAGTGGTAAAAGTTTGAGACCTGCATCACTTCAGGCTTTCCTCCCACATTAAGCTGACACAGTGATATAACTGGAATGCTGTTAAAAGCGGCATTAAATCGAACTCACTCACTCTGTGTTAAATGGTCATCATCTTCCCAAGGCAAGGGCAACTGACTATAAAAGACCAGTTTCCACCATTGCTGAACAAGGCTGGAATTTCAAGGCTCGATCCTAAAGCAACAAGTGGCTATTATGCTAAAACTCCATTTAAAGTGCTAAACAGAACTTCCTTGTGTGCTATTTTGCATTCAGAATGTACTTTTGGATGGACAGAAATGGTCCTTGAACACAAATATTCTTGCCTTGGGAAAACGAGAGGTCATGGGTCATGTGAAGCAGATAGGTTTGACAAATGTTGATTTATCTATTTACCCAAATGTCAGCGAGGTTGCATGTCAATTGTGGGGCTTCAATATCTCTGAATGCTGGCTCTAAGAAATGTCTTCAATTGAGTATTGGTTATCACTTGCTTGATAACGGTGTTAGAACCGACATCGAGACATCGCTCCTAATTGTAATAAAGACGTTGTTCATGCATATATCTTATACTTACTTGGTGTTGATGTTGTCAGACAACCTGGTGTCCCCTGGGTCTGTGACCGTGATGCTCCACGTGATGCAAGTCCTCCATCTACTGTGGCAATGTCTGGACAGCGCTGCCGACACCACCAACACCGCGGTATGTTACACACACCACACTCACGGCATAATGATTCTAATTATTATTATTATTATTATTATTATCACGGCATAATGATTCTAATTATTATTATTATTATTATTATCATCATCATCATCATTGTCATCATCATCATTATTATTATTATTATTATTATTATTATATACTACTGGGGCGGTCGGGTAGCCTAGTGGTTAAAGCGTTTGCTCGTCATGCCGAAGACCCGGGTTTGATTCCCGACATTGGTACAATGTGTGAAGCATATTTCTGGTGTCCCCCGCTAAAAGTGGCGTAAAACCATACTCAGTCACTCACTCACTATTGTGTACTACTGATGCTGCTGCTGCTACTACTGCAACCACTACCACCACCACCACCACTACTGGTGCTGCTGCTGCTACTACTACTACTACTACCACTTATTCTACTGCAACTAACCCACTGCATAAAATCTTAATGCATCAAGTACTTAATAATCCCAGCAAATCAGAAAATAGCAATTCTTGACATTAGAAATAAATTATACAACTTAGAAAACGATTATACTGCTCGTTTAATGACCCCCGGCAGTTTTATCAGTCAAGACTCGCAAAATGTGTTGTAATTAAGTTCACCTCTAAAAATAGCTGCAATGAACATGTGTCTAGCTTTTCCTTTTGAACCTGATCTTAAATATTTATGGTCAAGAAATTTCCACACGATTTGACTTAAATATGTATATCGCATATATGTGACCATTGTACCGTGAAACGTCTCATATTGTGACCCCTACTATTTACTGCAGGAAATGGGGCGGTCGGGTAGCCTAGTGGTTTAAGCGTTCGCTCGTCACACCGAAGACCCGGGTTTGATTCCCGACATGGGTACAATGTGTGAAGCCTATTTCTGGTGTCCCCCACCGTGATATTGCTGGAATATTGCTAAAAGCGGCATAAAACCATACTCACTCACTCACTGCTACAGGAAATATGTGTTGTAGGTGAAGGGCATCTGTGGGAGCCATGAGAAGGAGTTTGTCCATCACTTCATGACCTACTTCCCCTACAGCATACAGGACAATGCTGGACACCGCAACGCCACCGCCGCAGCCCACAGGAAGAGCAAGAAGGAGGCCAGCCAGGTTAACAGCTCTGCCATATGTTTTGCTCACTTTCGGTTAGGTGTCATACAGGCCCTCTAAGTCATTGATAGACCATCTATGGGACGAGTTGGATTGCTGCGTACTACAGCATCATCCTGACCTGGCCCCAATTTCTGCCTACAACGTCTACACCTATTCATCAGCGCCATTTTATGACTTAAGTTAAACTTAAGTTACCTTCCTACCTAACTCAAATTGTAAACTCAGTTTGTGTTCAAAATATACGTAAGCGTAGTGGGGCCACGATGAATATTTTTTTGTCTGAGTATATCCTACGTAGGACTTAGTATCTTCTATGTAGGACCTAGTATCTCCTACGTAGGACTTAGTATCTTCTATGTAGGACTTAGTATCTTCTATGTAGGACTTAGTATCTCCTACGTAGGACTTACTATCTCCTATGTAGGACTTAGTATCTTCTATGTAGGACTTAGTATCTTCTACGTAGGACTTAGTATCTCCTACTTCTTAGACAAAAAAAAATTTCACTGTTGCCCTACTCACTTCCATTAAAATCGAACTCAGTTTGGTTCAAGAAATGCATTTTGTTGAGTTTTCTTAATTTTGAGTAAAAACTCAGACTTAAGTCAGTGTTTGAACTTAAGTTTGTTTCGAGAAATCAGGGCCTGAGCAGCTGCACAGGCCGAGTGGGCTAACATTCCCCAATGTGTGATCCATACTCTCGTTGCTTCCATAGTGTTAGCGACAAGTGCTTATGGTCAAAGGGAGAATACTCTAGATACCAGAAATAAACACAAATGTAAACACTGTGAGTGTGGGGAAATTCTGATAATGCTAAGTAACTTGTAAGTAATGGTAAGTGATCGAATGTTTGGTGCATGTTGCTAGGATATCTGGTTAGGCTGTGAGGATGTAACAGGGATTGTAGAAATGTGAGTTTTAGTCTGGGTCTTGAATCAACAAGTCAAGTTGTAACGAGCTGTGTTATGATCTTACAATAGGCAGCAAGGTGTCAGGCAATACTTGATGGTGGATACATGAGATCCTGGGTTCTCGTGACCTTGACTTTTTCCCACTGTTATCCTGTTTGCAATCTGGTCACTTATCAAGTGTTTACATGTGCAGGTACATGTTGTTACTTCCCACTGGGGGCTGTCGGGTAGCCTAGTGGTTAAAGCGTTCGCTCGTCACGCCGAAGACCCGGGTTTGATTCCCGACATGGGTCCAATGTGTGAAGCCCATTTCTGGTGTCCCCTGCCGTGATATTGCTGAAATATTGCTAAAAGTGGTGTAAAACCATACTCACTCACTACTTTCCACTGCCCAGAGCATGGTGGTGGGTTAGCCTAGTGGTTAAAGCGTTCGCTCGTCATGCCGAAGACCCAGTTTGACTTCCCACATGGGTACAATGTGTGAAGCCCATGTCTGGTGTCCATCGTAATATTGCTGGAATATTGCTGAAAGCGGAGTAAAACTATACTAACGGATGAACGGATAGACGGACGAATGAACGAAAGAACAAACGAGGTTGGAGCAGTGTATGAGTGGATGCATGCTTATTGTTGTCATTTACAGTAACTGACCTTGACCTTTACAGGTGACTGCAGAAGCCTTGAACCTGTCAGTTTGTGAGGTCATGACCTTCTTGGTGGAGACAACCAATGACAAGACACTATCTACCAGTATTGGGGACTATTTGTGTGCATGTCTGGCCATGGAGCAACTGGGACCAGACCTCAGCAAGACCTTGGCCGCCATCTTGCAACGTTTTCTCACAGTCTGCCACGACACAGGTATGATTCTATCAGGCATGCTGTGGTTGTCAGAGTAGAGTCTCTTACACTGTGGTCACAAGTGCTTAGGGATCGAAGGTTATGATGTGTGATCTGGCTCTGTGTAATACCAAGATGACATGTTTTTTGGTTCTTTAGTCAGAATTTGACAGCCACCATCACTAGTAGTATTTCTCATGCCCCCTGTGCAGAGATTTGTGACATTATAGGAAATCATTACACAGACTTTTTCCAAATGGCCCTGAGAAATTCTTTACCCACATGTCAGTGAGAATATCAAAGGTCAAGGTCAAGTTCACGAAACTTCCTTGTAAAACTTACTTAAAATAAGTTAATCCTCCTGTCATTAAACTGGGATTGTACCTTCTTCAGGAGGGGCACTTGTTTGAAAAGGTTTTGGTCAAAGGTCAGGTCAGTCAAGGGTCAAGGTCAATTTTCAGATTGTTATGAAGTAAAACATGGTAATTGTAATTGTTTCTTAGGCACCGTTACCTCTGTAGGGGTAAAACTTGATTTTTGTAAGTTCTGATTTGTTGAATGGTTTGGGCACTAATTCTGTCCATTTTGGTCATTTTTGTCCACCGCCACGAAGTGGGGCAGGTGATATGGGAACGGAGTTCGTCCATCCACTTGTCCTTTCGCCCGGCCACTACTCAATGGGGACAAATTTTCTCAAAAACTGTTAAGTTAGATAAATGAAATTTTACACACTGATATTACTGGTCAGGATCTTAAATTAGTTTCGAAAATTGGTGTCTTTAATTCAATTTTTTAGTTATGGCCCTTGCTCCATGCTTTTCAACCTAGAACATACTGCGTGAAATGGGGACAGGTTTTCTAAGTAACTACTGATGTGCATGCTTATCTTCGAGATATTTGTCAAGTGACTTCGAAAATAGGTGCTGTAAATTATGTTTTTCCAGAGTTACATATCTTGCTACTTGTCTTTAAATTTTGTGCATACACAGTTACAGCCCTTGATCCATGCGATTTTTTTTTCTTTCTATTTAGTGCATAGTGTCTGCATTGGGGAAAGTGAAACAAGATTTTCTCATGACATAAGGCCACCCCAGTGCCTATCTCTTCTTAAAGATATACAGGGCTCTTTTTTCATAGTTAACATGTTATAAACTACTATATGAACAAAGAAAATTCCCCATCACTGGGGATAGTGATAACGCTGTTGTCTTGTTAAGGTTTGTGATATTGTGTTTTGTGTCAGATCTTGTGGAGAGTATGGTGGAGCATGCCCTGGGTCGGTACAACAAGGCCCATCCTCTGTCTACCGAGAAGCGTCTGTACTTGGAGCTATTCACCAGCCTCTTTCTGGATTCGAAGACACAACTTCCAAAGTGAGGCTATGTGAAAACTAACAATGAAAAATGAAAATTTTAAACTGCGGCATGGTATTTTGGTGGGCTAGCAGTCGTCTAAAGCGCAGCCATTCATTATGCAAAGTTACCTCCAAAATCCACGACAAGCCATCTCCTTGACCGGGCTGGTTTATCTAGGATTCATCTTCTCTTGCCTGCCAGATGTTATCCATCTTTATGGGGGGCACGGTGGCCCAGTTGTCTAAGGTGCTACAATTTGCTGTGCAGAGCACATCAGAAACCTATGATCGTGGGTTCAAATCCTGGTTCACCCCGATTATGTTTCTAGGATTGTCAGCACCTTACTCACGCTGGTGGGTTTCACCAAAGTGCTAAACATCTGAGAACTAATCGCGTTTCATGTTTCAGGAGGGGCACTTGTTTGAAAAGATTTTGGTCAAAGGCCAGATCAGTCAAAGGTCAAGGTCAATTTTCAGATTGTGATGAAGTAAAACATGGTAATTGTAATTGTTTCTTGGGCACCATTACCTCTGTAGGGGTGAAACTTGAAACTGTGTTTCATAAGTTTAAGATATTGTGGGTGAGGGGGAGTTTGTCTCCTGAAGAAGATATTTGTTTTGTCTGAGCAATAATGACCTTTTTTGTCCTCAAGCGTGGGGGTACTTATGGACCAGTTCTTCCAGACACTGCCGGACTTACTTCCCCATGTCTACTGTGAGAGTCCCCAGATGGCAGCACTCATTGTTCGGGTAATGAGACAAGCTGCCTGTCAGAGGTGTCGCCCTCTGCTGGACAATCTGGAGACTAACTTCCTGTCAATACTAGGTGAGTCTGAAGTAGAGTTTGCTTGTATGTTATGGTTTAGGAATGGCTCCGAGGTTTGGGTTGAAAAGGATCAACCATGAGCAAGGAAATCCCTGAGGGCTAAAGGCGAAGTGTCTTTACTAATTTATGAACCGTCTAAATGCAGGAAATATCAAAAAGAATGAAAAAAACATTGCGATAACTTCCAGTGAAACAATACACCAGTCACGGTACAAACAAACAAAATCCATGACAGCAGATGGAGAACAACTACATGCAGCATGCAGACAACTGAAGTCATGACATGTAAGATTGAAGACTGTTTCATCACCTTCCCCAGTGGCTCATTTGGAAAACAGTACAAAAAAGTAAATTTAGTAAGGTCATAAGATCTAAAAATATCTCTTTTTATGTGTAGGTATATTCTTGTTTTTGCTAGATCTATAAATAATTTTCTTAACCATTAATATGATTGCATTATTTAGGATTGTTGTTTTTACCCTTAATGCCTAATAATATATTTTGATTTGAAAAATATATTTGTACTTGTATTAAGAGAGTCCATATTTCTAGTTTGTGCAATATATTAGAAACAATTTCACACTTTGCGTAAAGTTTTGCATAAAGGTGAATCAATATATCCTATTTTAAATACATAATTTCTAAAAGGTAGTATATTGTGTATGGTTCTATACTACCAGCCATTTCAGATCCATACTTTCGGTTCACTTATTTAAAAAGATCCTGTCCTGTGTATTGAATGGTATCAAAGTAGTTTCAATTTTTGGAATAAAGAAAAGTCAAAACAAATGTTATTTTAATTTATAAGATAGAATAAACTAACTAGAATTTCTTACTGAGTGTTTAATAAACTACCGTATATGACCGCGTATAAGCCGAATTTTGAGGACCAGAAAAAAGATTCTGTAGAAAGGGGTCGGCTTATCCACGGGATACACTTTCATGATAGTATTTTTCAGATCATGATCTGTCAGAAACATCGCCTGAATGACGGTCCGATAGATTACAACTTCCCGAAAGTTTGAAAGTTGCCACGACTAGAGCCATTATTGTAATAAATTATCAATAAAGTTATTATTATACACCAATGTTGTCATTATTAAAATGTTATGCATGTTACTACTTCCGATAATAAGTTTTCAATTGAATGTTCAAAGTTTATCGTTCTTCGTAAACTCCACAATCTTTACATGTAACAATATATGTAATTCACAGCTATAATATATAATCCCCAGATAAAATCGCCAATAGCTATTACGTACGTTTTGCAAAGTTCATAAATTGATAGTGAACAAGTGTCTACCTTTATTGAAAGAGGCAAATAAACAACTGTATCAGCGAGTTATTCCGTTCGCCATTTGCAAAAACATGTGATCAGCTGTTTCCTGTGACGTCACAAACGGTGACCACTGTGATTGCTTCCTGTTGTTTAAAGCAACACGGTACACAAGGAAATGAGCACTGATAATAACGGGCCGATTGGTATTGTCATGTTGTTTACACAAACATTTTCAAGTTGTGGGTGCTTAGCGATCGTGTTGGGAGTAGGGGCTTAATTCCTTTGTTTTCGAGAGATTAGTTTAATAAACTGGAAAAGCCTGTGAGTAAGTGATGGTCATTCAATGTGTTCATAGTATGATAGTTTATTTAATTCAATTGGATTAACATACAATAGTGGTGTAAAGGGGGTTATAAAAGTTGGTATATTTTTACTGACTGACATTTTCATCATGAGTTTTAAACGAAAACGCCATGCTTACGATGCTGAATTCAAACTGCGAGTCTTCGTTCCAGCTGATATATTTTCTCACGGGTTCATAATTCTATATACACCGATTCACAAAATGGCGCTTGGTTGTTGATGGCAACATATAACGATCATTATGAGATTTAAAAAAACCACGAGAAACAGCTTCCCACATTATGAAAGTGGATGACTGGTTTGTTAAATCTTTATTAGAAATGATAATGACTTTTTCAATATAATTACAACGTTTTTCATCTTATATTTTTTAATATCTGCGAGTACCGGCACATGTCTTTCAGTCCGACTTCGCAGTGTTTTTTGTCTTTCAATTCCTGATTCGGCTTATCTGCGGGTCATATCATTTTCTTTCGTATTTCAATGGTCATATAACACCTCGGCTTATCTACGGGGTCGGCTTATCCGCGGTCATATACGGTAACTAGAATTTCTTACTGAGTATTTTATAAACTAACTAGAATATTTTACTGAGTGTTTAATAAACTAACTAGAATTTATATTTTCCTGTAGATGTAACAGACGGTTTGTTCAGTCAGACCGAGGAAGCCCTACAGCACGGACTGCTGGACACATTGTACTGGGTACCGCACTTCACCACACAGCTCCTCACACGATTGGTTAGCCTCTGTCACCATGGCAACGTGTCATCAACAGTGTCATTGCATCTTCTTGATATCCTTCATACAAGGTGATACTGCTTGATTCAATATAGCATGATTGTTACTATGGTGAGAATTGTGAAAAACTTGTTTTATGAATCCACCAACCCTATGTATTTTATAGGTGGCGGAAAAAATAGGAAAACATTAACAATCTGTAAACCAAGATATTGGGACCAAGGAAGATCGGGGGTAGAATAGGTCTTCAGCAACCCATGCTTGCCATAAAAGGCGACTATGTTGCCATAAAAGGCGACTATGCTTGTCGTAAGACTTGCTGACTTGGTTGATGCGTGTGTGTGTGGCTGCTTGTACTAGTTCGGTCTGATGCTGATTAATAGTGCTAGCCCACTGAGATACCATGCAGCAGTTTAACATGAATACCCCGCTCAGACACAGTATACTGACTCCGAGCCTACCAGTCCTTGTTTTATCCCCTTAATGCCGAGCGCCAGACAGGGTAACAACAAGTACAATCTTTTAACGTCTTTTGGTATGACGTGGCCGGGGATCGAACCCTGGACTTTCTGCTCTCCGGGCGGACGCTCTACCACTAGACATCAGAGGCGGTCAGTTTGATGATAAATGTTAGCATTTTGTTATTCGTGTCTGGAGCTCATCCTTTTGTATGATCCAGTGCTTGTGGGAAGAATCAACTATATTGAGGATTGGGTGGTCACAATGTGGGGCAGGTTAGGTGTCCAAGACTCTGACAGTGTGCTCAAACTGTCAACACACCGACTCCAGACAACTACCTACCCCGTAGAGATTCCAGGTTCGAATTGCTCCCCAGCATCCTTTGCTGGTCGTCAGAGGCCACTTTATGGATCGGTAGTCAGACTCGATGACTTGGTGTGGATCATTGTTCACAATATCAATCAGTGGATTGTCTGGGGCAGACTATTATTTATAGGCGCCATCGTGTGGCTGGAATACTGCTGAGTGTGGCATTAAACAACAAACAAACAAACAAACAAACACACAGTTCAATTACCTACAGGTTGATATCATGTAGCTTGAATATTGCTGATTGCAGTGTGAAAAAGATGCCATCATTTAGGGCTGGGACGGCTAACTCTGGTACCCGGGTTGGGTGGGTTCTGAGCAGGACCCGGGTACCCACAGGACTACCCGGACCCATGGTTAGTCACGTGATATATTGTTTAATGACAAAAATTATCTAGAACACTATGGTTACACTACAAGTCACAAATGTTCACACCCATTCCTTGTGATTTTTCATATGGTTGAATAAAGATATAACTTAATTCAACTTGAGTGTATGAATGACCAGATTGTTTAATACATGTATCTAAATACGTTTTGCCAGGGCTATGCTGAAAATGTTCTCAATCGGATATTTTGAGACATCTCCTGAGACCTACAGTGGGTACCCGGGTAGGGTCAGGTAATAGGGGGGTGGGTACCCAGGTAGGGTCGGGTAATAGGGGGGGGGGGGGTACCCAGGTAGGGTCGGGTAATATGGGGGTGGGTACCCGGGTAGGGTCGGGTAATAGGGGGGTGGGTACCCAGGTAGGGTCGGGTAATAGGGGGGGCGGGGGGGGGGGGGGGGGGGGGGTACCCAGGTAGGGTCGGGTAATATGGGGATGGGTACCCGGGTAGGGTCGGGTAATAGGGGGGTGGGTACCCGGGTAGGGTCGGGTAATAGGGGGGTGGGTACCCAGGTAGGGTCGGGTAATAGGGGGTGGGTACCCGGGTAGGGTCGGGGAATAGGGGCGTGGGTACCCAGGTAGTAAATTTTGAGTCGTCCCAGCCCTACCATCATTTATGTTTGTAAGTAGAACTGCTGGAATACGACCAGGCAAACTTGCTACTAACATGGCAGTGTCTTTTGTTGATTGTTTTTGTATTGTGAATGTTTTCTTCCAGATTTCAGAGGGATATTGATGGTGAGAAGCACACGGAAAATGATGTAACCATGACAACGAGTTATCTGTCATTCCTTTTGTCTGTCCTTGCTGGTGAGTAGTGTTTTTGTCTCCATGACAATAGTGACAGTGAGATGGGATCAAATTTAGGATGATATTATCACTGAAGGTTTAGTTTGACATTTGTTTTGAGAAAAGTTATAAGTTTTCAGAGCCCAATTTGACCAAATAGCCTTATTGATCTGAATTTTGGGATGTGTGAAACCCATTCTTGGAGTCCACCACTGTGATAGGGCAGAAGGTGGAATGAAACCTAACTCATCCATAAACTGAAACTGACATTAGTAATAACGGTAAGATTGTTTTGTTGACTAGGGAAGAGCTGTACTTGACCGATAATTATACAGCCATCATTGCATTGCCACTGCCTCTGTGGTCCATTGGATGGAACATCTCCCCGGAGAGTGGAAGGTTGGATTGCCTGGCTGCATCATACCAAAAAATGTTAAAAGATCGTACTCGTTGTTGCCCTGCCCGATGCTCATCATTAAGGGGATAAAACAAGAATTGTCATCTCATAGTATACTGTGTATGAGTGATGTATCCATGTTAAACTGCGGCATGGTATCTCAGTGGACTAGCAGCGAAAGTCCACTTAAAGTCCACTTGTCCTTATTCTATTCTGATAACATGACCCGTGAAGATTCCGGGGTAGAATAGGTCTTCAGCAACCCATGCTTGCCGTAAAAGGTGACTAACGGGATCGGGTGGTCAGGCTCGCTGACTTGGTTGATGCATGTCATCGATCCCAATTGCATGGATCGATGCGCATGATATTAATCACTGGATTGTCTGGTTTAGACTTGATTATTTACAGACCGCCATCATATAGCTGGAATATTGCTGAGTGCAGCATTAAACAACAAACCAACCAACTATTCTGATAACACATGACAAATCCCTTAAAATGGCAAATTTTTACTTACTATTGGGCAGTTTGGCAAGGACTATTGGACTAGTGTCACTTTCTATCGCTGGCTAGCAGCTGGCATTAGCAGCCACACACACATGTATGTCATAGTGTAGGTGAAAAATCCTGAACGAGATGTTAAACATCATTTCACTTCCTTGTGTTGCCCAGTGACACCCACTTGCTACATTCCAGACAGAAACAGGCTGAGTCTTGAGCAAGAAAAGCAAGATGGCTGCCATATGACGTCTGCTCCTGAAATAGACTGGAATGTGTCCTCCGAGCGGTGGAAGAAACATACAGTTCTTGTTGATGTATGTAGATGTAGGACATCTAGGTAGTGAGGGTTTGTTGTAGGGAATTAGTTAGTATTTTGTTACACTGATTAACACCCACAAATTTAAAAACACATGATTAATGTTGTCAACATGTAAAGACAAGGGTTTTCAATGACTTTCTGTTGTACTCTCATCTATATGTCCTAAAACAGCCGTAAGTCATATATACAGACTTGATTATTTACAGACCGCTGTCATATCGCTGGAATATTGCTGAGTGCGGCGTTATTCAACAAACAGTTTCATAAAAATAGCTAAACAAATGAATGAGGTAATATGGAGATGTTCAGTATGGCCGCCAGTGATTCCCTGCTGGGTGAAGGTGTAGATTAGCTGACACATATTCACTGCCTGATGTTTGTTTCAGAGAGTTCTTCATCATCTTCATCAAGTGCCTGATGTGTCCAGTCTTGGGGACGTCCTCCTGTCCTTCTGGTGTCCCCTCCTGGTGAGTCCTGAAGAGTGTCATAGCTCGCGTTATTCTGGGGCAGTGGAGGTGGGGGTTGGGGGTCAGGTGTCCCCTCCTGGTGAGTCCTCTCCTGGTGAGTCCTGAAGAGTGTCATAGCTCGCGTTATTCTGGGGCAGTGGAGGTGGGGGTTGGGGGTCAGGTGTCCCCTCCTGGTGAGTCCTGAAGAGTGTCATAGCTCGCGTTATTCTGGGGCAGTGGAGGTGGGGGTTGGGGGTCAGGTGTCCCCTCCTGGCGAGTCCTGAAGAGTGTCACAGCTCATGTTGTTCTGGGGCAGGGGGGTTTGGGGTGTGGGGTCAGGTGGCCCCTCCTGGCGAGTCCTGAAGAGTGTCACAGCTCATGTTGTTCTGGGGCAGGGGGGTTTGGGGTGTGGGGTCAGGTGGCCTCTCCTGGTGTGTCCTGACGAGTGACACAGCTCACGTTATTCTGGGATTGTTGGTCATGATCAAAGATTATCAGTTCATCAGGTCATTTGAGAGAACTGGTTGCAGATGACTGGTGAGAGAGAATTGGTGGAGGTAATTGGTTAAGAGAGCTGGTTTGTGTTTGTTTGTTTACTTGTTGTTTAACGCCGCACTCAGCAATATTCCAGCTTCATGACAGCGGTCTGTAAATAATTGAGTCTGGACCATACAATCCAGTGATTGACATCATGAGCATCGATCTGTAGACGCAATTGGGATACGATGACATGCATCAACCAAGTCAGCAAGCCTGATCACACGATCCCATTAGTCGCTTCTTATGATAAGCATAGTCGCCATTTTACAGCAAGCATGGGTTGCTTGCTTTGTGATAACTGGTTTGAGGTAACTGGTTTAGGATAACTGAGGTATCATGAACGCGACAAAGGAGACACAATTTATGGATAACAACTTCTTTATTTACTGTGAAGGCGACGTTTCAGTATAGAGATGATCATGTGTTTTAATTTAATACTATTTTTCAAGGTGAGGTGAGGTGAGGTGAAATTGGGTTCAACGTCGCGTCCAAGATTATTGCACTTATATAGCGACGTGCATGCACGTGTGTGTGGCTGCTTGTACTAGTTCGGTCTGATGCCGATTTATAGTGCTAGCCCACTGAGATACCATGCTGCAGTTTGACATGAATACCCCACTCAGACACAGTATACTGACTCCGAGCCGACCAGTCCTTGTTTTAGCCCCTTATTGCCGAGCGCCAGACAGGGTAACAACAAGTACCATCGTTTAACGTCTTTTGGTATGACCCGGTCGGGGATCGAACCCCGGACCTTCCGCTCTCCGGGCGGACGCTCTACCTCTAAACCACGGAGGCGGTTCTATTTTTCAAGGATTAAAATTCCCAATTTTGCTTTCAGACAGTACCAAACAAAGTGTGTATTACAACTATATTCGGTTGTGTCAAGTGCCTCAAGGTTTTCAAAGCCGCTCTAAACCAGTCCAACCAATCACTGACTGACGCAGTTGTGAAGATCTGCATCTCATTGGCCATGGAGATGGTTACCACAGTAACATCTGAAGACAATTTGAGCCAGATACACAAAGATCTGTGGGAGTGTGTTACTCAGTGTCTGGTGGCTGTGCCCTACATCATCAACAAGTATTTCATCGCAATCCATAATCTTCTACAAAGTAAGTACCATCTTCAGCCAGTGTGACTAGAATACCCACTACAAGTCTGTTCACTGTCCACTGCAGCCGTCCAAGGGTCTTGACCTCACCTATTGTTTGTTTATTTGTTGTTTAACACCTCACTCTAGAATATTCCAGCTTTATGACAGCTGTCTGTAAATAATCGAGTCTAGTCCAGACAATCCAGTGATTGATATCACAAGCATTGATCTACACAATTGGGATACGATAACATGCATCAACCAAGCCTTACTGAATACTACTTAAAACTATATATATATGATAAATATTTGTTTGTTGTTTAACGCCGCACTCAGCAATATTCCAGCTATATAACAACGGTCTGTAGATAATCAAGTCTGGGCTAGACAATCCAGTGATAAACATCCACGCAACTGAAATATGATAACATGCATCAACCAAGTCAGCGAACCTGACCACCCAATCCCATTTTTCGCCTCTCACGACAAGCATAGTCACCTTTTACGGCATGCATGGGTTGCTGAAGACATATTCTACTAGAATTTGTACTTTACTAAGAAAGTGTTATCCAAAATATAACATTTGTTACACTGTACACTTGATGGTCACACTATTAACCACCAGGTCCTGGCTCCATTACCATAGTTACTGACTCTCTCCTTGCAGCCTGCAGTGAGGAGACGGCAGTGACAGCGATGAGATCCGTCACGCACATCTTGCAAGATCAGTCAACTGCTGCCCTCCCACTCTCGGTCGAGCGCCACCTGGAGGCAATACAGGACAAGGTCAAGGTCAGTCAGGTGTCTGTCACTGCAGCGATTTATGTTCATGCTATCAACCACTGGTATACCTGGCCAGGTTTGATTATTTACCTGTTGCTGTCATGTAGATGTGAAACATCATTCACAGATTACAGACCTAAATTGTAAAAGTATGTTTATGATTTATGTAGGTGCTCTAGTAAGTGCCAGTTGGAGTCAGTCACACAGTAATGTTTGTCTCCCCGCACAAGTACCAAGATTTTAAGATTGTAAGAAACTTTCATGTACTGTAAGAAACAGACTGGTTCAGGGCTGTATTTGCATTGCATCACACTTATGATGTGAAGAAATCTACTTTTAGTCGACATCCATGTCGGGAGTATCCCTCTGTTTATGATGTTTGTGCACGGGCAGGGTTATAGATGCACACCAAAATGAATTTGAACCCCAAACATGCAAAACATTTCAGTTCATACACCTTTAAAACTTTGGAGTGTGACAAAATATGCAGGTTATTGCAAAGACTTCTTTTGAATTTTACTTATTTAGTTTATCCTCTGTCTCTAAATACTGAGAAAATGGACACGCACAAAATTTCAAAAATATTTTTATCACTGCTGACTTGAAAACAAATTTTGTATGAGAATATTTTTTTAGAATCTTCAAACACAATAACAAGACGAATTTGCCATCAAAACTCGCTAAATAAATCACTTTTACAATGATTTTACGTGATAATGCAATGTTGATGAGGGGAAGTAACTCCTGCCATATCCGAGTATCTTGAATTGTGATGTGAGATTTTTTATATATTTTATATATTTTATATATTTTATATATTTTATTACTTTTTGGGGAAAAGTCCCTAAGCAAACTGAAAACTTAGGACTAAGCAGTACTTGCCATACAATTTGTGTCTCTGTTTTCAGAAATGTTTTCCCAATGTTGTCAACACACAGTGCTGGAAGGATCTTATGTACTGCAGCTCTCTTGTGGCCAATCAGAGATCAGTTGCAATGTCATGTGATGAATAAATCAGTCTTGTACATGTTTATCGTTGTCTCCTTACTCTGCTAGATAGTGTTTTGTAGGCCAAATAGCAACATTGTGAATCAGAGCTTCCCAAAATTAGATATTGAAAAAGAAAGTGTACTTGAGTACCTAGGTAGTGGCTCCATCTCCGATATATGGGAGTAATGACTCCAGAACCTGTGTTAGACTATTCATAGTTGCTACCTATGGGGTACTGTTCCTTTCCCTCATTTCAATGTCGTGTGCACGGGTGGCCCAGTCGTCTCAGGCGCCGCGATTTGCTGTGCACAGTTACGTCCCTTGGGCACACCAAAAAACTATGGTTATGGGTTCGAATCCTGGTTCGCCCGGATTATGTTTCTAGGTTTGTCAGCACCATACCCGTGCTTGTGGGTTTCACCGAAGTGGTAAAACATCGGAGAACTGCATCACTTCGGGTTTTCCTTCCAAATTAAGCCGACACGCCGCGATATAACTGGAATACAAAGCGGTGTAAACCCAACTCACTCACTCACTCCTTCATTTCAATAACAGAAAATAAAAAACAAGCAAAATTCAATTTTGACAACAAAATTTACTTCACAATGAATGACCAGCATTTTTACAATGATATCGTTCTGACCAATGTGTAAGCATCCAACTACTATGACTGGAGTCTAGAGAAAACAGGAAACATGAACAGTAGATAGAGATATTCAGTATAGTGGTCTCCCTAGGGCCTGGCTTGTAACAAAATACACCACTACTGTGGCAGCGACACCGCAGACCAGCGCCGGAGACAACGCACAGAGCAGGTCGGCAGCAAACACTTCATGTCTGGCATTGAAATCACTTGAAACTAACATGGAGAAACATTCTCCATTAGCTGAACATGTACCAAAATTTCAAATTTACTCAAATTATTGGTATGCCACTGCATTTAATTGGTCTCAAATAAAAAAATTCCCAGAACTGGAGAAAGTGGTTACTATTCCATACACATGGCTATTTACCACTTGGTCTTGGTGCCAGAAATTACCGTTATGTAACCATGGCAACATAAAGCCACTCAGTGGCAGGATGAGCATGGTTGATATCGGTACATGACATTTAACACCAATACCAAATGAGCATTAGCCAAAGGCAAAACTCTTTAACGGTACATGTAGATAATTTAGTTTGACGAACCGCCGCCTGTTGTGAGTGTTATCTCCCACCTGCGCTACCACTTGCACTGTGTCAATATATATATATAATAATAAGTGGAAAACACTGGCACTAGAGCAACTCGGTCGGAAGAAGCAGTTAAGAATCACGGGGTAGGTACATGAGCAAACCTGCTTGCAGCACACGCCGCCACGGCCGCCGTCCTTGACATAATGCTGACCGTCAGACTAACAAGTGATGTCTGCCATTTCACACTGTAACATTACACACAGATCTCAGATAAGTCCTGTACTCCCAACTTCCATCAAATATTGAAATTCAGTACAGAGCAATTGGACAAGAAATGCTTGTTGCTAAATTGGTTGTTAAATTTTCATCAGGTAGGTGAAGTTCTACAAAGGCCACCCCACAGACTTACTATGCTAATGGCACAAAGTGAGTGAGTGAGTTGGGTTTAACGCCGCTGTTAACAGTATTCCAGTTATATCACAGCGTGTCAGCTTAATGTCACTTCAGTGAAACCAACGAGCACAGGTGTGGTGCTGACAAACCTAGAAGCATAATCGGGGGCGAACCGGGATTCAAACCCACAATCTAGGTTTCTGGCGTGCCCAAGGGATGCAACTCTGCACAGCGAATCGTGGCCCCTAAGGCACAAAGCCCTCCATGGAACACGCTCCACTGATCAATGAACATCCATAATCATTGATCCTATTGTTTGGCATTCAGGTATCCTGAAACTTCAGATTAGAAAATGAGTGAATGCATGAGTATGGTTTTATGCCACTCTTAGCAATATTTCAGAAATATCACGGCGCGGGACATCAGAAATCGGATTCACACATTGTACCCATATGGGGAATCGAACCCGGGTCTTCGTCATGAAGAGCGAACAGTTTAACCACTAGGCTACCTCACCACCCCAGAGAAATTTGAGAGCAAGGTCGACTCACGAGAACCAATTGTGTCAAAGTTGCACTGTGAAATGGGCAGTAACGTTTTCTTAACAAATAACAATCATTTCTCAACAATATTACTGTTGGAGGGTACCTCCAACTAACAGAGTAACACAATGTCCGCTGTCTGGCTGCTGGCAACAGTTTGTCGCAGGATGCAAGGTCGTCTTAACATGGAAACTTGTCTAAATAAACAGACAAATCGTCTCTTCATCACAAATTCAAATCAAGGAGCAAGACAAAATATAATCAAACAAATTGTCATGTACTGTAGATGAAATTCATCTTAAAATGATGACATGTAATGAACAAACCATGCTGAATGCAGGCTTCATCACAATGATATACACTACTCAACGTTTGCTAAGGACCAAAACAGTCATCTTTAGTCAAAGGTGTGGCCCTTACCAAATGCTGAGTAGCATATATCTATTTTGCTCAAGAATCAGTTTCATTTCCTGGATTGGGTCTCACAGTCGAACAGTATGTCCTGATCATCTTGAAACTTGGATCCTGAAGGGCACAAGGCTACGCACAGGATCGAGTGACCTTGACCCTGACTAATGACCTTGACCCCCGACTAATGACCTTGCCCTGTAAACAGGTCTTGGCAACAGAGTACTGGCAACTAGAGAACTTTAATAATGGAGAATCTATTACATGTAATACTTGGGAAAAAATAGTTCATTTCTCTTTAACATCCATTTAAAAAGATTTGTCATTAAAATAGGATATCTGTACACAACTAACTGTTTTGAAAATGAAAGCACTTTTCTGCTATTTGATAAATAACTTACAGGAAAGACAATTTGCAGCATGCACAAAGTCAACATGTCGTACACCAGTTCAAGGGACTTGAACACAGTCAAGTGTTGACTCTGACGCCAACAAACCAACCCACTCACCTAGTATGAGTGGGCAACACGCTGTAACTTCAGGTTGAGAATATATCAACATAATTTACATCACCGAGCGAGCAAAATATACATATTTTATACATCACAATTCAAGTGACTACTCCGTAAGGCCACATAACTGCAGAGAGCTGGCGTCACAAGAAATCCAACTGTGGCCATAATTTGCTTCTTCATTGTTGGGACGCCACCAAGGCTCTGCCCATAGTGTGCCCTCCGACCTCCGACCTCCGACCTCTAGACAAGGTCATCTAAGTTGCTTCCTGGAGGATGACCCTGAATCTAAGATCAGATTTAAGTCCCGCCCTCTTCCAAAACTTACCGGTCCCCCAACACTCCCAACACTCTGCAGTTATGTCTTAGTGTTTAACACCGACCAAGTTCAAAATGAAGAAAATATTTTCTTTGTCACACACTGTACACGATTATCACAAATCTTATGTTGGACCAAAAAAGAAACCAAAAGACATCTTACTTCGTGAAAACAGAAATATTCTATTTAAAAAAACATCTGACTCTAAATGACAGCACTGCATGAGAACTTTAACAGGTGTTTATTATTGATCTTAAGTAGCCGAGAAAGGGTTGCATGCTGGTTCAAAAAGACTCAAGAAAATACACGGTCTCAAAATCTCTACTGCTAATGATTATTTTGTAAATGTAAATCTTTGTCCAAACACTTGAGACAATAAAAATAGTTGTGATTGGGAAATACTTATATTTAGTAGTGGTCCGGTCAATATTTTGTCTAAAAGGAGCAGTCACATTCATTACTGAAAGGCAAGCTCTCATCCACAAAGTAATCTTGTCCAACAAGCCTCACAAGCCAATGGCTCTTTGACATTTTGATATCGTTAAATAACTAACATCACTCACCAAATACAGCTCACACAAAGTCCAAGGGCAGTTAACTCTGTCAACACTGATCAGGAGTTGTCTACCCTTGTTTCAAGTCCATACTTCTGATGTGACTGCTCTTGTTTTTATCAACTGGACGAGTAACCAACTCTCAAGACTATATCTCTGTTGACTTCAAAACAGACACGATATGATGCGAAAAATGTCCAACAGTCTACTTACAAATAATGTTCATTAAGTACCTGAACCATGACGGTCATCTAGTTTCCATGGTAACCATGGCAACAGATCACATGTTACTAACAGTTGAAATTGTGGCACAAGATCTATGGATTGAATCCTGTGTTATCTGTCACCCCTAAAAAAACAAAGTGGTACGTTCCCACTTTTAAGGGGGAACCATACCATTTGGAAAACTGGGGTGTGTAGTTTGTTATAACAAATATATATTACTATGTATACATAACAGAAATCTACTTTTGTTGGAATAGTTTGTCTAAAGTGCACTCTAGCGTGGACAACAGTGGACATGTTTCTACAATGACCATTACATGTACACAGTGTGAATTATCAATCAAAACGAATACATTTAAACTTCAAAATATCCAAACCAGAAGAGCCTGGGGAGAGAAAAAGGAAATTTTCCAAAATGTAGTCAGAAAATTGGAAATTTGTAATAGTGCAATAGTATACTTTGGAAAAAATGTCAAGATTGAAATTCCACGAAGATTGAACATGAGTTATTTTTCAATGTGTCACAAAAAAAGTCGGAGAAAGTAAAAAACTACTGAAAAACTGACATCATTTACTGCAAATAGGAACTGTTAGGAACAAGGTCACTATAGATAAGCTTATTTTCACAGCAAGCAAAACCAGTAACTAAAATTCCAAGTAAAACGTCCCAAATTTTGAAATGGGGCGTGGTATATGATCAACAGCCATCCACCCTCCTGGGGCGATAGGTATAAAATTGAATGCAAAAATAGTCTTTGTAAAAGTAGAAAAAAATACTTTGTGAAAATAAGATTATCTAGAGTTGATACACCATGTCAAGAAAACAGCAAATAACACGTCGAAATAACCTACTGTTACACAGGTACGAAGGCTGATTCCCACTGACTAGAGCTTTAGTATACATATACACAAATATATATATTTATATATAGACATATATTCATACTTGTCATCCACAGTTATTACTTCGGTCTGTCAATCGGAGAATCTTCAATTCTCCATTTTCAGACCTAAAAATATCTCTCTTGAAAACAATAACCAAACAACCACATTTAGGCATCGGCTTCAAAGTTAACAACCGACAACTTTCTTCATATGTACAAGCCATGTCTGGCGTACTTGATCTTTTCTCATGACGATTCTTGAATCGTGTCACATCTGCCTTTCGAGTTTACCCTCCATCATGATGCGACCCTCCAAAATAGCACTTTCAGAGATGAGGACTGCCTTAGAAAATAATCGAGACAGAATGGTGAGTCAGTTAGTGGTAGACATGTTTCCATGGCTTCAGTCAATGACATACAAATCAGGGTAATGGGAGTTGCCATTTGCTGTTTGCCTCTTCCTCCTGTGAAAATTAATTGTGTCAAATCTTGTGATGCAGCTGCTGAAACGCTCATTTGAGATGAAACAGCTGAACCGATGATGTTCCGGTGTGAATGTCTGCAGTTCCATCACCGTCATAGATGATGGTCTCCATTGGATGGTCACCACGGTCACAGAATACAAAAACTACATGATTGTCTTCATCTAACTTGGTTCAATTTTTCACAACAAAGATTGACCAGTGATGGTAAATCTACTTGACGAAGAAGGTTGTGTGCGTAAACGACATGGAACACGACACGTACGCCAGTAGGTGGCAGCACAAGAGGGGCAAGTAGTTGTCAGGGTAGGCTCATCAATTGTTTCGTCGCCTCGTCAGGCAGCGGAGGCAGGAGCGAGATGTTGACAAATGCAAAGAGTCGAGAGGCGTCTGTGGTAATCTTTTCCTGTCACAGACTCAAGACACATGGACAGTGGCAGTGAAACAAAACACGAAGTATAGACAACAGCGACCATGTTGTGATGACGTAGGGGACACAGGCGGGAAGGGATGAGGGGGCGCAGTCTTTGACATTGTGACGACGGCACATGGAGGTTGTTGTAAGGACAACAGCAGGTGCTATTCCATGGCCAAGCTCTGTGGTTCTACGATGTTGGGTTCTAGTAGAAATGGCATCTGGCCACTGCGTCTGCCACTGGCTGCCATCTTGTCTGGGTGGCTCCCTGTCAACTACAATCCTGTTAGGACAGGCTGCTACTTCTAGGTCCCTTCTTCCATTGGCTCTGATTCTTGCTGCTCCACAGAACTGGGGGGACAAGAAACATGGAAACTTTACCACATAATGATAAAATCTGAAATTTTAAATGTATTCAGAACAAAAAAGTTGGGGACTATGAATATTTTTGAATACTTTTATTAAATTGTATGCTAATTTTTTATGTTCAGTATATGTTCATTAGTGTTTTTTAAATATACAGAGCTTGAGGTTTGTTTGCGGTTTTAGTGCCGCACTCAGCAATATTCCAGCTATATGACGGTGGTCTGTAAATAATCGTGTCTGGACCAGACAATCCAGTGATTGACATCATGAGCATTGATCCATGCAATTCGGATACGATGACATGCATCAACCAAGTCAGCAAACCTGACAACCGATCCCATAAGGTGCCTCTTATAAATAAGACAAGAATAGTCGCCTTTTACGGCAAGCATGGGTTGCTGAAGACCTATTCTACCCCGGATCTTCACGGGTCATCCAATATCATCACAATCAGAGTTCATTTATTTTTAGCAGGGGTCAGCGACTACGCCCCCCGTCAATCTGAACTAGTAAGAACGCCATACCTGTTTTTACTTGGGACCATGGAGAGTGATGCAAGGGCAGTAACTGTGTCTGCCTCCTCCATCTCCCGCTTCTGTGCCTCCATCAGGGAGTAGCTTATTGTTCCCAAATACCGTTTGATGCAGGGCCAGTGCTCCACTGTAAGTAAACAGTCAGTCAGTGGATGGCTGGATGGTGGGTGGATGGATGGTGGGTGGATGGATGGGTGTTTCAATGGATGGTGGGTGGATGGATGGTGGGTGGATGGATGGTGGGTGGATGGATGGGTGTTTCAATGGATGGTGGGTGGATGGATGGGTGTTTCAATGGATGGTGGGTGGGTGGATGGTGGGTGGATGGATGGTGGGTGGATGGATTGGTAGATGGTGGGTGGGTGTGTCAATGGATGGTGGGTGGGTGGATGGGTAGATGGATAGCTGGGGGGATGGATGGGTAGATGGTGGGTGGGTGTGTCAATGGATGTTGGGTGGGTGGATGGGTAGATGGTGGTAGATGGTGGGTAGGTGTGTCAATGCATGGTGGGTGGATGGGTGGAACGGGGGATGGATGGGTAGATGCTTGGTGGGTGTGTCAATGGATGTTGGGTGGGTGGATGGGTAGATGGATAGCTGGGGGGATGGATGGGTAGATGGTGGGTGGGTGTGTCAATGGATGTTGGGTGGGTGGATGGGTAGATGGATAGCTGGGGGGATGGATGGGTAGATGGTGGGTGGGTGTGTCAATGGATGTTGGGTGGGTGGATGGGTAGATGGATAGCTGGGGGGATGGATGGGTAGATGGTGGGTGGGTGTGTCAATGGATGTTGGGTGGGTGGATGGGTAGATGGATAGCTGGGGGGATGGATGGGTAGATGGTGGGTGGGTGTGTCAATGGATGTTGGGTGGGTGGATGGGTAGATGGATAGCTGGGGGGATGGATGGTGTGTGGGGGATGGATGGGTAGATGGTGGGTAGGTGTGTCAATGGATGGTTGGTGGATGGATGGGTCGATGGATAGCTGGGGGGAAGGATGGGTAGATAGTGGGTAGATGTGTCAATGGATGCCGGGTGGGTGGATGGGTAGATGGTGGTAGATGGTGGGTAGGTGTGTCAATGCATGGTGGGTGGATGGGTGGAACGGGGGATGGATGGGTAGATGCTTGGTGGGTGTGTCAATGGATTGTGGGAGGGTGGATGGATGGCTGGGGGGATGGATTGGTAGATGCTGGGTAGGTGTGTCAATGGATTGTGGGTGGGTGGGTGGGTGGATGGGTGGGTGGATGGATGGGGGATGGATGGATGGATGGATGGATGGGTAGATGGGTGGGTGTGTCAATTGATGGTACATGGGTTGATGGTGGGTGTGTCAAAGGATGGTGGGTGGGTGTATCAATTGATGGTACATGGGTGGATGGTGGGTGTGTCAAAGGATGGTGGGTGGGTGTATCAATTGATGGTACATGGGTGGATGGATGGTGGGTGGGTGGGTGGGTGATGGAGTTACCTATGCAGTGATACATTTTTGTTTATTGACCAATTGACAAGAGACAAAGCCCAAAATTAATATTCATCTGCATGTATGAATGGATAAAAAAATAAAGCATACCACTACTACCACTACCAAATTTAAAAAAGTAATAAATGAGAAATGAAAAGTCTAGTTCTGACCACTGCAAACACCTGACATACAGAACAAACAAGGGAATGCTTGTGACTGCAACCACAGCAAACATCCTGCACAAACGGGTGCAAATATCTCCTAGGTTTCCCGATTTGGTGAATTGAAATGGGGTGCAACGTTCAAGATTATTGCACTTAAATAGCGATGTGCATGCACGTGTGTGTGGCTGCTTGTACTAATGCCGATTTTAAAGCGCTTGTTCATGTACACTATGCCTCAGTTTAACATGGATACCCCACTCACACACAGAATACTGACTGCGAGCCAACCAGTCCTTGTTGTCTCTCCTAAATGCCGAGCACCAGGCAGGGTAACAACAAGTACCATCTTAATGCATCATTTGGAAGACGTCACCAACGATCTAACGACAGGACTATCCACTAGATCAAGGAGATGGTCTTTTAATTTGGGTGATACTCCCCATCAGTGTTTGTCTGTGAAAGTGAGTGAGTGAGTGAATGTGGTTTTACACCGCTTTTAGCAATATTCCAGCAATACCATGGCGGGGCACACCAGAAACGGACTTCACACATGTCAGGATTCAAACCCAGGTCTTCAGCATGACGAGCAAACACTTTTTACCACTAGGCTACCCCACCGTCTGTCTGTGAAAGGCAGACCTAACAGTGCCGGTCAGACATTACAACTGATGACTTCTTACTCTGTATTCTGATGGTGGATTCCAGTGTCTCCAACGCAGGTTTGCAGCTCGGCCGATGGAGTTCTTCATCCTTGATTGTGGGCAGCTGAAACACGAGAGTCATGTGACGTTACGTACCAAGTTATAGCATCAGTGAATGCTCAGTTCCTAATTCCAGGTTAGAGGTGAGGTGAGGTGAAATGGGGTTTAATGTCGCCTCCAAGATTATTGCACTTATATAGCGACGTGCATGTACGTGTGTGTGTGTGGCTGCTTGTACTAGTCCGGACTGATGCCTATTTATAGTGCTAGCCCACTGAGACACCATGCTGCAGTTTAACATGAATACCCCACTCAGACACAGTATACTGACTCCGAGCCGACCAGTCCAGGTTTTAGCCCCTTAATGCCGAGCGCCAGACAGGGTCACAACAAGTACCATCTTTGAACGTCTTTTGGTATGACGCGGCCGGGGATCGAACCCCGGACCTTCCTCTCTCCGGGCGGACGCTCTACCACTAGACCACGGAGGCGGTCTCCAGGTTAGAGAGACTGACTCTTAACACTGCAGTCAGTAACACTCCGGTTATAACAAGGCAGCCTGTAAATAACCTGGATCAGGCCTACCAGTGAGTGTTGACTCAGCATTGATCCAGTCATCAGCGCACAACACCACAACACCATCAGCCAAGTCACAAAGAAGGACAACCTGATCCAACTGGTTGCCACTAGCAACAAGCAATGACCCAGTAAGGAACTATCTAACACGGGTCCCCACAATGCATAATGATTAAGAAAGGGAACAAACCAATGCAGAGAATAAACCTCAAGCCCTGTCATCAACAGGCAAACACACTTCCTACTGTATTATATCTCATCAGTATCAGTTCTGCCCTGGAATCCCCAAGGGGAGACAATCATTATATAATGCAGACACTTCTGCTGTAGAATCCCCAAGGGGAGACAATCATTATATAATGCAGACACTTCTGCTGTAGAATCCCCAAGGGGAGACAATCATTATATAATGCAGACACTTCTGCTGTAGAATCCCCAAGGGGAGACAATCATTATATAATGCAGACAATTCTGCTGTAGAATCCCCAAGGGGAGACAATCATTATATAATGCAGACACTTCTGCTGTAGAATCCCCAAGGGGAGACAATCATTATATAATGCAGACACTTTTGCTGTAGAATCCCAAAGGGGACAAGCATGGGAAGCCTCTGCCCTGGAATTCTCAGGAGAGACAAGCAGGAAATTTTTAGAACCCGTGGAATCTCCAAGGGTAGCTAGGTTAAAAAAGGCGTACCTCATCACCAAGAAGAGCCTTGACACACATCTCTGAGGCCTCCGAGATGACCGGAATATCATAGCCTCCCTCTAGTGCCAGCACGACCTTCCCGCCCGCAAGCGACATCAGCTCCCTGGTCATGTGACCAAAAGCTGAAACAGAATGCACTTTGTGTATGCCTTATATGGAATGCGATTTCCTATACATAACATAAGCCCAACAGCACACACGACTACTTCACATCCAAAACATAAAGAGTGCCACATGATAAATGTAAAATAATATTTGAGTCAGTTCTTTAAGAACAAAGTATGACCAGTGTGATGGACACTCACCTTCAGCTGTGACCTCATACCCGCCCAGCGGAGCTGTATGTCCCTTGGCCGCGTCAAAACCAGCAGACACGAGAACCATATCGGGACCGAACTCACGGGCAATTGGCATCACAATTGTTCTGTCAACATAGAAAAAAAACATTATTCAGACTCTCTCCAACTCAATCTTTTAGGCACATTTCATCAATATTAGGGTGGGAGATACTAAGAATGAGCTTCACATATTGAAGAGGTGGAATCAAACACAGGTCTCTAGCAAACATGCTACCACTGTTTTCACTGGCCTGCTTCAGTGCCAAACTGCCCTTATATAGCCTGGTCATCCTGTGCAAAGCCTTACTGAATAACTTTAAACTAAATATACCTGATTGGTATTTGTTTGTTTGTCGTTAAGCGGCGCACTCAACAATATGTCAGCCATATAACGGTAGTCTGAAAATAATCGAGTCTGGACCAGACAATCCAGTGACTCTCTCACATCCCACACAATTGGGATATGATGACATGCATCAACCAAGTCAGCAAGCCTGACCACCTGATCCCCTTAGTTGCCTCTTACAGCAAGCATAGTCACCTTTTACGGCGGGCATGGGTTGCAGAAGACCTATTCTACCCCGCATCTTTACCTGATTAGTAAATAAATCTTGCATGAATGAATGAACTTTTATGACAATGTTAGTAACATCACTCCAACAGTGGAGGACACAGCTGATGTTAAAGAATGTGTGTCCGGTTTCCATGATGGGAATTGAAACAAGGTCTTCGAAGTGAACACTTTACCCGCTAGACTACTACACTAGCCTCCTACATCAAGCATAGACCCGTGAAGATCCGGGGAGAATAGGTCTTCAGCAACCCATGCTTGCAATAAAAGGCAACTAGCTTGTCGTAAGAGGCGACTAACAGGATGGGTGGTCAGGCTTGCTGACTTGGTTGATGCATGTCATCGTATCCCATTTGCCTGGATCGATGCTCATGATATCAATCACTGGATTGTTCTGTCCAGACTCGATTATTCACAGACCGCCGTCATATAGCTGTAATATTGCTTAGTGCGGCGTTAAACAACAAACAAAAGCTCAAGCATCACCACCGTCTTCCATCAAACATGGCAACACCACTGACCTGAATGCAGTCAGGTATTCAGCATCAGCCATGGGTGGGTTCAGAGCTCCTCCAAATGCGATGTTGACATTGAAGCCAAGCCCCTCATCACTTCCGCACTCTTCAGGTGCCCCCGTACCGGGGAAGAAGTTGCCGCTGTCATGGCGATGAATAGATATGTACAACACATGGTTATCCATGTAGAACATTTGCTGGGTGCCGTTACCATGGTGAACATCCTGAAAGAACAAAAATAATCTCCACATTATACAACAATCATTATACGAATCTCTTAATATTTCATCAAAATAAAGCACAATTTAACAATTCTAAATATATCGAAAAAAAATTATGAATACTTGATAATCGTTAAAAGTGTAATAATGAATATCAAAAATCTTAAAAAATTCTCTCATGTACAAATGTGTTGAGTTATCTCCCTTTGGCTACAAGACAAAGACACAAGGACAGGAAGGTTAGTGGTGGGTTATCTCCCTTTGATTACTGCTCTGTTCTGAGATGATAGATACTATTAGAGCCATATTACAACAGGGAGGGCACATTATCATTTGGGAAACAAACCCAGATCCTATGTGTGACAAGTGCAGGCACTATCCACTGGGTTATTCCAGCAACGCAATACATACCCAGTCAATGATGAGAATCTTGTCTAGTTTTGCTTTTTCTTGTAACTGTTTGGCAGCTATTGCAATTGAGTTGAAAAAACAGAAACCCCTGAAAGAAAATATTAAAAGTTGGTAAAATGAATAGATAATCTGGATGATCAGGTCTACACTGCCTAGGGGTGACGGGTCAGAAAGTGAGAGGGAATGTCAGCAATATTGCCTCCCATGAAGACCCGGGTTAGAAAAGGTCTTCCTGTTGATCAAAGATCATGATGTCAATCACTGGATTATATGTTCCACTCTTGATTATTTACGGACCACCGTCACATAGCTGGAATATTGCTGAGTGAGGCATTAAACAACAAACAAACAAACAAACAAACAAACAAATTATTGCAGCTATACCACACCAGTGGCCGAAAGCAGGAACAGACAATCCACGTTATCAGGGTAGGATGTTGTACAATCTAACATCCATTATCCATTCTTCATTAATCAGCTCTTAAGGAGAAATTCAAGGGGTTATTCTGTCCTGATGACATGCATCAACCAAGTCAGCGAGCTTGACCACCCAATCCCGTTAGTCGCCTCTTACGACAAGCATATTCACCTTTTACCGCAAGCATAGGTTGCTGGAGACCTATTCTACCCAGGATCTTCACGGGTCGGTTAGGTGAGTGGATATTGCTGTAGCTTAATGCAGCTTCTGTCTACCTGCTACTTACATGGCTTGGTGGGCCTCTGCATGGTGACCAGGGGGACGCACGATGGCGTAGCCGTTCTGAAACAAACACAAGCATGCATTAGCATTATCATACAGCAGTATTATCAGGTAGCCTTGTGGTTAAAGTGTTGGTTCAGGAAACCAAAGACCCTGGTTCAACTCCCACAGGGAACAAACTGAGAGGCCATTTTCAGGGAGCACCTTGTTGGAATATTCCTATAGCATAATGGGGGATGGGCAGCCTAGTGGTTAGGTTTTGCTTCAGGGAGCCAAACAATTCCTTAAAAAAGTACAAAATGAGGGCCATTTTCAGAAACAAGACGAGTGAGCTGGAAATTAGCATCCCTTTGGCCAGGGGCGGTCAGGTAGCCTAGTGGTTAGAGCGTTCGCTCGTCACGCCGAAGACCCGGGTTCGAATCCCGACATGGGTACAATGTGTGAAGCCCATTTCTGGTGTCCCCCACCGTCATATTGCTAGAATATTGATAAAAGCGGCGTAAAACCATACTCACTCATTCACTCACCCTTTGGCCAGCTTTACACTTACATAAATTCCTATAAGCTTAATGGAGGGAAGTCCTGAAGCAATACAATTTGTAGATGTTTACCAAGCTGCAAGGTATGAGTGAGTGAGTTGGGTTTAATGCCGCTTTTAACAGTATTCCAGTCATATCACGGCGTGTCAGCTTAATGTGGCAGGAAAGCACGAAGTGATGCAGGACTCAGACGTTTACCACTTCAAGGAAACCTACAAGCACTGGTATGGTGCTGACAAACCTAGAAACATAATCGGGGTGAACCGGGATTTGAACCCACAACCATAGGTTTCTGGCATGCCCAAGGGACACAACTCTGCACAGCGAATCGCGGCTCCTTAGACGACTGGGCCACCCGTGCCCCCACTTTAACATAAAGTTACGACAGTTGTAGCGGAAAGATCGCTTTCAGGAAGAAGGTCACAGAGAACACAATACTACAACAGGGTCGTCATTTGTCTAAAGTATTCAAATTTCTACACTAACAGTTATAAGCTATTGTCTATAATCATGTCAAGATTACATTAAAAAAAAAAACTAAATTAAAAACATCCAAAACAAATAGATCACCTTATTCATTAATCAAACAAATGAATTAAAGTGAGGCGATTACCATGGCAACAATGCCTAACAGCTGCAGCTAATGGCAACATCTGGATGAAGTACTGTCTATATTACTTACGTAATATGCATTAAATTGATCTTTGGAAACAAAGGCACAGAGATATTTTACATTAAATATTATCTGGTGATTTATATTAATCCCAGCACACACACTAAACAGTAAATCACTCGTCATCAAATAACAGGTAATTCAGTACAAAGCAACTGTAGTTTTGTTTTGGAGCAAGTCTGTCTGGGTTGAGTACAAGTATTTGTGTTAAATCAGGGTGTATCAGCTTAATCTGGGAGGCATATTCCAAACAGCAAACCTCGTAGGATTATACAAATAAGGTGAAACCCACAAAGTGGGCTCCCAAACAGCGAGCCTCGTAGGCATAAACCAATCGGATGAAACCCACGAGAACAGTGCAGACAGCCAAAGTCAGGGAATTTTCACATCCACAATTAGCAGACCCTAGCACAGTTAAGGGACACAACTCACTGGGCCAATCTGGCTCCATCTATATTTACTAATGAAATCAACAAGACATATAATATTAACTCACACAAATTAGTTCTTTATTTGAAATACGCTGCTCTAACACTAATACGAATGCCCCTTTGTCGAAATCTCACTGTAACAGGCGCACATATTTTACAACCCAAAAACGGGAAAGAAATTATCTGTTGCTCAATTGGATGATCTTGTTTTTCTGTTCAATTGTGCCCTAAAACTAAATTGGCAATGAAGAAAAATACTCTGGTTAAATGTCAGCCACTTAATCTGCTGCCACTGCAGCCAATACAGATGGCCCAAGTCAAAATGTCAAATGACATGATATTTGCCTCCAACTTCGAGTTGATGCGATCATGACAATCACTTTTGACAAAACTTCAAATCATGTCTACAAACATAATATCAAAATCAAAGAAAACCACGCTTTATAAAGCGAACAGAGAGATATAACACCGTGATGCGCCATCGTTCGCCCGACTTGAAGAACAATATTTGATCAACATCTATCAAACTGAAAGGCTTAAGGTCACACAAACGTCAAACACAAAACCTGTCATATTTTGTTACATGAACAAACATATCCACTCCATATTAAATTACACGATGATGGATTCAGAAAGAGATGGAGTATATTATGGGATGGACCACATCGACAAAATGGCCGTCATACTGGCCATGTTAAACATAAGAATGGAATTCTGCAAGCAAATCTTACAACAATAATTCTCACATTCACACAACCTCAACTTTGCAAACAAGTGGTTTCAGAGGCAGTTTTGAAAATTGCAGTTTGATAGCTACAAGTGCATAAATGAAGGACTGAGGTCATGGACAGGTCAAAACATGCTAAACAATATATCATAATATCATTTTATATGACATATATGAGATATCATAATATTTTGTCTAATGTGTGAATGCCATGATGGACTTAAACAAAGTCCTGTGAAATATCTCAAGGAATCAATTTTTAGATATAACTATACCAATTGTTTCAAGAGGAGATATCTATACTGATACAATATTAAATGTGCTTAAATGAATATACCTTATTCAACGTAATAAGCGCCCACTGCACTCTCAAAATTAAAAATAGGGGGCTCTTATAAGAATATAATTTTGGTGAGAGAAAAAAACAGAATTGAAAGATCGTAAAATTTCTTGGTTTATGCTGACAGCCTGAAATGATACAAAAGAAAAGTCTGTGCATATTATACATGACAGATATATTTCTCCAGAATTTTATTCTCCATAATTAAAGATGCATATAACACATAAGTGCGTATTATACACGAATAAATAAGTCTTGTGTACATTGATCAATCAGAAGGGGTGCTAATTTGGATTGTTCACTAGCCAATATATTAGCAAATATCGCTGTGGGCGCTTATTTTGTCAAATACGGTAATAGAATACACTTTCAAATGTATGTCAATATTTCCTTTCTACCTTATTCTTGGTAACTTTATTTATTTCTAGATTCAGTTTTGAATAAACACTTTAATGCTACTTGACATTTTAGCAAAGCAAGAACTAAACAAACAATCGAGGAAGATCTGAAGTAGAAGAACACTTAGTCCCAGAAATAAAGTTAAATTATTTTTTTTTAAATATCTACAAAAATAAAATCCACATGGAACCCAAACAATGCTTAATTTCAGAATCTGAGTGAATCTAGACTTGCCACACCATTCTAGACTTAAGTCTCTGGGGAACATTCCACATGAAGCTGAATCAATGCCTACAGTCTACACATGCCTCTCAGGGACCTCCTGGTTAACTGACGGATCTACTCTGACAGAAAGCTGTATCTGTAATCCTTCCTGGGGAAGGATATAAAGACTTGTATCGCCCACACCATTCTCTACACGACAGAAACTATCTCAACAATCACCACCATCTTGAGCCATTTGCCGTTATCATCAAGTGTCTTGAAGCCTAATTCAAGTGCTGTTATGATAACATGTTGACAAAATGTTCTTAAGCTTGTTTGGGCTTATTAATTTCATCTGAAAATAGAAAGTTAGGGAACATGAATATTTGGGGAATATTTTTACGAAATTGTGTTCTAAATCTTCAAAAAAATATCACCCAAAATATCCACGTTCCCCAACTTTTTTTGTTCTGTAAATAATACATACTGATTTTGGTCCTCATATTCTGACGATCAAATCTTTATTCAGCTAAAGGATGTTGATTATCATCTTGACCATGGCATTGGATGTTTCAAAATACGACATTTTGTGTGACTTACCTTGAGATCACCAGCAGCAACCCGAAGTGCCAACTCTATCACACAACCTGTTGCCTGGTAACAGAATAAAATAAACATGTCAATATTTTGGAAACAATTATGTAAGTGGTTTGCGTTAATTTAATCAAAGTTTTCAATTAAGCCAGGATAAGATGTTTTATCAATATCTTAAAACAGAAGTGTGAATACTTTACATAGGATCTTTACTCTGAAGCCATTCAAATAGCTAAACCAAATCAATGATGTATTTTGAGTGAGTGAGGATGGTTTTACTCCACTTTTAGCAACATTCCAGCACTATCACAGCAGGGGACACCAGAAATGGGCTTCACATATTGTACCCATGTCGGGAATCGAACCCGGGTCTTCGGCGTGACGAGCGAACGCTTTAACCACTAGGCTACCCGACCCCTCCTCTAATAACACAGGCACAATTCTCAAATTCCCCCAGGACAGTAACGAGAGTCCCGCCCTTGGCTGAAGATGTGTTCCAGACAGTAGTCCTTTGATGTTTTAAATAACAATGAATTAAGATTTGTTTCAGCGGAACTCTACTTTCTTGATCTGTGTTTGTGTGTAAATGGCATGTACACCTACATCTACAATGCACAGCCAGTGTGTATCTGCTATCAAACACAGCCTTACATCTGAGGAACAGTCATTGTACATGTCCCACCCATCAAGTCTTACCTCTCTCTTACAGGACAAATTATGCAAGTTCAGAATAATAATCTTTTTCAAATTAAATAGTCAGGAACATTATGCACAAATTACACTAAATGTAATTATATTCATAGATAAATCTTCTGTTTTAAGAATTACTATGTTCCTTTGTGTCGGTGATACATCATTTTTCACTAAATTCGACTGTAATTTGATCCAAGCCTCTCATGTTTAAACATGCAGCTGAAAAGGAAATTTTATTCCCATCTTCTTCCTAAAGTAATCCTTCAAAATAAACACATTATGATATCAAATGGTTTTATTTTTAAACATCTGGAACAGTATACAGACTTGGAATTGAATTTCTTACAAAACAGACTACTGGTGATTGGGATATATTTGAAAAGTTATTTTCAACAGCCACTATGATTTAGCTCTGCGTAATGTGAGATAAAATGAAATGAATTTCAAATATTTGTGATAAATATTAGATAAGGCCACAACGGAAGAAGGATTTGATTGTTTTTGCATTTTGAAAAAAGAAACACTGAAGATATCTCCAGACAATTTCTGGGAAATTCAGTTTTCGCATGATGTCTTTTGAATTCAATAGGTTCACATTTTGCAAATATCCATGTACAAGACAAACAGTGAGTGAAGTTATTTCAAGAATTATTAATGATAACTTTTTCCTTCTCCTCAGTCAGGACTAGGGGGTACTGCCTTTCGTTTCCAGGCAACAGGATTAATTTTCACAGCTAAACACACATATCTGCTACAATATACAAAATTCCAAAGCAGGAAATAGGAGAGAAAAGATTCTGAAGAACACAAAATCATGTCGCCTCAGGTAGTGAGTGATCTTACCGTTTTGGCGGCATTTGATGTATTAAGATCATTCCAGACGGTATCCGAATCCACACCGACGCCCCCACATGGCAAGAGACAGAAGCGCATGGGGGATGACTCTACAGTGTAGAAAACATTCATGAGTAAGTGAGTGGGTTGCGTTTAATGCCGCTTTGAAAAGTATTCGGTTAAATCACAGCAAGTCAGCCTAATGTGGGAGGAAAGCCCGAAGTGATGCAGGTCTCAGATGTTTACCACCTCAGTGAAACCCACGAGCACAGGTATCGTGCTGGCAAACCAATAAACATTATCGGGACAAACTGGGATTCGAACCCACAATCATAGGTTTCTGGCTTGGCAAATGTAACAGTTTATGTTATAATGAAGTACTTTTCCTAATGATTTCCTGAATTCTTTTGTCAGAGAAAATGTTGTTTTTTTCAAATTGGCACTTAGCCAACCTTGACCTTTAATTTCCTACAGCTTGAAGCGTTTCCGATCTGTGAAGATCTGCGGTAGAATAAGTTTTCAGCAACCCATGCTTGCTGTAAAAGGGGGCTATTCTTGTCATAAGAGGAGACTAACGGGATCAGGTGGTCAGGCTCGCTGACTGACTGATATCGTATCCCAATTGTGTGGATAGATGCTCATGATGTCAATCACTGGATTGTCTGGTCCAGACTCCATTATTTAAAGAACGCTGTCATATACCATGAATATTGCTGAGTGCGACGTTCAACAACAACAAACAAACAAACATTTTTCAGGGCATTTACAGGTTGTCATTCCCATGTTTGTCACATTGGATCATGACATTGAAGAATGTCGGATTAAAAGTTGTTGAAAGGATGAAAATGTCCTAAGTCAGTCATCTATAGTGAGTGAGTGAGTGAGTGAGTATGATTTTACGCCACTTTAGCAACATTTCAGCAATATCATGGCACGGTGACACCAGAAATGGGCTTCACACATTGTACCTATGTGGGGAATCAAACCCAGGTCTTCAGTGTGATGAGTGAATGCTTTAACCAGTGGGCTACCCCACCTTTCCAATTCATCTTGCTCAAGAAAATAAGAAAAACAAGACATAAAATTGGTCTGTAGCCTCTTGACCCATGATTGTCGTATATCTATGTTAAAGTTTAGGAGTTGTGACCGGCCTTGATAAAAATATTTGAAGTTAAACTCACCTAACAATTTCTGTCTACTGAGTGGATTTGTTCCGTAAACTAGCGTGTGGAGGTGAGTATGGCAGCTCTGCAGCTCCTCCGTACTTGCCTTCCGGGACCGCACTCTCTGTAAACAAGCAACCAATCAAAATGTAAGAGTATGTGAGTGAGTGAAAAACTCTTATCGACAAGTGGTATATCTTTCATATCAAAAGACACAACAGTGAAAATCTATTTATCACCCCAAATCAATCTTCTAAATGTTTCAGTTTGTCAACAGTACTGACCAGTGCCTAGAATGAAATCAGTACAACTGACCACGTTCAATAGCAGAGAGAATAACGATGTCATTTGATTGTGATGTCATGGTAACTGATGACATCACAATGGTCTGCAAAGCATTGTGATGCAATTTCATTTCAGCCTATCTTCTTAACACAGCAGGTTTTTTGTTACTTGAAATGATCTCAAAGTCAACTGTCAGTGCACAGACACAAAACACTACAAGTTATACCCTTCATGAAACCCTCATTGTTTCCCTGCAGTTAGAAACAGTAACACTGGTTAATGAATTGTCGAAAGAAAACTTAAAGTGTCAAACATCTTTTTATTTCCAAGAACTGAATCCGCAGTTAGAATACCACAACCTTCATAAATTCAACACATATCTGGATATTATTACTTGTCTCAGTCAAAATATTTTTTGTAAAAATGTTCGCAATTGCCTTTAAGTGATACTGACCTGCCCCACCATTAATCAAATTGACATTACTTAATCAGTTTACATTATCAATTAATGTCACAGCAAACTGATGATCTCCCAGCGAAATTTTCCCCCGGACTTTCTTCCAATTTTATTAATGCTGACATTTAATACTTAGTAGAGACTCTCATTTTCAGTTGCAAGAAAATCAATCATATTTCAGAGTTGCTGCATATGCTCTCCATAAATGTCACCATATATTACCCCAGAACTCCATAAGTCTGTATCTGGCCATAAACACAGGAGCTTGAATCTGTGGGAAGGCCATGGATTCACCCTAGCCTCATCCTAACTGACATGATGGAGGCAGGGGAATGGCTGTAAATTGGACTGGCCCATATGCATGCTGAGAACATGTTACACAAGTAGCTTAATGGCCTGTATCATCCAGGCTGTTATGATCATCTTTAGAAAAACTGCCATAGAGGAATACATGTACTTTGAAATTGATCTTAACTGTATTTTTTGTTGATGAATTAATTTGTTTCCTATTGCTAATTCTTTTTGTTCAGATCATTTTAATCACTGAAACAGACTGAGGTTTGAACCCCTTGGGTGCTGTCTTTGCTTATGTTTTATAAGTGAGTGAGCGAGTGAGTATTGTTTTACGCCGCTTTTAGCAATATTCCAGCAATATCAAGGCGGGGGACACCAGAAATGGGCTTCACACAATGTACCCATGTCTGGAATCGAACCCTTGTCTTCGGCGTGACGAGCGAACGCTTTAACCACTAGGCTACCCGACCGCCCTATGTTTTATAAGGGATTCCAGTGTCCGAAACAACTGCCCGCCTGCTGTACGTGGCTGGGGCTGCATGAAATTTGCTTCCACCTGCCAAGCTGTTATGCAAGTTGTAAGACTACTTAGGTAATCAGTATTCCTCGTAGATTCTCAAGTAATTGTTTGCATTATTTTAACTGAATCAACACACAATTTGTCTCTTATTTTTCGTGATTTTTCTCATATTGTCGTCGGTGATCCATTATTAACGGTAGATGAAAGGAAGTAACTATGCTTTCATTGGTCAATCCAGTCTTTATTTTAGTGTACTGGGATTGATATTAAGACCCATAATCAGAAATACTTCTTAGGGTCTCAAAAATACAGCATGCAAATATACATTAAATTCAATACATGTATTGTCTGAATGTGGGCAGGTAGCTTGAAGATGGGCAGGCAACATTTCTGGGTCACCTGCACGACTGTCTTGTTGAGTTATATAATTATTTCGAACACTGAGGATTCCAAACTAAAAATTGATAATTTAAAATAAATATAAAAATAAAGCATCGTACAATGATATTGCTACCTAGTCTTAATACAAACAAAGAAGACAATTTACAAAGAAACCTCGTATCTCAATTGCGTGGATCGATGCTCATGATGCCAATCACTGGATTGTCTGGTCCGAATTATTTACAGACCGCCGTCATATAGCTGGAATATTGCTGAGTGCGGCGTTTAACAACAAACAAACAAAGATACCTTGTTGAAATCTACAAATAGTACAGATTCAATAAGGCACTGACCAATGTAACACTTAGTTTCCTACCATCTCATGGTTGAATTCTACATACAACCAAAAGAATTCAACGGAATTCAGTTTTCCTGGAACAACATTGTACAGTATCCATCTCAAGGGTCTCACTCAAGGAGTCAGCAAAATAAAAAAAATAAAAAATCATATCCTGTGATGTGTTGAAGAAACTCCTTGTAATCCTGTATACTACAGGCAGTTGTTTTCAGCCCTCCCTGACAAAAAGTAACACTGTTTATAGCCTAGCATTACCCTGGCAAACTAACACAGGTGTACAGGGATAGGTTACCTCCACACCTGCAAACATTGGAACTGTCTACATAGAGATGTGCGAACCAGACACCACCATATACCGATATGGTGGCTGTGGTAACACACAGCTCCAGAGAGAGAGAGAGAGAGGGAGAGAGAGGGGGAGAGAGAGAGAGAGAAAGAAAGAGAGAGAGAGAGAGAGAGAGAGAGAAAGAGAGAGAGAGATCCACAGAGCGAGAGAGAGAGAGAGGGAGAGCTCCACAGAGACAGAGACAGAGAGAGAGAGAGAAAGAAAGAGAGAGAGAGATCCACAGAGCGAGAGAGAGAGGGAGAGAGAGAGAGGGAGAGCTCCACAGAGAGAGAGAGAGAGAGAGAGAGAGAGAGAGAGAGAGAGAGAGAGAGAGAGAGAGAGAGAGAGAGAGAGAGAAATAAGTTGTGTCCTGAGTGTGAAAAGTACAGCTAACCAGCTTCAGTGGCAGAGAGATTAGTGATGTCATTTGATTGTGATGTCATGGTATCTGAAGAGCATTGTGATGCAATTTCATTGCAACATATCTCCAAGAGATATCACTTGATGTCCCCTAAGTGATATCTTCTGTTGAGGCCAGTGATTGACGATATAGTACCATGTCATAACAAAATCTTGGACAAAATATGATTCCCAAAATGGTTTACAAGAAATTTTATGTTTCCCACAAACAACACACCTTAATACTTAAAGACTGTTCATTATTGAACAATATCCTTGAAAAGCCCACATGAATGAAGGTGAGTGTTGCCGTCTCCCGTACTGTTTACAGCTTGGGTAAAAATACCAATGCAAGCTATTCTTGAAACACCAGGAATTCATTTTATGATAAGCACTGCCTGCAGGTGAGAATTCCCCTCTCCGCCAACTTCCCACTGCCTGTGTGAGGCGGCAGCGAAGATGGCGGCAGCTCCGTGTCCATTACATTCCCACCTGCAGGAGGAGTAACTGTAGCTATGCCAGGTTTATATAACTTTTACAAGTGTAGCCAATCCTACAGCAATCCTACAGCTCCAGCTGACCTCCATCCCACTGTGGGCAAGATGAACCGGTGCATGGATATATTGAGATATGTATATATGTATATATATGAAGTAATGAGATTCACTAGTGTACTCCAGCACTTATGCAAAGAAATTCACAAAGATATCCGAGACACGCATAGTTCTCCTACATGTTTCAGATTTATCTTCGAAATGATTTGCCCTTTTCCCGAAGGATGAAGAAAATAAAAGGTCACAGATTGATTTGGAATGTCTCCAACCTAATTATTTGCAAAAGAAATAATGTTTTGTCATATTTGTTTTTATGAGTCATAATATTATTTGACATTGGAAAATTGGACATAAATATACTGAATCTGTATAACTAGGGTGGGTGGGTGGGTGGGGGGGGTGGGGCAATGTCACAATATGATATGTGATATGATATACTTGATTTGTATCTTAGTGAAAAGCTCACAATATGACACATGATATGATCGATATACTTGATATCTACCTTTGGTGGCAATGTCACAATATGATATGTGATATGATATATTTGATTTGTAACTTAGTGATAAGGTCACAATATGACACATGATATGATCGATATACTTGATATCTACCTTGGTGGCAATGTCACAATATGATATGTGATAAGATATAAACTCCAGTCGATTGAGGTGAGGTGAAATCAAGGGGTTAATGCATCCAAGATTAGTGTACTCACATAGCGACGTGCATGCACTTGTGTGTGTGTGTCTGTGTGTGTGTCTGTGTGTGTGTCTGTCTCTGCTTGTAATAGTCTGGACTGATGCTGATGCCGATTTATAGTACTAGCACACTGAGATACCATGCCGCAGTTTAACATGAATACCCCACTCAGACACAGTATACTGACTCCGAGCCGACCAGTCCTTGTTTTAGCCCATTATTGCCAAGCGCCAGACAGGGTAACAACAAGTACCATCTTTTAAGGTCTTTTGGTGTGATGCAGTGAAAGATAGAAACCTTCAGCTTTCCAGGAGGAATCTCTATCACTAGACCACGGAGGTGGTCTCCACTCCAGTGAATGCTCATGACACTACATTATTATAACCCCCTCAATGGATCAGTGTGCACTCAAATGTTCATTCTCAGCTCCCTGAGGAGTATACATCCCAACCTGCCTGTGAGGCACTAAAAGGTCAAGAGTCACATTACCATCACATCCTACCGGGTACCCATTCACTGCTGGGTGAACAAGATGATATGTGAATCAGAATACAAGACCTGCATACCACGCTTGACCAAGGTCTCTCACAGCAATTCCGGGGTAGAATAGGTCTTCAGCAACCCATGCTTGCCGTAAAAGGTGACTATGCTTGTCGTAAAAGGCGACTAACGGGATCGGGTGGTCAGGCTCGCTGACTTGGTTGATGCATGTCATCGATCCCATTGGCGTGGATCGATGCTCATGACATTAATCACTGGATTGTCTGGTCCAGACTCGATTATTTACAGACTGCCGTCATATAGCTGGAATATTGCTGAGTGCGGCGTTAAACAACAAACCAACCAACCAACCAACCAAATCTCTCACAGCAATTGAATTTCTTTCAATGCCTCCCTCAGATGCATCTCCTTTGTGTGACAGTTTCCTGCTTACTGATGGATTGGTTGGTTGGTTTGCTGTTTAGTGCCGCTCTCAGCAATATTCCAGCTATGTGACAGCGGTCTGTAAAAAATCGAGTCCGGACCAGACAATCCAGTGATTGATATTATGAGCATTCATCCACGCAATTGGGATACGATGACATGCATCAACCAAGTCAGCGAGCCTCACCACCCGATCCCGTTAGTCGCCTCTTGCGGCTTATGGAGACTGGTAGTGCTACCTACCTCACATCGTGTGACAAGTCCGGTGTCAGTGAGTCTAGCCCAGATGCTCTGTATTCTCCCAGCGTGTTCTAGGTGGTTCATGTTGTTGCCACACGTACACTGGTGTTTCAACATTATCGTGTCGTACGCCAAACCTGGAAGCAAGAAAATAAATGCTGCACTCTGATTGGTTCATATAAGTCTGGTAAATCTTACACATTATCCACAGAAAAATATGAATGAAGGAAGAAGCAAAATTCAAAGTATTTCGAATAATAACCTACCAGAAATGACAACATAGCAAGCACCTCAGTTCATAATAAAATAATAACCTACCAGAAACGACAACATAACAAGCATCTCAGTTCATAATAAAACAAGTATTTGTCACAGAGTGACGAAATATCCCCCGCCATATACACCATAGTACCAAATATGAAGACAATCCAGCGATTAGTTCTTGAGATATTGTGGCAACACCGTTTTCCAACTCCAAAAACAGATTTGCCTGCTGTGACCTTGAAAATGGGATCAAGGTCACCAAAACCGACTGGTGTCTGCGGAGTCTGTATATACACTATAGTTCCAAATATGAAGACAATCGAGAGGTTTAGTTCTTGAGATATCGCGGCAACACCGTTTTCCAACTCTAAAAGCAGATTTGCCTGCTGTGACCTTGAAAATGGGATCAAGGTCACCAAAACCGACTGGTGTCTGCGGAGTCTGTATATACACCATAGTTCCAAATATGAAGACAATCCAGTGTTTAGTTCTTGAGATATCGCGGCAACAAACAGGTGGGACGTACGGACGGACGGACGGACGGACGGACGGACGGACGGACGGTCGTGAATACTATATCCCCCGCTTCGCGCTTTCGCGCGGCGGGGGATAATAATAACCTACCAGAAACGACAACATAACAAGCATCTCAGTTCATAATAAAATAATAACCTACCAGAAACGACAACATAACAAGCATCTCAGTTCATAATAAAATAATAACCTACCAGAAACGACAACATAACAAGCATCTTAGTTCAGAATAAAATAATAACCTACCAGAAACGACAACATAACAAGCATCTCAGTTCAGAATAAAATAATAACCTACCAGAAACGACAACATAACAAGCATCTCAGTTCATAATAAAATAATAACCTACCAGAAACGACAACATAACAAGCATCTTAGTTCAGAATAAAATAATAACCTACCAGAAACGACAACATAACAAGCATCTCAGTTCATAATAAAATGAATTTAAGATCATAAGAATCATTTGTCTAAAATACAAAATATGTTAACTTTAAAGGTGAAAGATGACAAATTAAATCACTGCAATTTGCCGACATTACCACAGCCATTGTTCCTTAAAAATTCCCACAAGATATTTGGTCTCCTCTGACATTTGTTGCTGCAGACTGACTGGCTAATTAAATGGATATATTTGACAGCCTTTCTAATTAGAGATCATCTCAGAAAGTCAGACTTTGACATTTCACAGATACATAAATAGCAGGTGACACGGTATATTGTATTGGCATCTTGCTTAAACTGGAGTTACTGCCAAACCAGTTTCCCATTATCACCCACCTGCTATAAATGTGTATAAGACAGGCTCAGTTTCCCATTATCACCCACCTGCTATAAATGTGTATAAGACAGGCTCAGTTTCCCATTATCACCCAGCTGCTGTCAATGTGTATGAGACTGACTCAGTTTCCCATTATCACCCATCTGCTGTAAATGTGTAAGAAACTGATCCAGTTTCTTGTTATCACCCACCTGCTGTAAATGAGTATGCATTTGGCCCAGTTTCCCATTATCACCCAGCTGCTGTAAATGTGTATGAGACTGTCCCAGTTTCCCATTATCAAACAGCTGCTGTAAATGTGTATGCAACCGACCAGTTTCCAATTATCACCCAGCTGCTGTAAATGTGTATGCAACCGACCAGTTTCCAATTATCACCCACCTGCTGTAAATGTGTATGAGACCCAGTTTCCCTTTGTCATCTAAGACTGGCTTAGTTTCTTGATATCACCCACCTGTTGTAAATGTGTATGAGACTGGCCCAGTTTCTTGAGGCTGTTGTGGGAGAACAGAGAAGGTGACAAGGGGACTGGACTGTGTCCGAGACAACGGGCGATGATGCGAGGGGCCCTTGTGGCGGGGCTTGATTATCTCCCTTTGCTGGCCCAGGAATGCTTCACGATCCCGCTGCTGTTTCTCCAGTTCACTGGAACTTTCATCCATCTTGCTGTCACTGACGATACTCTCAGCATCACGAGACTCCTTCATCTCCTGCAGGTCAAACAATGAGTGTGTGAGGGACTTCAGACAAGTAAGGTGGCGAGTGCACCTGGTACAGAAGACCATGGACCTGTGGAGATCCGGGGTGGAATATAGGTCTTCAGCAACCCATGCTTTCCGTAAAAGGTGACAATGCTTGTCTACCGGGATCGGGTGGTCAGGCTCACTGACTTGGTTGATGCATGTCATCGTATCCCAATTGCCTCGATTGATGTCCATGATGTCAATGACTGGATTGTCAGGTACAGACTTGATCATTTACAGACTGCCGTCATATAGCTGGAATATTGCTGAGTGCGGCGTTTAACAACAAACAAACAAAACAAACAAAACAAACAGAAGACCATGGTGGGTGATAAAATTATTGAAATCAAACCATGATGAGAGTATAGACACAAAGTCAGTGCAAGGAGTTTGTAACGAATCTCAATGACCATTTGATCAACCAATTTGCATTTCATTAACCTTAAAAACTCCTGGTAGCTGAATGAACACGTATATGTACCTGTGCTAATTTGACCTCTGTTTCTTCATCCACATTCTCCATATGACTCTTACTGACGGTCCGCTGTAACACCGTCTGTCGTATATGCTGAAACACAGAGAAACGGCTGAAATAATCTTCTCAGTTTTGCAAGCCAAGGCTAAAGAACCAAGGTGAGGTGAAATGGGGTTTAACATCGTGTGTGTGTGTTTGTGTGTTTGTGTTTGTGTGTGTGTGTGTGTGTGTGTGTGTGTGTGTGTGTGTGTGTGTGTGTGTGTGTGTTTGTTTGGTGTAGTCTGGACTAATGCCGATTTTATAGTGTTAACCCAATGAGATATTATGTCGGAGTTTAACATAAATACCCACTCAGGCATGGGAAGGTATATACAAAAGTTGCTTTTGTTTAACTGTTTGATTGGCATTCTAGAAGTTGGTCAGTAAGTAAGAAAACATACAACTTTAGGGCTGACAACTTACTGCACATAGCGCTGTTTTGATGTAGATTGTTACACAATTATCAACCTGGAGTGACAGCTTGATAACGGAGTAAGAATCAACATTGAAACATCACTATATGCAATAAACCAGAAGTTGTTATCCATAAACTTCTACATTTTCTTAATAAGGAAGAGAATATATAGAGAATTTCACCCTTGTGTCATTGATATCAAATATATCAACACGAGTTGCTAAAAGTGGGAAAACTCCGAGGCTTGCCGAGGAATATTTTCCACTTTTATCAACGAGTGTTGATATATTTGATATCAAAAGACACTCGGGTGAGATTTTATTTATCATCCAACATCATTCTTCCAACTTTTTCAGTTTGTAGAAAGTAATAAGCAGTGTCTTAAGTGTAAAAAGTACCGCTAACAGCTTCAATAGCAGAACCATTAGTGATGTCATTTGATTGTGACGTCATGGTAACCAATGACGTCACAATGGTCTGCAAAGCATTGTGATGCAATTTCATTGCAGCGATATCTACAGTATAGATATATGTTTTTGTTTGTGTTTCGTTTCTGCAAGTGATAAGTTTCAACTTGTATGTTATGTGAGGTAAGGTGAAATAGAGTGTAACGTCCCTTTCAAGACTAATGCTAATTGTGCTGGTTAGGACCTATGCCAGTTCTATAATGCTAGCCTACTGAGATACCATGCAGCGGTTGAACATGCCTACCCAACTCAAACACAGTATCCTGACTCCAAGCCCTTGTTTTATTCCCTTAATGCCGTCCGTGAGGCAGGAAAACAACAAGCACCATCTTTTAATGTCTTTTGGCACGACGCACCCAGGGGTCGAACCACGAACCACCAACATCAATCAAGCCACAAAGTGTCTAATGCATGAGTTAGAGCAATGGATGAGGCAACTCACCTGTTTTAAGTATAGTTTTGAGTTTTCCTTTATAAACTGATCGTGCTGATGTTGTTGTAGTAGTTGCTGCTGCTGCTGAAACACGGGGTGGCCGAGTGGGAGGGGGGCTGAGTGGGTGCGGCCCAGTGGCCGATGTCTGTAAACAACACAAATATTACATATTAAGATATCGCGTGCACATAAATCTGAAAAAAGCGTAGAGTCGCACTGCCCTAATTTAAATGTAGTTCACATGGCTTAATGATTGAACAGGACAGAATAATTACCAAGAAAACGGAGATTGTGTAAACAATGTGTCTTAAGACAACTTCACTTTTTGTAAATCTGCAGTAAATGAAATTGTCTAAGAAGAAAATACTTTCAGCACAAATGGTATGAAAACCCAACTCTCCACCTACCTAGAGAGTCTGTGAGCAGGGTGTGTAGGGGCTTCTGTTCCTGACAGTGTAACGGAGTACATTGAACCACCTACCTAGAGAGTCTGTGAGCAGGGTGTGTAGGGGCTTCTGTTCCTGACAGTGTAACAGAGTACGTTGAACCACCTACCTAGAGAGTCTGTGAGCAGGGTGTGTAGGGGCTTCTGTTCCTGACAGTGTAACGGAGTACGTTGAACCACCTACCTAGAGAGTCTGTGAGCAGGGTGTGTAGGGGCTTCTGTTCCTGACAGTGTAACGGAGTACATTGAACCACCTACCTAGAGAGTCTGTGAGCAGGGTGTGTAGGGGCTTCTGTTCCTGACGTGTAACGGAGTACGTTGAACCACCTAACTAGAGAGTCTGTGAGCAGGGTTTGTAGGGGCTTCTGTTCCTGACAGTGTAACGGAGTACGTTGAACCACCTACCTAGAGCGTCTGTGAGCAGGGTGTGTAGGGGCTTCTGTTCCTGACAGTGTAACGGAGTACGTTGAACCACCTACCTAGAGCGTCTGTGAGCAGGGTGTGTAGGGGCTTCTGTTCCTGACAGTGTAACGGAGTACGTTGAACCACCTACCTAGAGCGTCTGTGAGCAGGGTGTGTAGGGGCTTCTGTTCCTGACAGTGTAACAGAACACGTTGAACCACCTACCTAGAGAGTCTGTGAGCAGGGTGTGTAGGGGCTTCTGTTCCTGACAGTGTAACGGAACACGTTGAACCACCTACCTAGAGAGTCTGTGAGCAGGGTGTGTAGGGGCTTCTGTTCCTGACGGTGTAACGGAACACGTTGAACCACCTACCTAGAGAGTCTGTGAGCAGGGTGTGTAGGGGCTTCTGTTCCTGACAGTGTAACGGAACACGTTGAACCACCTACCTAGAGAGTCTGTGAGCAGGGTGTGTAGGGGCTTCTGTTCCTGACAGTGTAACGGAACACGATGAACCACCTACCTAGAGAGTCTGTGAGCAGGGTGTGTAGGGGCTTCTGTTCCTGACAGTGTAACGGAGTACATTGAACCACCTACCTAGAGCGTCTGTGAGCAGGGTGTGTAGGGGCTTCTGTTCCTGACAGTGTAACGGAACACGTTGAACCACCTACCTAGAGAGTCTGTGAGCAGGGTGTGTAGGGGCTTCTGTTCCTGACGGTGGAATGGAATATGGGTTGACGAGGGGGGAGCTGATTTTGCCACCAGACGCTGCTGCTGCTGCCGCTGCTGCAAGATATGCCTGACTGGTTCCTGGTGGGAAGTCACCATCAATCACTACAAGGAAATGAATAATGTAAGATGAAATCGCTGGCCAATTCTCAGATGCGTTGCACATTTATGTTTGACACTGCCACAAACATACTAATGGAAATTTGTGCAAACTCACCAACACCAAGGCTTGTAAAGAATGCCCAAGGGCTCTGATATGGGAAAATAAGACTGAACAAGTTTTTTTTGTTTTTTGTTTGTTTGTTTGTTTGTTGTTTACTCAGCAATATTCCAGCTGTATGACAGCAGTTTGTAAATAATCAAGTCTGGACCAGACAATCCAGTGACTGACATCATGAGCATCAATCTACGCAATTGGGATACAATGTCATGTATCAACCAAGTCAGTGAGTCTGACCACCCAATCCCGTTAGTCGCCTCTTAAGACAAGCATGGGTTGCTGAAGACCTACTCTTACAGCGGGATGATGCCATGCATATGTCACATGACACTGACATGAGGTCACATGACACTGACATGAGGTCACATGACAAATGGAAAGCTAAGACATTCTCACAATACAATCGCGATAAACATGAAATAGAGATACAACTATATAGTACCTCAATAGTAATTGGTCCTATTGAGCAACAATGCAAGCCGGTAAATAAGGACAAGGGAGACAACTTTGACCAACCTGGCAGTGAAGGGAAGTAACCGGGGAGAGCATTTGGCAGTAGGTGACTTGCAATTGGCATTCCAAGACGTGCCGTCATCGCTCGTAACTCCTCCTCCGAAGCCACACTACTGGATGTAGAACCCTGCAATAACAATCAGCGACTATAGTTCATAGTGAGATGTGTGGGGAAGCATCTCCCACCGACCCAAACCAGGACCCATTTTGTATGCCTAAATACAGTGAATGTATGTCAAACTTATGAAACCAACTTCATTTAGGTCCAATAGATGTTCCAAGAGCAAATATATTGTAAGTTTAAGCAGAAAAACATTAAAATAAGACTTAACTTTATGTCCTCTGGCAATACATGTGTGAATGAGTGAGTGAGTGAGTGAATGGTTTACTCATACAGTGTTGGGTGTTGGAGACCTACTCTTTCCTGGAACAACCCCACCATGTGAAAGATGTAGGTTTATCAACAGGATTACTCGCACAAACAGATGGTGATTGTTGAGGCAAGTATTGGGTGTTGGAGACCTACTCTTCCCTGGACGGAGAGACGGACGGACGGACGGACACACGCACGCACGACCGCACACACACACACACACACACACGACTTCTGTAGGTATATCAACAGGACTACTCACACTAACTGATGATGGCCCTGAGGTTGGGGGTCTGCCCAGGGAGATGTTGGGCATGGATGGGGACGTGTAGAGACTCAGGTCATTTCCGGGATAGCTCAATCCAGGTCGGAATGGGAACGGGTAGGTGCCATTGTCCTGAAACAAATTCACAATTAAATACAAATTCAATCATCCGTCCATACAATACCAAAAAAAAGAAGAATTATATCATATCTGCAGGTGTAAGGTCCATTGTCCTGAAAATAATTGATAATTAGATGCAAAACAATTAATCCTCATAAAAAAAATGTAGGTTTCTGTTTGTTTGTGTGTGGATAAATCGATGCCAAACAGGGTTCTGATTACAATTCTTCTCGTACAGACATAATCCTGTCATGTGCATGTTACAGATGACAATCCTCCTTGACAACTATGTTACTTGCTAATAGTGAGCGGCCATTGAAGTCAGAGTTGAGCACGGTTCAATGCATACTTTCGTATTTCATGCTTCAACTGGATTTGTTTGTTTGTTGTTTAACGCCGCATTCAACAATATTCCATCTAGATAACGGCGGTATGTAAATAAATGAGTCTCAACCAGACAATACAGCGATTGATGTCAAGAGCATCGATCCATGCAATTTGGATACGGTGACATGCATCAACCAAGTCAGTGAGCCTGACCACCTGATCCTGTTAGTCACCGCTTACGTCAAGCATTGTCACCTTTTACGGAATGCATAGTTGCCAATCAACACTTCACTTCACTTCACTTCACTTCACTTCACTTCACTTCACTTCACTTCACTAACAAATTGTACTGCAACATATTGTGATACAGGTATCTGTATTGTGATATGTTAAAGTGTTTGACACTGATTGAACAGGTCCTCACCACTGACAAATAACAGTCACCAATTCAGCTCAAAATGCTTTCATTTATCTCTGAAGATTTGAAAAGCTAAAGATTTCAAACAATAAATAAAAAGTAATTCTGGTAATGATCTGGAAGGAGTTAGTGAGTGAGTTTGGTTTTATGCCGCTTTTAGCAATATTCCAACAATATCACGGTGGGGACACAAGAAATGGGCTTCACAGATTGTACCAATGTCGGGAATTGAACCCGTGTCTTCAGCGTGACGAGCGAACGCTTTAACCACTGGGCTACCCGACCGCCCCTGATGTGGAAGGAAGTGTCAAGGGACAATTTCTACATCCGACATCCCTATCAACCCTGATCTTAGTCTTGGTGTTGAGGACGGGCATTAAGACAATAAGAGTCTTACACATTAATATAACAAAACAGGTAATTTGCGCTAGGCATAAATCCATCTGGGCAGAATACAGCCATTAATCAACATTTCTAGAAGAATGAGAGAGCATCCGTTTCTCTCCTCACAGATAGGCGTGTTAACACAAGTTGATATCAAGCATTTACACGAAACTACAACCCCCATCCAGGGAAAGAAGGTCCGCCTGGCTGATTGCCAATCTATATATAAACAGCAGTAATGCTACACTGGCACCATCTCCTTAAAGAACCTCCCGTAGAATTACGTTACCCACAATTGTGTTGGGGGACATGGCAGGGTCAATGACACAATGCCAACATGCGGCTCATTTGTGTTGGCTTATCTACTTCACTCCTTCCTGGAGAGTTTTTACCAATAAATTTTGTCAGATATATTGACAGCATCTCCTGCCGAAAACAATGGTAAAATACACAGCAAGTTATTGCCTTAACATTCACTGTCGAAGAAGTCCAAGAACATCAACACCTGCCTGTATACATCATGCCATTTCTTTCCCAACAACAGTCGTATTCTTAATGAGGGGGAAACTATGAACGCAGTTTTATTCAAAAACACAACCAATAAATCTGAAATATATATGAATCTAAATTAAATCCTACAGCGCAATGTAATTATTTCTATGATAATCATAAGGGTGAAAAGCTGGCTTCATTTTAGGCCGTACTCTGACTCCTATGGAGATGGAGCTGATTCTGCAACACCTATCTAGCCTTGCTTCAAGGCTGTACTAAAAAAAGTGTATTGATTTGTAGTAATTCTACCCTTCCAATAGGCAAGTCTAGATATGTTGACAGTAAGGACTCCAGGCTCTTATCGGGACAACTTGTTCTTATTATTTACATAATCTAGAACTTATGACTTAAACTAATAATTATTGCCTTAGAGACTTGTGCAAGTCTATCCATCGAGCCACATCCCATTTCCGTGCTGCGAGACTGTGCCAAGCTCTATAAAAATCACCTCTATTTACAGTAGGTTTTATTTTGGCAGCAGGAGATGAAGCATCTGTATTAGGGTGCTAAAGAACTCTTCTGCTTCTCAAAGACACACATTTCGTGAAGGAAGAATCTCTCGCCTTTCTGCACTACACTTTCTTGTTGCCACAATATATTAAAAGATAAAATTGTTTGAGTAAAATAACTAATGCCAATATCAAGGAATTCAAAATATTCACTCAAATTGAACTAGTTGGACCATTTCACATCACAAACCTAATCTTCTTATTTCATATCATAAAATGATGAGAGGTATGTATAATGACCATTAGATATGTTTTATGCCACAAAATATCAAAAGATAAAATAGTTTGAGCAAATTAGGTAATCCCAATATCAAGGAATCTTAAATATTTACTCACAGCTAAATAGTTGGACCATTTGATAATACAAACAGAGAAACCTAATCTTCAAATTTCATATCATAAAATGAAGAGAATGCATATTAATGATTTGAAAATTGGGGATAAAAATACATTTTAACAAATAGTCATAAGGAAGTTAATTATCTAACATTGTATAAACCAACTCAATTCTCTACACAGGATATATTTATACAACAAAGGAAGCACTTGGAAGCCCATCGTCATTTTACACTGCAGCTGTCATACACAGATTTAATAACGTCCACAAAAAATATATTTAATCAATAACTATGTCCTAAAATTACACAAAAGCACATCAAACTTGAAGCTAGCCATTAAAACTTTCACAGGCAGTGACTCAGTCAGAACTATAAAAAGAACAGAAAATGTGATTGCAAGTCAAAAACTTGGATGCACACATACTGAATTGAATTGTAAGCAAGCAATGTCATCTAACAAAACATGGCCGACGTTTAACTGGAAAAATGATCAGATGTACAACAGCTAATTACATAAAATGATTTTTTTCCCCTTTAGATCACCTGGCCATGGCAACAGACCATATCCAACATCAATTCATCTGACATGAATTATTTTATCTGCTTTGTTGAAAACAGAAGAAAATTAAGACCAAGTAGACTGCCATATTTAAGCTTAGGTCATGGCAGCCATGCCAATTTACACTTATAAGAGGGGTATGTAAAGTGTGTGATCTAGGCTACCAGTTGTGGAAGGCTTGGGGTGTCAAGTGGTTAGGTCCCTGCCTTTGTGTACTGGCCAGTGTGGGTTCAAATCCCTGATGGGACTCCAACCCAAGTACTAGGATTAGTACTTTACTGAGATAAGTGTAATCCCAAATATATAACATGTCACATTTGACCACATTCCAAAAAGGCAAAGTTTTGCATAATTGCCATTGTTGAACAGAACAGACAATGGTATTTAATTTGAACTTAGTCGGATCTTATGTTCAAAATATATATTAAATAGTCTTGGAATGACATTTATAAATGATACACATGAAAGAGAATGCATGGATGTCAACTTCTTTATTATGAGGAACACATCGTTTCGGCCCATAAGCTTACTCCTTATCAAGACCATCATCATTCACCTGATGAGGTGAGGTGAGGTGAAATTGGGTTTAACGTCGCGTCCAAGATTATAGCATGCACGTGTGTGTGTGTGGCTGCTTGTACTAGTCCGGACTGATGCCGATTTATAGTGCTAGCTCACTGAGATACCATGCCGCAGTTTAACATGAATACCCCACTCAGACACAGTATACTGACTCCGAGCCGACCAGTGCTTGTTTTAGCCCCTTAATGTCGAGCGCCAGACAGGGTTACAACAAGTACCATCTTTTAACGTCTTTTGGTATGACGCGGCCGGGGATCGAACCCCGGACCTTCCGCTCTCCGGGCTTACGCTCTACCACAAGACCACGGAGGCAGCACTTCACCTGATGAAGGAGTAAGCATACTTTGACCGTTGTATTCTTCATTATAAACAAGTTGACATTCATAAGTTCTCTCTCTTATATATCAACATAACACATGATCAGTAGCAGAGCTGCATCCATACATTAATTCAACAGTCTGTTGGCCCTTGTGCAGAATAACTAAACATCTGTCCCACAAACTACATATTGTTCTGCAATAAAGATAAAAAAAACATTTCACAGATGGTCAAATTATCCCAGATGTGTATGAAAGATTTAATCTGAATATGGCAATATCAATAATTCCTAATTTGGCTAGGGCACCTGCTAGAGGGTTCAAACCAGTAAATGGTACTAAGATCAAACCAACTTACCTCTTTAGAGTGGAGTGACGACAGACTCCCATTGGGCAATGCACCATGGGAGCTTCCTGCTGGCGAATTGGGCCCCGAATCTGGATTACTGCTACAAACTCCAGTCTCAACTGCAACAGATCATTCATGAAAGCCTGAATCTTTTATCAAGGCACTCTAAAAGATCTTAACATGAAGTATCAAACATTTTTGGGGTATCTTTCGTTGTTGTTGTTGTTGTTGTTTAACGCCGCACTCAGCAATATCCCAGCTTATAGACGGCAGTCTGTTAATAATCAAGTCTGGACCAGTCAATCCAATGATTGATATCATGAGTATCAATCTACACAATTGGGATCGATGACATGCATCATTCACGTCAGCGAGTCTGACCACCCGATCCCATTAGTCTCCTCTTTCGACAAGCATGGGTTGCTGAAGACCTATTCTATCCCGAATCTTCACTGGTATTAGGGGGTGTCAACATTCCATACTTTGTACGAATAAGTCTTGTTAACTTAACCAAGGGTGGAGCTTGTGTTTATAGTGGGGTCCCTAATTTGTAAATCAAAATTTGCCTGACAATTATCTCAAGTCTTTGCTTCAGAAGTGAGTGAGTGAGGATGGTTTTACGCTGCTTTTAGCAATATTCCAGGAATATCACGGCGGGGGACACCAGAAATGAGCTTCACACATTGCACCCATGTCGGGAATCGAACCCGGGTCTTCGGCGATCTTCAGAAGTGAGTGAGTGAGTGATTTCAGTTTCCTGGCGCATGTCCTGGATCGTCCTGGATAAATACTTCAGTGGTCAGTTGGATGTATGACACCCGTCACTGAATCAGTGAATGAGTGAGTGAAAGCATAGTGCCCCAATTATTGAGGTCAAGCCATATTGAATGGTTGCCCTCAAGGGGGAAGGGATTTAAACATGACAGAAAGTCCATTCGACATTCACCACACCAGAAACCCCCAAAGCATGGGCTTGGTACTGACATACCAAGGACTTAAATCTGGGCAAATATGGGATTCAAATTACGACCAGCTGATTCTGGCACTGCTAAGGGAGGCAACTCTACACGGAAAAGCTGCAGCTTAGCCAACTTGGCCATCTTCCACTATCTTTAAGTGTGGGGAAGTGAGAGACCAGGTTCCACATTCCAACACAGACATGATGGAATACTGAGACGACTGTAAGGGTCAGCGGTACATATAGACGACAATATAAATGATCAATAGAAAAGATCACCAACTTGTTGAGGAGACAACAATAATATCTGGACAGATTCATCTGGAACTTAATGAAGTCAAACCAGACCGTATTTCATCACCCTAATGAAGAGAGTGAGACAGGGTAACAAGTACTATCTTTTAACATCTTTTGGTTCGATGTGGTCGGGGATCAAACCACCGACCTTCCACTCTCCGGGCAGCTCTCTCCACTTCACCACGGAGGCTGTCCACATACAGCATGAGATGATCAAATGAACCACAGCACAAATGGCTGACAGCATCAAGGAGGGTGGAGGGGGAAGTCCATCTTAGTAAATAATTCAAAACCACAGCAGTCGCCTTGATCTCATTGCCTGATTACTATGTCAAGCCGACCCCTGCCCAAGCCGCTGTGCACTCATCACATTTCACACCATTGAGAAGATATTTATAAAGTTCACACAAAATCTCTCATAAATTTTAAGTGTGTTGACTGTGGGGTGGGGGATGGCTACAGTACAATTAAGAGAAGAATGTCAGAATATAGGGCACAGCTTTGCTCTTGAAGGTCACAGGGCACAGTGTGTGTGCGTGTGTGTGCGTGCATGTGTGCGTGTGTGTGCGTGCGTGTGCATGCGTGTGTGCGTGCGTGCAACTGTGTGTTTGTGTGTGTAACTCTCTCTCTCTCAAAGTGTGAGAGTGTGTGACAGTGTAAACCAATGTGTGACAGTATGTGTGAGAATGTGAGTATCTGTGTTGGCATGTGAGGATATGAGTATCTGTGTTGGCATGTGAGAATGTGAGAGTGTTAGCATGTAAGAATGTGTGTCAATATGTGTCAGCATGTGAGAATGTGTGTCAATGTGAGTGTCAGCATGTGAGAATGTGTGTCAATGTGAGTGTCAGCATGTGAGAATGTGTCAATGTGAGTGTCAGCATGTGAGAATGTGTGTCAATGTGAGTGTCAGCATGTGAAAGTGTCAGAGAAATTGAGTGTGCCAGTGTGTGAGAATGTGCGACAATGTGAGTGTGTCATTTGAGAATATGTCAGTAAGTGAGAGTGTGTGCCAATGTGTGGGAGTGTGTGCCAATGTGTGAGAGTGTGTGTCAATGTGTGGGAGTGTGTGCCAATGTGTGGAAGTGTGTGCCAATGTGTGAGAGGGGTGTGCCAATGTGTCAGTGCCAGTGTGAGAGTGTGTGCCAATGTATGGGAGTGGGAGTCAATGTGTGGGAGTGGGAGCCAATGTGTGAGAGTGGGAGTCAATGTGTGGGAGTGTGTGTCAATGTGTGGGAGCGGGAGTCAATGTGTGGGAGTGTGTGTGCCAATGTGTGGGAGTGGGAGTCAATGTGTGAGAGTGTGTGTGCCAATGTGTGAGAGTGTGAGTCAATGTGTGGGAGTGTGTGTGCCAATGTGTGAGAGCGTGAGTCAATGTGTGGGAGTGTGTGTGCCAATGTGTGAGAGTGTGAGTCAATGTGTGGGAGTGTGTGTGCCAATGTGTGAGAGTGTGAGTCAATGTGTGGGAGTGTGTGTGCCAATGTGTGGGAGTGGGTGAGTGAGTGAGCTAATGCTTTACGTCACATGGGCAAGATTTCAGCCATATCGTGACGAGTGTGGGAGTCAATGTGTGGGAGTGTGTGTGCCAATGTGTGGGAGTGGGAGTCAATGTGTGGGAGTGTGTGTCAATGTGTGGGAGTGTGTGTGCCAATGTGTGGGAGTGTGAGTCAATGTGTGGGAGTGTGTGTGCCAATGTGTGGGAGTGGGAGTCAATGTGTGGGAGTGTGTGTGCCAATGTGTGGGAGTGGGAGTCAATGTGTGGGAGTGTGTGTGCCAATGTGTGGGAGTGGGAGTCAATGTGTGGGAGTGTGTGTGCCAATGTGTGGGAGTGGGAGTCAATGTGTGAGAGTGTGTGTGCCAATGTGTGAGAGTGTGAGTCAATGTGTGGGAGTGTGTGTGCCAATGTGTGAGTGTCAGTGTGAGAGCATGTGTCAGTAAGTGAGACTGTAAGCCAATGTGTGAGAGCATGTGTCAGTGTGAGAGCATGTGTCAGTAAGTGAGAGTGTAAGTCAATGTGTGAGAGCATGTGTCAGTGTGAGAGCATGTGTCAGTGTGAGAGCATGTGTCAGTAAGTGAGAGTGTAAGTCAATCTGTGAGTTAGTTATAAGTTAGTTTTGTATGTGTTTAAGTAATGCACTTCAGTGTTTATGGTGCTTCAGGATGGTGCTTCCGGATGGCTCTACTTCTACATCATGTAGTGATATCAAATTCCTCAGCTATTATCACATTTCTGCCAGCTCGATCTAATGGTCTCTTGATAAAGAGATCACTCTGGCACTAAAGGTCACTGACACATGTGAAGTGAGTTGACACTGTAGGCAGCAATATTACAGCTTATCATGGCTGTCTGGAAATATTAACATACAACGCTCATTTAACCAGCAGTTGATACCATGAGGCACTTATTCTGCTCTGGAATCCTATGGAGAGAGTTGCAGGAGGTTCAGGGAACTTATTCTGCCCTGGAATCCAATGGAGAGGGTTGCATGAGGTTCAGGGAACTTATTCTGTCCTGGAATCCCATGGAGAGAGTTGCCTTAGATTCAGGGAACTTATTCTGTCCTGGAATCACATGGAGAGGGTTGCATGAGGTTCAGGGAACTTATTTTGCCCTGGAATCCCATGGAGAGAGTTGCATGAGGTTCAGGGAACTTATTCTGTCCTGGAATCCCATGGAGAGGGTTGCATGAGGTTCAGGGAACTTATTCTGCCCTGGAAACCCATGGAGAGGGTTGCATGAGGTTCAGGGAACTTATTCTGCCCTGGAATCCCATCGAGAGGGTTGCATGAGGTTCAGGGAACTTATTCTGTCCTGGAATCCCATGGAGAGGGTTGCATGAGGTTCAGGGAACTTATTCTGCTCTGGAATCCCATGGAGAGGGTTGCATGAGGTTCAGGGAACTTATTCTGTCCTGGAATCCCATGGAGAGGGTTGCATGAGGTTCAGGGAACTTATTCTGCCCTGGAATCCCATGGAGAGGGTTGAATGAGGTTCAGGGAACTTATTCTGCCCTGGAATCCCATGGAGAGGGTTGCATGAGGTTCAGGGAACTTATTCTGTCCTGGAATCCCATGGAGAGAGTTGCCTTAGATTCAGGGAACTTATTCTGTCCTGGAATCACATGGAGAGGGTTGCATGAGGTTCAGGGAACTTATTTTGCCCTGGAATCCCATGGAGAGAGTTGCATGAGGTTCAGGGAACTTATTCTGTCCTGGAATCCCATGGAGAGGGTTGCATGAGGTTCAGGGAACTTATTCTGCCCTGGAAACCCATGGAGAGGGTTGCATGAGGTTCAGGGAACTTATTCTACCCTGGAATCCAATGGAGAAAGTTGCCTTAGATTCAGGGAACCTGTACTGCCCTGGAATCCCATGGAGAGAGTTGCCTTAGATTCAGGGAACTTATTCTGTCCTGGAATCCAAGGAGAGAGTTGCAGCAGGTTCAGGGAAAATATTCTGTCCTGGAATCCAAGGAGAGAGTTGCAGCAGGTTCAGGGAAAATATTCTGTCCTGGAATCCCATGGAGAGAGCTGCATGAAGTTCAGGGAACCTTTCTGCCCCGGAAAGAGAGTATTGTTGACACAGCCAGACATCACCTTCAGTCTTCTCAAATTGCACCAACACAGGGCATCAAACTCTTGTCATCTACAAGTTAACACACTAATCACCTGGCAAACACCTACCGGATACGCTTGAGTAAGTGAGTGAGTTCAAATTTAATGACGCATCAGCATTATTTCAGCCATATAGCGATGAGAACCAAGTTTTTATATATACAAACATGTCAGAAATACAAGCTGCCTACCCTTGAAGGTGCAAAGAAGCAATTTATTCTCAATTTTGTAAATATGGAAACATCTCTCAAGTCCTTTGAGGAGGGAACCCACGAGGGCAATCAGTTACTTTCCATGAAGATGTACTGCTGAAATGACCTGCTACTTTCATTCTTCAGATACAGGTTACTCATTCTCAAAATAACATCTACCTTGCCAAACATTTTCAGCTTTGGAATACCATTCACGAATCTTCTATTAACTCGCATTTTTTAAAATTCTTTCAGCAATTAACTTCCCAGAACCAACTCACGTATAAGTACAATATATCTGGTAACATACACACAGTGAGAGTAATAGGATGTAAACTCTGCATAGTGCAGATTACGTTTTTCCTGGTATGAAATTCCTCGATTCACCTGGCAAACATCCAAATTCCACATGTTGCAATGCTTTTAGATACCGGCTTGAAAATAAGCCAAATATGTTTTTTGTTTAAACATAAATCATATTATCCACAACATATCTCACTTATAGCATCTAAAATGGGTGAGGAAAAACTTCTAGTTCACCCTACTGATCCTGTGAGCAATAACTCACGCCCTGACATAGGTAAACGGTAAAAGAAATGTTAGTCTCGAAGTCTAATTCATGCAAAAAACAAATGTCACACTTCAATCCAACCTCTAACTGCTGTTATTTATGTTTGTTATTTCCAAATTGCCAATGGCTGTGTATGTTAATGTAAACAATTTGCAATCAATCATTCGCCATGCGGACAAACTCTTGGGAAGGGTGGTTAGCTGGGTTTCAAGGTCAAGGTCACAAGGGTACTTGAACAGGCAGGTCACATGACTGTGTCACATGATCAGGTCACATGACCAATTAACTGGATATGCTTCTTTTCTTTTCTTTGAGTTACCTCCCTTGAATTACCACCAATAAAACATACAAGACTTTGACATGATAGTGTTATAACTACTCGTGAAGTCAGTAGAAACATGGTTTAAGAATAATACATCTTCGCATGGTAAATAAGGATTAAAAGAGCAATTAGTACCGCGTTATGAATCAAAGCTATATAACATAACAACTGACCAGAGACCGTACAGGTACATACTTGATAGAGGAGTTTTACGCTTAAGTTGTAATGGTCCTTTGTCCCGTCTCCGAACTAGAGGACTGTGGGTAATTATGCGACGTGTTTCCAATTTCTGCTTCAAAGCCGAGCGCACTTTAAGAATATTTGGCTCAGATGCTGAAATCGACAAATGGGTAATACTTATGTAATGTCTGCAGGCAGCAGCTGTCTGAAAGAAAGACATTGACTAATACAGTACAAATATACAAAACATGAAAGCCCTTTCATTGAAACACTCTTTTCATAGGTCCGTACTTTCAAGGGTTACAATCTCATAGATTTTTCTGTTGGTACAAGTAGCATGTCAACCTTCAGAGAACATAAAACAAATTATACTTTCAACAATGCACTATTTCAATCAATCCAATTTTACAAACATTTTTGTTTTTATTTACATCCTAAAATACACTATTCAATCCTAGTAAAACAATATATGTGACAGACCATGACATAAGGAACCTTATGGGTGAAAAATCACATTTTGACTTCTTATTTTATTGTAAAACTACAGTATTTTAGGACCACAAAAATACAATTCATAAGCTTCAATTCATATTTATTACAGGGATATATGGCATCAAACATTTGACTTTCATTTTCTGCAAAGTCCCATTTTTAGGCTTAAAACTGTTTATGTAATGATTGCAGTGTTTAGATATGTCTGTTTAATTGAAAGCAGACATGTATGCTGGAATGATTTGAAGTTGTTGGTTGGTTGGTTTGTTGTTTAACGCCACACTCAGCAATATTCCAGCTATATGACAGCGGTCTGTAAATAATCGAGTCTGGACCAGACAATCCAGTGATTGATAGCATGAGCATCGATCCACGCAATTGAGATCGATGACATGCATCAACCAAGTCAGAGAGCCTGACCACCCGATCCCGTTAGTCGCCTTTTACGACAAGCATAGTCACCTTTTACAGCAAGCATGGGTTGCTGAAGACCTATTCTACCACTGAATCTTCACGGGTCTGATTTGAAGTAATGTTAATATTACATTATGAACAAATGAGAGAAAACAAGATATTTTTGTATAGTTCGCACACATGGCCATTTATATGGAAGTAAGTTGAGGTCAAATGTCTTTATGACGTCACAGGACAATTGTATCCTAGCACCAATAAGGTCCCTTTCTCCTGGCGGGTCACAAACATTGGCGTTCTTCTGAACAAGGCCTAATAACATTGTACCTCAATGTGGGTTTACTGACAACAGCATCATATACTTGGTAACTACATCCCTGCGAAAATACAGCCTTGAATAATCATTTGTTTTATATGCAGAAAACAAGTAATGGCAATAAAGATATCAACTGCCATAAGACATATCATATCATCAAATACAAAAGCACAATTGTTTTCCATTAAAGAATAAGAAGATGACCTGGAAATATTACCCTTCTGTAAATGTAATTATTTTTTCACTGGTTTAAGAATATTTCTGTCCCAATACATCTTGATAAGCACAGGCATTGCGTAGGAGAATAGTCATTATCAACGTGTCTTGAAAAGCAAAGGTCTTCCCACCAAATTTTGAATTTTCAGCCTTTTTCATTTCCAAATAAATGCTTACTGACATCTAGTAAGATCAGTATTTAGCAATGCAACTAAAATGCCACAGGTTAATGGCAATACTTAACTTTGACAAGGATTTACTATGGAGGAAAATACCAAGACAAAAGGTGAAAGGTGACTTCTTGTAATTGAAGTATTCTAGAAGAACGACAGGAGTATCATAGAAACCATGACAAAGATATACAGCCATGGGAAGGATTTGGTATTTTACGTTTCAAGTATAGAAGTGACATTTAGAAACAGATCATGTATTAGCAATGAGAGTTAGAAGACTGACTTAGTGGAAAGTGATCATTATGGTTCTCTCAAGGAATGATTAGCTCCTATTATAGTACCCTAACAAAATAACATTGATCACGAAGGAAATCATCACCAATGGACAGGTCCATGCCCACGCAATGAGAGATATACTACTCAAATGAAATTAAGGATCACCCAGTTCTTTAATATTGCTAGTTAATATGAAAGAATTGGGTGGTTCTTAACTTGTTTGGAGTGGCATATTTTAGATCAATCGGAATAGTAGCTTTGAGAAATGGCCAAGTTTACATCCCTGTTTCCTCCATCATTTGAAATATTCATTTACACACTATTCCTAAACACCTCAAATAATCAACCCTTCATAAAGTTGGCCTGTTTCCATTTGTTCAATTCGAACACCTGACATTGCAACCAGACAGAAACACTATATTGTCTGGAAGCATTAAAGTAAATATATCAACATCACAAGAATTATACACACGACGCAGCCACCCACTCTTGTGGGGCCTCTTTCGTTTCATCCACTTTGATACTAGCCAGTTGCTAACGGCAACGATTCATTTTGTTTCTTCATTCTCTTGACTACAAGCATGGAAATGCTATAAATACTCGGTGAAACAAAACATAGCCCATCCATCTGGCCTTTGAGTCAAACAAGAGGAAAACAGGAGAAAATAGACGTTTCAAAAATATCTTGGCTTAATTAACCATTCCTGGCAGAGTATCAGAGGAGGCACGAGAGTTCTATGTTATAAGAAAGTACTTCTCAAAGATGGCTATCACAGAACGAAATAGGCAGATTTGAATCTGACGGTTATATACATTTTTTAATCAGTGTGCTTATCTACAAAACTTAAGTACGTTCACCGTAAAAATAAATTGTTGTAATTTTGAAATGAATTGGGTTCGATTCAGGCACAATTACAATGGAAGAAAGGTCATGAAAGTTTTATACCATCACCGCTTAAAGGATCACATGACCATGATAATGAGATACAAAAAGCAACTCATTTAGAAGTCAGTAAGACACTTTTTTAATTATCAGATATCATTTGACTCAACATATAAGAATGTCAAGTTTAAAAATGTATACCAAATACTTGGGATTTGTTCTCATTTGGCTTCGAAATTAAACTATTAGTTTGTTAAAAGCAAAATGAGCTTAATGTTTTCTTTAGTAAATCAATTTAATTATTCAGATGCACATAAAGGGCTGATATGATAGCAAACCCTGATATAGAAATGAACATTAAAAGCCACAAAGAAAAAATAATAATAATTATTTCATAAATAATTTCATTCATTTGACCAAAAATAAGTTCTTTCATTGAGAAGAAAACCATTAATCTTTGGAAAATATTCTTACTTCACAAAATGGTTGACATTTACTCAAAATGAACTCAGAGAACATGCCTTTAATGAAAACTGCTATCTAAAAATATCTTTAAAAAATGAAAATTTGCATGATGTAAAGAACTGAAATTAGCTACAGCTTGGACCACAAGACAGTAACACAAAACAGTGTGTGCTTTCCATGGACAAAACAAAGTTTTTACGACTAAAAGCATTCAAAGATCGGTCAACAAGAGTAGGACATGTTTTAGGTAGCAATCTAAATTAATTTTTTTTTTTTCAAAAGAAATATTCCGAAAAACGAAACACATTCAGTGCTTCAGATAGCATCACTGACCACTGTAAACCCCAATGACCACCATTTCTGACCAGCATAGATTTCTCACAAATCATTTCACAAGAAGTGATCACATGGCCCATATAAATTCAAATCAATCTGAGACCGTGTCATTTCTCTGTACGAAGCCTATTGGTCTGAATACGTCCTTGGCGTTGGAGTTTATACAATATTGAAAAATAACTAAAACTTTCAGAATGATTCATTGTCTCCAAATGCAGTTGATCTCGTACTGTGTGCGAAATAGCTGCCTGCCTGCTTGTCTGTGGCTAGCAAAATTTCAGTCAGACTTAAGATTCTGAAATGTCCCCAGCCCGAATAGCTAATGAAATTTGAATTGTAATTTTTTTATAATGCAAACCTCTTATAAGATCAAAATAAAAAAGTTCTCCTGCTTCTACAATCACCATAAAATCGAAAATCAAATTAATACCCGTAACAAATCAAAGTTGCGAGATCACAGTTACCCCCCTCATAAAATTTGACTCGTGATTTGCAATTTATTTTGACAAAATTGATACCTTTGCAGAATAGAATCTCTGGGAAAATAAACTGTCGCATATTTAAGCTAGTGAAATTTGAAACTGACCAGCAACTTTTAAGGCCAGTAAGTTTCAAAATATGGATGGCCAGGTGGGCTACTTCACGCACTGACCTCATACCATTTCAGCAACAGTATGAGTGAGTGAGTGAGTATGGTTTTACGCCGCTTTTAGCAATATTCGAGCAATATCACACATTGTACCCATGTAGGGAATAGAACCCGGTCTTTGGCGTGACGAGCCAACGCTTTAACCACTAGGCTACCCGACCGCCTCTTTCAACAGTATGAATGAGAATACAAAACAAATATGAAACGTCATCAAGATAACCTTACTGTATCCTTATGTCCATTGTTTGAAATAGGATTAAATGTTTAACAGTGACCCAGCGGACATGCACATATATCGATGATGGGACCAGATTAACACAACATTAAGTTATTAGCATGCACACATCAAAGGTCAGGTTACACACAGGCCAAACAACGGGTAAAAACAAAGGCAGCCTGCTCAATGCTATTTCACAAGACAAGCGGGGGAGACACCAGATTCGTCCTTAACCATATGCCTGCATCACAGTAAATGTGTGGGCGTCTCAATCAATATTTCATGAACGAACCTAACAGAGCTCGAACATCGCCTTTCTTGCTACCTATCCATTCTACAGACACTTCCTCCCAAAAATACGTCCATCTCTCTCTTTTTACAATAATCTTTGTCAGGGACCCATACAAAAAAAAACAATAAAGTAAAGCCCCGTTAATTTGCTCCGACCATTGCATCTCTTGCCTCCTATCTGTTCTAGGACACTTCAACCCAAATATATGTCCATCTCTCTCTTTTTACAATAATCTTTGTCAGGAATCCCATACAACAAATACGAATAAGATGAAGCAGTGTTAATCTTCAGGATGGTGAACATTAATCTTCTAAACAATATCATTTGTCTGAACATTAGAACTGAAACCATACACTAACTCTTCACTAAAATATGTGTCGCAATACACTGTTCACAGAGCATATGAACACTATTTCAGAATAAAAATGTGTAAATTCAGATTTGGATAAAATGGTGAAAAAATACATTTGTTCTTATTTCTAAACATTTATTGATGCCAAATGTTTGTGTTATTCCAAGATCACACCATAACACGATTAGCCTGAATAACAGTAAGTGAGTATGGTTTTACCCTGCTTTTAGCAATATTCCAGCCATATATCACGGGACACCACAAATGGGCTTCACACATTGAACGCATGTCGGGAATTGAACCCGGTTCTTCAGCGTGACGAGCGAACGCTTTAACCATTAGGCTACCCGACCGCCCCTGCCTGAATAACAGACTTCGGACAAGATCCGATGTTGATGTTGAATAACATCACGAATCCCTGAGCCTCAGTGACTCATATTCTGCTTTAATCAATAAAGACGTTCTTACTTTGTCCCAGAAGAGAATTTGCTCAAAACCATTTGATATTTCCACTGATATTTTTTTTACAATATTTTAATAAACTTTTGGCAGAGTATGTTTTTATAGCAATACATGTTTGATATTTTGACAGTAAATTGTGTCACATTATTTCCCTTTATCTTCCAGCGTTGCTTTCCAGTCAGAAAATTGAGCAGGCTGCCAAATTTGCATGTAAGATTCTATATTTGCACATTCATCCAAAGAAAACCCAACAAAAACACAAAAATCAACCATTCCAACTTAAAAGTGACACGTTCCAATTCATTCCGTATCTAAATCTAGACAACAACATCGCACTTACCAGTTTTTCGTAAAGGGAAGTCATCATCATATTTTCCCAGCATTCCAGGTGGGTATGGAGGGGACAGGTTACTCTGTGGGGGGGAACTCTGTTCCAGGGACCCCTGGTTTGGTACCCTGTCAAACAAAGTTGCTTGTTAGTTGTCTGGATTAACGAGTGAGTGAGTGAGTGAGTGAATGAGTGAGTATGGTTTTATTCCGTTTTTAGCAATATTCCAGCCATATCACGGCAGATGACACCAGAAATTAGCTTCACACAATGTACCCATGTGGGAAATCAAACCCAGGTCTTCAGCATGACAAGCGAACGCTTCAACCACTAGACTATCCCACAGCCCCTTGGATGAAGGATAACTGAGTTGCTTGGAGAAAGCACATGGTAAGACTCAAGGTGAGGTGAAATGGGGTTCAAAGTTGCGTCCAAGATTTTTGCACTTATATAGCGACATACATGCAGGTGTGTCCTAGTCAGGACTGATGCCGGTTTATAGTGCTAGCCCACTGAGGTACCATGCCACAGGTTGACAACCCACTCAGACACAGTGTGCTGACTCTCAGCCAACCAGTCCTTATTTTCGCCCCTTAATCCCGAGCGCCATGCAGGGTAACAACAAGTACCATCTTTAAACGTCTTTTGGTTTGACAAGGCCAGGGTTCAAACACCAGACCTTCCACTCCCTGAACGGACACTCCACCAACAATATAAATACATGTAGATCATCATCATCATCATCATCATCATCATCATCATCATCATCATCATGCCGCAGTCTTGGTGATTAATATAACTAGAGACTGCTACTCAAAATAATTTTCACTGTTCAATGATGCTAATGTTTCACCCTCATATATAACTCATATATTGTACAGTTTCTTGTATACTTCAAGTTCCTATCACGGTTCATACAATAAACTAGGTGCGGCGGGCATGGTGCCGGTGGGACAGCATATCTACATCAAATAATACTGGGTTCTTTGCTGCTGCTTCTACAGCAGCAGTCCAAATCTTCGTGCCTGCTGTTTCCGCGGGAGGGGGTACAAAGATCCCATTCCTATACCCGTCTGCCATGCCACAGCGGCCACGGCGGAGGGCCACGACTATGCTGCTCACGCATACTGTCCCATCGGCACCATCCAAACCACGACCTATTTTCATCCACAATCCTCTTTGTCTCATTTATCACATTATATTGCTGGTAAACTTTACAGCATACCTACATACAATATTTCTATAAAGGTCTGCATATAATGCAATGACATCACGGGGAGTGGGAGAAAAGCCGAATGAGACAATGTTGTCTACATTATCTAATTTCATGAGCCCACAAGCCTCAGTATGATGCTGAACCTCAAATCAACAGATCCCAGCAGGCAAGCACTGGGCCTACTGGGCCTCCAAATGCAGTTCTGGCCTCCGGGATTCGTGACAGACCAGGAAGGTGAGTGAGTGGGTATAATTTTACGCTGCTTTTAGCATGTTCAAGCAATATCCCGGCAGGGAACACCAGACACGCATGCAGGGAATCGAAACTTGGAAGAAGACCTACCATGGGTGTCTGAACTGTGGTGGAGAGCCTGTGGTCAGTTCTCGGACGGCAGCTTCACGCTGCTTCTTGGTCAGGACAAATTCATGAAGCTTCTGCTTGACTTCAGTGGACGCAACGGCACCTGAAATACCAAACAAGCAAATCTGTAATCAACTCTGGAAGTTGGGAATAGCATTCCTCTTTTTTCATCTCACCTTAAGCATCTTGTTTGTTTGTTTGTTGTTTAACACCAAACAATATTCCAGTTAAATTATGGTGGTCTGTTAATTACTGCCTGGATCAGACCATCCTGTGATCAATATTTTGAGCATCAATCCATGCCATCAGGGCACGATGGCACGCAATGAACCAAGACACGGGGCCTGACTACCCGATCCAAATTTACTACCCATGTACCCGACCCCCTATTACCCTACCCTACTCGGGTACCCACTGCAAGTTTCAAGAGTTGGGAACAAAATATCTGATTGGTAATTGTTTTACCGCAGCCCTGGCTAAAACTATTTAGATACATGTATCAAACAATCAGATCATGCGTTCACTGAAGTTGACTGACGCTTTAAGGAATGTGTGCATCGTCAAAAAGAAATGCGAACATTAGCGACTTGTAGTGTAATCACTGAGCTATAGTGAGTTTTTGTCATTAAACAATATATCACGTGACTAACCATGGGTCCGGGTAGTCCTGTGGGTACCCGGGTCCTACTCAGGACACACCCGACCTGAGTACCCGAGTTACCCGTCCTAGCCTAACATGACGAACATAGGTTGGTGGGGAGCTATTCAAATACAGAATCCCATAAGGGATGAGGTGAGGTGAAGTGGAGTTAAAGTTGCATTCAAGATTATTGCACCTATAGAGCATCGTGCATGCATATGTGTTTGTGTGGCTGCAGGGGGCACGGGTGGCCCAGTCGTCTAAGGCGCCGCGATTCGCTGTGCAGAGTTGCGTCCCTTGGGCACGCCAGAAACCTATGATTGTGGGTTCGAATCCGGGTTCGCCCCGATTATGTTTCTAGGTTTGTCAGCACCATACCCGTGCTCGTGGGTTTCACCGAAGTGGTAAACGTCTTAGACCTGCATCACTCCGGGCTTTCCTCCCACATTAAGCTGACACGCCGCGATATAACTGGAATACTGTTAAAAGCGGCGTTAAACCCAACTCACTCACTCACTCATTGTGTGGCTGCTTATACTAGCACTTATGCTGATATTATAGTGCTAACCCACTGACATACCATGCTGCAGTTTAACATGAATACCCCACTCAGACCACTCCGAGCCAACCAGTCATTGTTTTAGCCTTTTTATGCCTAGTGCCAGGCAGGGCAACAACAAGTACCATCTTTAAATGTCTTTTGGTATGATGCAACCGTGGATCGAACCCTGGACCTTTCGCTTTCCAGGCCAACGCTCTACTAGACCACAGAGGCAGTTGGTCAGCCTCGTGGTAAGCCTCATGGTAAGCCATCAAACAGCCAACCGGCAAGGGGGACAACTCACTTTCTTTCATCATGTCTCTCAAGGTAGGGTCAAACACAGCATCAACTTCACCTACTGATAGCACAACGATGTGCTGTGCAATTCTTACAATCAGCCAAGGGGGACAACTCACTTTCTTTTACCATGTCTCTCAAGGTAGGGACAATCACAGCATCAACATCACCTACTGATAGCACAACGATGTGCTGTGCAATTCTTACAATCAGCCAAGGGGGACAACTCACTTTCTTTTACCATGTCTCTCAAGGTAGGGACAATCACAGCATCAACATCACTTACTGATATCACAACGATGTGCTGTGCAATGCTTACATTCAGCCAAGGGGGACAACTCACTTTCTTCGGTCTTCTTCTTGTTCTTGATCTGCTCCAGCCGCTCCTTCTCCAAGAGTTCCTTCTCGATGCGCTGCTGCTGCTCCAGCTTCTTTTGCTGCTGCTGCTCAAAGTAACCCTGACACAATAACGACCCGTGAAAGCAGCTCCCCACCTGCTCTCACCCCCGGCGCCAGATTTAATGGTACACCCCTCTAGCCACCTTTTCTCTCAAGGCAGGGGACTAGCGCCAAATTGGCACAATTTGGACAAAAACTTTTGTATTACTGGAATTATCTTTGGGGAATGTCCTCCTTGATTTTATTATTGTGTAGTAACCCTCTTGCCACTTTGTCTCTCAAGACGGGACCAGCGCCAAAATGGCACAATTTAAACCAAAACTTTTGTATTATTATTTGTCATACTCTCATTTGAATTATCTTGGGGGAATGTCCTCCTTGATTTTATGATTGTGTAAAGGATTGTAAATGAAAACAGAAAATTAATAAATAATTGCATTTTGTCAACTCTGCTGTACAGTGTTTTATTTGTTTTACTTGAAACAGGTAGACACACCGTCTAGTATTGAAGTTGCTCATAACTTGGCTCAAACATTCTTTTAGCATTGACTTCCCACAGCTGTGGACCTGTGATGAAGCATGGTGGTTAAAGCATTCACTTGTCACATCGAAAGCCCAGATTCAATTCCCAACATGGGTACAATGTGTTAAGTCCAATTCTGGTGTACCCCACCAAGATATTGCTGGAAAATAGCTAAAACTATACTCACTCCCTAAGTACCATCTTTCAACATCTTAATGACGCAACCTGGGATCAAACCCCGGACATTCCTGTCTCCGAGAGGACGCTCTACCACTAGACCACATAGGGGGTCGCTAAGCATCGAGGAAAGCCTTGAGGTGAGCCTGAAGGAAAGCCTCATGGTAAGCCTGAAGGAAAGCCTCGTGGTAAGCCTCAAGGAAAGCCTCAAGAAAAGCCTCATAGTAAGCCTCGTGGAAAAGCCAAAAGAAAAGCCTTGTAAGACTCATGGTAAGACTCAAGAAAAACCTTGTGGTAAGCCTTGTGGTAAACCTTGTGGACACTCCACCACTAGACCACGGAGGCGGTCGAAAAGACAGATGACATTATACACATATGTAAACCAAATCACAATAATTCTGAGAAATTAATATTCCACTTATTTACCCAATTTCCTGCTAGACAAAGCATCACCTATCATTAGAGACAAAACAACAATATGCAAGGCTCACTCCTGCCAATTTAATCCTATTATCAACTATTTATGATTCAACTCTTAAATAAGTCAAGTATGACACATTCTCCCCATATATTTACATAACCAGACAAATACGGATGTCATTCTTTCTACACGGAAATTACAGTCTCTTTCAAGAATCTGGCTGATAATAGTGTACTAAAATAACCCCAAGGCTGTGAAGTGCATTGCTGGTGTACCGACTAGCCTAGGACCAACACAATCAAATGTAATCTTTTTAATAGTAGTGAGGACTGTCACAGCGTACAGGACCTTATTGATTGATTGAGTGAGTGAGTATGGTTTTACGTCAATGTTAGCAATATTCCAGCAATATCAAGGTGAGGCCACAAGAAATAGGCCACACACATGTGAATCGAACTCAGGTCATCACCAGACAGGCGAACACTTTAACCACTAGGCTACCCGACCACCCCCGAAAAAGCATGATGAAGTAACATAGTTTTGTTTCAAATGAAAACTTCATAATTCTCTTTAAAAAAAAAAAAAAAAAAAAAAGCGCGAGTGACAAGAGTTGGGTTTAACGCCGTTTGAACTGTATTCCAGTTATATCACAGCGAGTCTGCTTAATATGGGAGGACGTCCTAAAGTAATGCAGGTTAGAAATGTTTACCAATTTGGTGAAGCCAACGAAATACAGGTATAGTGCAAGTTCTGCTGAAGAAGCCAAATTGGGATCAAACTCAAAAGAGAAGCTATTATTCACATGAATCCAAAATACCAGAATTGACAGTTTCTGAATTTAGAACTAACTAAGGAAAGGACAGCCAACTGTACAGCAGAAATAACTTCCTGTTTGTTTTCATGAATTGATGACTTAAAAAATATACCAAAGATATGAATTATAAACCCCACTAAATCTGACGGACCAGCGGGAACAGCAACTGTGTAATATGCTTAGCACATTCAAATTAAGCTTTCTCCTTTATCATGAATGAATGTGTATAAACAATTTTATTTTTTTGAAACATTTCAAAATATTTATGACATGGTCAAGAAAACTGCAATGACACATTGATATCTGTGAGAATGCTCGAAGTAATTTTTAAGATATTGATCTTAAATTTTCGGGATTAAATAAAATAAAAACTTTTAGAATTTTTTTAAAAATATACCAAGGTGCAGTGCAGTCATATCAACATCAAACAGGTCACCAGAGGGCAGTACAACATTGATTTGTTTCGTTACAAAAAAAAAAGGCAATCAATTTTATACAGCCCCAGTATCAACAAGAATCAGCAACAAATTGACTGAAAACAATTCTGTAAATATTATCTGGTAAATAAAACAACTAACCAAGATTTGTCATGAATAGCATCATAGCTGTTATCATAGATGAAGAATGCAAACATATATTAGTAAGATAAGTTCTCCAACCTTGTACCAACGCAGGAAAGTACTGCCAAATGAACACTCATTTCTTGAATTCCGACCTCGTTACCCGATCAGAAAACACCTAAATAATTCATCCTAACCAGTGAAAGGTTGCTAATGTATGACTATCTCTCACATTCTCAAATTGTCCATGACGTGTCAATCAATACTTCCAGCGACAACATCGAACACCTTCAATAATACCTCAATGAATCAAAAAAATGTTTCAAACATGGCAAATACTATTATCTCTCACAAATCTAAACAGGTTTAATCTTACGCTTAAACATTGCATGTGGGTGACATTTTCAAAAGAGGAAACTTGAACTACATTCAGAATCAAAATATCCCAAGCAACTCAAATTTTTTGAAAAGATCAAATAGATGATACAGAATATATGAGGCATTTTTTCAATGAATCATATCCTAAATTTAGACAGAAATGACAGAAATAGAGCGAAATGGGCATCAAAACAGCTCGATTTCCTTAAATAACCCACAAATCTCACTAAGGAAAGCCATTACCTGGAGGTATCAGTGCATGATTAACCCCCATAGCCAACTGAAATAGTCCTCCAGAAATAGCTGATGTTGAGGAAATCAATGTAAGATATTTTAAGCCCAGATATCTACCATCATAAGGAACGGCAGACGGATCAAAAGGGCACTGATCTGCACAGACTGAGCAGACTAGAAGGCATCGTGTGTACAATTGTCTAGGCGCCATAATTAGTTCGCAATGACAATTTGAAATCGAAGATGGATCTATTTTCTGTGATTTTGAATCATAATTGATGCTTCAATATCATGAAACTGCATTCCCTATGACAACATGTTGAGGGTTTTATCCATTTATTTTGTGTATTTTATTAAATTTCATCGCTTTTATTAAACATTAACATTTTTTTACTATTTTATTATGATGTTATGAAACATTTTTATGAAACTGTTTCATATGGTACTAGTTCTTAGATATGTGAGTGAGTGAGTGAGTGAGTATGGTTTTACGCCGCTTTTAGCAATATTCCAGCAATATCACGGCGGGGGACACCAGAAATGGGCTTCACGCATTGTACCCATGTCGGGAATCGAACACGGGTCTTCGGCGTGACGAGCGAACTCTTTAACCACTAGGCTACCCGACCGCCCCCTGAGATATGTAGTGCCATGGCATGTAATGGTATAATAGTAAACTCAGATGTGGGCAGCTAACTTGATGCATGATCAAAATACCAACAAATCTGCTCGCATAGACTCAAGCTTGTGACATTGTCGGTTTGCAAACAAAATATCAGAGTCATAAAACATAAAAGTCCTAATCTTATCCTCATAGATAACCTCCGAACTTACACACACAAAATCTTTCCAGGACTGAGATTTTCATGTTTCCTCTTATCACACAGGAAACAACATCTTACGAGGGAAACAACATCTGCAACCTTATAGAGAAACAACCCGTAACAACATCATGACATCCCAACTGGTGCCAGCACAACATGAAACAAGTCACGTCTCCCTCTTCCAGAGACCTCAAGTGCCGCAGAAGAACTTTACTCATAATACCACGAACTTTGTCTCCTGACAGATTATAACCTTCATTTCCTGGCACTAAATTCAAATTATCAATAAAATATTCACTCATGTTGAAACAACCCTTCTAAAAATACCAACTCAAGATAAGCCACGTTGGCCAAGAGAAAAAATATATTGCGCAAAAAGCTGGAGGACAATGCCACCAGATAGAACACTGAACCATGATGTAACAGAGGCTATGGGCTTGTATATACATTCATCCTCATCCTCATAATGTCATCAAGGTCACATTTGCTTGGCTCAGGTCTGTCAATCATTATCAGACTGAAGATGGGGGATAAGATATACAAACAACATCACAAGGGTACAAAATACAAAGATGGAGAGAAAACATGGACCATTTTATCCAGTCAGTCAACCTGAATCCGAGGGTCCTACAGAATTGAGAACTGAAAAGCTTAGAGGCCCAGAGGATAGAAAAGAAGAACATGGTAGAGTGCCAAGCAGCCACGAAGATACAAACATGGGGATGGACAGACAGACAGATGGACCAACAGAAGTAAACAGAAGCAGAACTAGCTAACCCACCTTGATAAGTTGGTGGACTTGTTTCTGGTGTTCCTGTTCGAGGTGCTGCCTCTGTAGCTGCAATGACCAATGACCTGGAGTAATCTACGGGAGGACAAAGCGATGCCACTAGGAAAATGCATTCAAATAAAACACCATCAACACCATCAACACCATCATCACCATCAACAGCATCATCAACCTTAACAGCATCATCAACCTTAACAGCATCATCAACCTTAACAGCATCATCAACCTTAACAGTATGATCAACCTTAACAGTATCATCAACCTTAACAGTATCATCAACCTTAACAGTATCATCAACCTTAACAGTATCATCAACCTTAACAGCATCATCAACCTTAACAGCATCATCAACCTTAACAGTATCATCAACCTTAACAGCATCATCAACCTTAACAGCATCATCAACCTTAACAGCATCATCAACCTTAACAGTATCATCAACCTTAACAGCATCATCACCATCAACTTATAGTTCTTGAAACCACACTTTCTACAGAGGGTTTTTCCAGTAGGGAATGAAAGATATTATACCGGAAAATTCTATGGCCTCTTTATGATCTTGCGTGTGCATGTGATTCCACTTGGTTTTAAACAATTTTGTTTTCCAGCTAACCTCTCCTTTAAAACTAGACGGTAACTAAGCTCTTGTGTCATTCTGTACCTCGACTAAGCTCTTGTGTCATTCTGTGCCTCAAGTAAGCTCTTGTGTCATTCTGTGCTTAAACTAAGCTCTCATCATTCTGTGCCTCAAATATGCTCTTGTGTCATTCTGTGCTTAAACTAAGCTGTCATCATTCTGTGCCTCAAATATGCTCTTGTGTCATTCTGTGCTTAAACTAAGCTCTTGTGTCATTCTGTGCTTAAACTAAGCTCTTGTGTCATTCTGTGCCTCAACTAAGCTCTTGTGTCATTCTGTGCCTCAACTAAGCCCTTGTGTCATTCTTTGCCTTATTAAAGCTCTAGTTTCTTTAAACGCCACTCAGATCTGAATCACGACTTATAGAGATTATTAGCCGAGTATGTTTTCGTATAGTAAATATATATTATTGGGAACAGTACTTGTATTATGTAAACCTTTGGCAAGGATAATACATACTTTTAATCCTAATATTTGATATTACACCAGGGTAATGATCTCTTTATCATATAATGTTCACGTCATATTATAATCAAAGTGTAAGACTTATTAAACCACACAGAAATACAAATGAAATGATGAATAAACTGCCCAAATTAAATAGAGTGACTTGCAACAATGTTGCTTTACATCTGGAAACCATGAACAAAACTTTGGGAAACTATATGCAAAGACTTTCACCAAGTATGCATTGGAATGACGTCTAGACCTTACGAAAGTAGTTCCTGCTAGTTGACCTATTTTGGATATTTATCGGATTGAGATACAAAGTTTATCAGAGTGGTGTATTGTATCAATACAACTGTTTCATATGATAAACAACATCTTAATCTTCTTACTATGGGTTCAATAGCTTCCCAGTGCTGTCTTGTAATCCATGACCGACAGTAACCAGTCAACCATACTCCTGGTTCAGTATCACTCTCACAATCCCATTCAGAGTCTCACGTCACACGTTAAAGTCTAAACTACGACCTGACTAAGCCCTCAATCACACACATCCAAAACATACAGGGGGCATATTGTTAATCTCTCAATCATAGCAGGTGCTTGGGCTGTTAGGGAGGTGATGCAGGGGTAGGGGTTGGTGGGGGTTTGATGCCCCAATCAGTACTATTCCAGCTATATGATGGTGGCCTGTACATGATTAGTGATTGGTATTATGGGCAGTGAGTGAGTGAGTGAGTGAGTGAGTGAGTGAGCGAGCGAGGTGAGTGAAATGGGTTTAACACTGCTTTGAACAGTATTCCAGTTATATCACAGCATTTCAGCTTAATGTGGGAGGAAAGCCCGAAGTGATGCAGGTCTTAGATCTTTACCACTTTGGTGAAACCCACTAGCACAGGTATGGTCCTGACAGACCTAGAAACACAATCAGGGTAGAACCCACAATCATAGGTTTCTGACGTGCCCTAGAGATTCAACCCTGCACAGCGAATTGTAGCACCTTAGACAACTGGGCCACTGGGTCCCCTATAAAGATGGATAACATCTGGCAGGCAAGAGAAGATGAATCCTGGATAAACCAGCCCGGCCAAGGAGATGGCTTGTCCAGGATTCGTCCTTGTCTATCCTCATGAACTGTCAGTCTCCATCTTTACTCTTTACATGCAGTGTTGTTAGTGATATTAAGAATAGCTAGTGAAAATATCTCAAAAGTTAGAACAAGTTCATTTTGTTACTCAATCATTCTACACTATGTATTCAAACTTAAAGTGCAAGATTATTACTGAATCTAAATATTCGCATTAGCATTGTTTGTTTGTTTGTTTGTGTCTTTGTTTAACACCACGCTCAGCAATATTCCAGCTACAGGACAGCGTTCTGTAAATAATCGAGTCCCGACCAGACAATGTGGGACAACATCATGAGCATCAATCATCGCAGTTGGGATACGATGACATGCATTAACCAAGTCAGCGAGCCTGACCACCCGATCCCATTAGTCGCCTCTCATGACAAGCATAGTCACCTATTACAGCAAGCATGGGTTGCTGAAGACCTATTCTAACCCAGATCTTCACGGGTCCTCATTAGCATTGAGTGTGGGAGAACATATAAGTTGATGATGAAGGGAGTCACCATTAGCAACAAGGAAAACCCAAAGAATGTTAACAGAACACAAGATTTATGCAGCAGGAAGCTACAATACTATCATAGAGATGAGACAGGCCTATTACCATCAAAGATCAAGGCTTCATCAAAACCTGCCAACACTTTGGGCACTCCTACCCACGATCTGTTAATACAACCATGACAACCTGCCCTTGTCATATACCACAGGACAACTGATGAGAGACGTAACATGCCTACTTATAGAGACAGACTTACTGAACCACATCATCCCCAACTCAACCACAAACATCCTTCAATAAGACAGGTGTCTAAACAGGTGTCTAAACAGGTATCTTTGTACACCTGAGGGCAATTCAAACAGGATGGGATGCTTGGCTTAACATCCAATGGCTTCAAAGTTTGGATTTTTAAGTTAATGTTTTCAACACTGAGTGATATGTTAACTCCTAGGACATAAAAAATGATCTTGGGTACTATAGGTGTAAGGTTTGCCCTAACTTCTCTTGAAGAGGATGATATGAACTACTCAAAAGTTAAAGAAGATCCGATTTTTTCATATGACGATAGTTAATCTAGTCAAGGCCATGCTAGGAATAACGCTTCCATAAAGCAATCTTAGCACTAAGATGATCGTATCTCCCATACTTATACATAGAGTCTTTTCCACAAAGCAATCTTAGCACTAAGATGATCGTAACTCCCATACTTATACGTAGAGTCTGTTCCACAAAGCAATCTTAGCACTAAGACGATCGTAACTCCCATACTTATACGTAGAGTCTGTTCCATAAAGCAATCTTAGCACTAAGACGATTGTTACTCCCATACTTTAACACAGACTAATGATAATCATAGCACTACGATTGCTTTGTGGAAAGAGGGGCAGGAAAGCTGAGTATTTGCATAAAATACCATAAATCACCATTAACCAATTAACTCTCAAGTTCTTGTGTACAAATACGAATGAAAAAGTCCAAAACCAAATGGTGTAAGTACCAAAAATAGCCATCTTGTTTGCGAGCCTATATTTCTTTACAGATCTCTATTTGCTGATCGACTGCATCATCACATTGACTAAGATAGTCATAGCCCTACTACGATGATTAAGCCTACATAAAAGTATGGGACTTACCACCACCATAGCGCTAAGATCGCTTTGTTGAATGGGCCCCTGGAGATCTAGTGAGCCCCAGGGCCCCATTCCATAAAACGATCTTAGCGTTACGATGATAAAGCCAATGTTAAAGTATGGGAGTTACGATCACCATAGCGCTAAGATCACCTTGTGGAACTGGCCCCTGGAGTTCTTGTGAGCCATAGGGACCTGTTCCACAAAGCGATCTTAGCGCTATGATGATAAAGCCAATGTTAAAGTATGGGAGTTACAATCACCTTAGCGCCAAGATCACTTTGTGGAATGGACCCAGGAAGGCAATGAGGAAGACTACTGGCTACGCTGGTGAAAGAGGACACCCACCTTGATGTGTTCATGGAGCTGCTTCTCGTGTTCCTGTTCCAGCTGTTGTCGCTGCTGCTCATACTGCTGCAGGAGAAACTGGTGTTGTAGCTGCTGCTGCTGTTTGATGTTGGCAATCTCTCTCTGGAGGTGCTGGTCCTGGTATAGCTCCGGAGGACCACGGAACTGCCGTCGCGCTAACTCCGGCGAAGCCAGCGGGGACGTCTGAGTCAGATCTATTGGAGGTAAACAAAGGTGCTATAATTTGTGTAATTAACACATTTTGGTTGTACCTTCTGAAGGTGAAGACATTATACATATTGGTACAACAATGACTTTCCTAAGGTCATGGATAAGGAACAGTACATAGTGGTTTCAGATTAAGAATATTTGCAAAATCGTAACTTGGGCACAATGTGGTTCAAAGTGCAAAGTTTCAGACACTGCAGACAAGCAGGCCATACCATAAACTCATTTGACATTCAGTCAGGTGAGCTAAAAATCTAACATTGCCAGACTAATGGAGCAAGCAAAGGTTAACATAAAGGTCATAATTCGCATTGCAAAATAACACAGGATATATGTTCACATGCACACACACACACTACATAATTGATACACAAAAAAATTGTATACAAAAACTTTCTTGAAGTGAAGGTAAGGGTCCAAAGGTAAAGGAATGGAACTGGATCCTATTTTTTTTATGATTATCATAAAATGGTGCGGACAGGCTGAGGACTGCATTAGAGTGAGTGAGTGAGTTTGGTTTAACACCACTTTTAACAGTATTCATTAACATCATAGCGTGTCAGCTTAATGTGGGAGGAAAGCCCTCCAATGCAGGTCTCAGACGTTTACCACCTCTATGAAACCAACGAACACGGTATGGTGCTGACAAACCTAGAAACATAATGGGGGCAAATAAGGGCTTGAACGAACAATCACAGCATGTCAGCTTAATGTCGGAGGAAAGCCCGAAGTGATGCAGGTCTTAGATCTTTACTACTTTGGTGAAACCAACTAGCACAGGTATGGTGCTGACAAACCTAGAAACAATCAGGGTAGAAAAAGGATTTGTACCTATGATCAAAAGTAAGGGACACAACTCTGCACAGCGAACTACAGCAACTTTGACTACTGGGCCACCTGTGCCCCTGAGGTGCAAACCAATGTCTAAGCACCCATCACAGATACAGGTTGTAATTCAGTTACACAAAGTATAGGAGTATAGGAGTAATGACGATGTGAGTGTTAAGACCATTTTGTGAATATGGGCCTGTCAATACTAAGCCCTGCAGTGAGTGAGTGAGTATGGTTTTACGCCGCTTTTAGCAATATTCCAGCAATATCACGGCTGGGGACACCAGAAATGGGCTTCACACATTGTACCCATGTCGGGAATCGAACCCGGGTCTCCGGCGTGACGAGCGAAAGCTTTAACCACTAGGCTACCCGACCGCCCCCATACCCTGCAGGATAAGATGGGATAACGATTGTCTGTTTTCTGTGAGTTGTAAGAAAAGACCTTCTGTTGAGGAAGGAAGATGAAATGAACTTAAGAACATCAACCTTGGAAGATTTCAAGTACATCTGTAAATAGTAGGTATTCCCTTGATAAGACGGTCTCTAAACTGTCCTAATGTTAAGCGGTGGTCGCCTTCCAGAATACTGCACTTATACTGAGCAAATTAAGTTGGGGATCTTGAATATTTTTGGGGGAGGTTTTCTTTTAGTGAAGACTGAGTGAACGATTTCATATTTCCCATATAAAAATATTTCAGGGAATATTTGTTCAGGATATATAGCAACACGCATGCACAATTGCGCGCGTGGCACCGTGTGCTCACCCACTGAAATACCATGCCAACTTGGCACCAGACAGGGAAACAACAAGTATCATCTTTTAACATGGCTGGGTATCGAACCACCGACCTTTCGCCACCAAGCTGATGCTCTATCAACTCAACAATGGAGACAGTCTGATGTAAGGTGTGTAACTCATCAAGTGGACACCAGGCTTCCTGTTGGCTCTTGAAACCTCACAGCGGCAACTGTCAGCCGTGACGGCAAAGGCAGCATGCATGATAGATGTGTTCGACCAACAGAGAGGTGCTTAATTCAACACGATTTACATTCATACATTTTTAAACACACCTGTTGTGGAGTCTTACTTCACGATGTCTTGCACTTACTGACCTGCATGAATTATTTTGTTGCATGCTGGACATATCAGCAATACTCTGCTAATTATCTGGATAAACTCTGCAATGCTAATCCACATGAGACTACATGGACCTAATCTTAATGCTGATGGAGGTATATGGGTAGATATCTTCCACCATATATCACCTGGGCAGTATACCCACTACAAACGGATAAATCTCGGCAACTCTCTCCACCTCAACATGATAATTATGGCATTTAAGCCCTTTAACTCAATCAACCATCTAGGTTTTAACCCTCTCTGTCTCAACTATCCACAGACAATTATGGCAGTCAAGCCCTTTAACTCCATCAACCATCTAGGTTTTAACCCTCTCTGTTTCAACTATCTGCACACAATTATGGCAGTCAAGCCATTTAACTCCATCAACCATCTAGGTTTTAACCCTCTCTGTTTCAACTATCTGCACACAATTATGGCAGTCAAGCCATTTAACTCCATCAACCATCTAGGTTTTAACCCTCTGCATCTCAACTATCTGCAGACAATTATGGCAGTCAAGCCATTTAACTCCATCAACCATCTAGGTTTTAACCCTCCCTGTCTCAACTATTTGCAGACAATTATGGCAGTCAAGCCATTTAACTCCATCAACCATCTAGGTTTGAACCCTATCTGTCTCAACTATCTGCAGACAATTATGGCAGTCAAGCCCTTTAACTCCATCAACCATCTAGGTTTTAACCCTTTGCATCTCAACCATCTGCATACAAGCCCTTTAACTCCATCAACCATCATGGCTTTAACCCTCTCTGTCTCAACTATCTGCAAACAATTATGGCAGTCAAGACCTTCAACATGGCCGACCATCTAGGCTAATTACTCTAAGTCCCTAGCAATGTTAAGCAAGCAAGGACTGTAGAACTGACCTCCTTTACACTCACTTCACCAAACAACCTTGCCATGAAATGACATCCATCCATCTCCGCATCACTGACCTAGTCCTCAACCCGTGCTGAGGTCTGGGCTCCAGATAAAGCTCTGAGCCATTGAGTATATTCTCCCATGATGTCATTCATAGACTAACATTTAGTCTCTGAAATCTTATATTACACAATATCCTTCTTGACTCTAAAAATAAAAAAAATTCTCTATGCTGATTTCAGATGTGGAATAGAGCTAGCTTGAGCTGGCTAGACTTGCTTTTGTATGCATTTCTAGATTATTATTTTTTCATAAAATAAATATATTCCACGGTCATGGTGCAGGACTATGTCATTCACAGGGGGTACTTATAGTTTTCTTTGGGTATTCAATACATTTTTACTCCCTTGGGTCGAGTCAATTGGGTATTTATAAACCAATAACCAATTTTAATTTTTTAATTTTTAGTATGCTTAAAATGCTGTTTCACTCGACAGAATGCATTTTTGATGTGATGCCTGCATCAATCAGCAAATTAAGATCTGTAAAGATATCTATGCACACAAAAAAGGCTACTTTTGATACTAATGCAGTGTTATAATACCATCGAGTTGGGCTACGACTATCTTAGTGAGTGAGTATGGTTTTATGCCGCTTTTAGCAATTCCAGCAATATGACCTCCGGTATTGGGCTTCATTGAACCCATGTCGTGATGAGTTGACACTTCAACCACTAGGCAACCCCACCTCATATGTTAAAGTATGTGAGTTAGGATCATCTAAGCTCTATAATTATACAGTGTCCAGTTCCGTTTGGTTCTAATTTTACCCTACAGCTCTGGAGGTTATGTTCAGCCCTAGCGAAAATAGACAGTTATATAGAATAACCCAAATAAACTCCACCGGCTAGAGGACACTAAATCCTACCACACCGGAGGCTTGGAACTCCATCTCTCAAGTGTGCCCACAATCTCTTTTAAAAACATACTGGGATGTTGGAAACTGCTACTAAATACATCCTTCAAGACATCTTGATTCCCCCATCTGATTAGGTGTCTTAACAGTAAAAACACTTGTGTTGTGGCCATGTCTACTGTGATTACAAAATGTCGGAACACTTTGAACAAGAAACTAACAAACCAGTATCTAGAACCTCACTTTTTTGTAACCACCAACATTTTTAACATCGCTTTGTTTCAAAAATGCCAACAACTCTTATATATCTTCAGTATTTTCACACAAAACTTGTCATAATTTATAAATTCAGACAGCAAACCTTTTCTTTCTTTCCAAAAAGGTTTCAGGCAATCAATATTGAAGATCAATTACCCCCTCTAACCACCATCACCCCAATAGTCCACAGGTGCTTTTGGCATGGGAAGTCCACATGCTTTGAAGGAACCTACTCTAAACTCATTACATTGGAAAACTTTCCCACAAATATCTTTTTAGGGTGAAATTTCTCACTTGAAGATGCAAGTCCCTTGGACATTAATTATTGAAAATGAAAAGTTGTGAGTATATCGCGTCATTTCTCAAAGCGTGGCAATTTCCATAAGAAGGAGTGCCTCATGAATGTTTGATATAGTTAGTGCTGAGGTGTACAGCAATTCCCACACCTGAAAAGGGCATAGTTAAATCCTGCCGGCAACATGTAGATATGCAGCAGGACTAGAATCATTAAATATTACTAAGATAGCTTGTATTGTGCAAACTGCAAATTTTGTTAAAAAAAAAAATCGTCCAAAAAGAATTTAATTAGAACATGCCTAAACAAACAATATTTGTGTGTGTTTGTGTGTGTGTGGGTGGGTGGGCGAGAAGGGGTAGGTGGGTGGATGAGTGAGTGAATGGGTGAGTGAATGGGTGAGTGAGTGAGTGAGTGAGTGAGTGAGTGAGTGAGTGAGTGAGTGAGTGAGTGAGTGGTGAGTGAGTGAGTGAGTGAGTGAGTGAGTGAGTGAGTGAGTGAGTGAATGAGTGAGTGAGTGAGTGAGTGAAGCACGGGTATGGTGCTAACAAACCTAGTAACATAATCAAGGATTCAAACCCACGCGTTTCTGGTGTCCAAGGGACAAAACTCTGCATGGTGAATTGGGGCACCTTAGACTGCACCAATCATGCCCCCTAACAATATCTGACCAACTAGAT